AGCTAAATAAGTAGATTGAAAGGGGGCCAGCCATATGAGAAAATAGTCCAGTAGAAGAACAAACTCCTTTTTTCTTTCGCCCATCCTGTCCTCCCAATGCCCTGCAATGCCATGTGCCTGCCAACTAGACCATCATTTCGCTGGTATATCAATAAAATCAAAACTCACCAACACCAACACTAACACCAAACTCCCCTCTCTCATCCCCCATCTCAAGCCTTACTCATCCACCCCTTCAACCAGCACCCCAACCCCAACCCCACTCCCCACCATTTCCATCCCCATCTCCCCAGCATCACCCGCACAAAACGCCACAACACGCAACACCCTCCTCAGCGCCGCAACCACCGCCTCGCGGTGCTCAAACGCCAGCACAATCGCCGCCCGCACATTCAACGCGCAGAAATAGCGCCGCAGGCCAGTCTCCGCGGCCCCGCGCGCTCCCGCTCCCGCTGCTGACGCCCCCGCCACCAGCGTCGCCCAGTGCAGCACGCCCGTCATGTCGGTCCAGCAGTCGCTGTAGCTGCAGTCGGAGTGGGCGAGGGCGGCGCGCAGGGCCGCGAGGACGGGGACCGTGCGTGCTGCTGGTGACGTAGATGCTGGAAAAAGCGCTGATGCTGACGCGACAGCAGTAATGTCTGCGTCGGCGTCGGCGTTGGGTTGCGGCGGTATCAGAGTCGCGGCGCTGGAGAGGGGCACACGCTCGACGAGGGCGGTGGCGTAGACGAGGGCCGTGAGGCGGACGGCCTCGTGGCGGTGGGCTGCCTTGTCTGCGGCGCGGGCGGGCAGTGCGGGGGGCGTGTACGCCGAGGGCAGGGCGAGGACGAAGGCTAGGAGTTCCCTCTTACGGGCGTCGAGCTCGGCGGGGGTGAAGATGGGCGGGGGGTCCAGGCATAGGTCGGTGAGGTCGCGGAGACGGCCGAGCAGGGCCAGTGTGGGTGCCGAGCACGTCTTGGAGCGCGACAACGTGGGGAAGCGCGGGGCGCGCGGGCTGAAGACGGGGGATTCGGGGATGGGGCGCCCGCTGTTGGCGGGGTAGGCGTCTGGGTTCGCCTGCACGGCGAGGAACATGGCGTCGGGTTGGGTTTCGCGGAAGATGGCGGCCGTGAAGCACATGCTGCATATTGCTGGTCAGCTGAGCCGGCTCGTGTAGCAAGCAAGGGGGAAAGGGACGTCGGTACTCACACGGCAGCCAGGGCGGCCAGTTCGCCGCGCAGGCCTAGCGCTTGCAGCCCGCCTCTTTCGGCTATCAAGAGGCGTAGGCCCAGCTCGTGCGCGGCGAGCTCGTCGGGCGCGTTGACAATCTGGCCCGCGACAATGTGCACGACGCTCATGATGGTGCTGTCTCTCACGCGGCGCCAGCGCTCGGTGAGGGCCTCGTGGATCAGATGCACGGCTTCAATGTACACAAGGCGGGTGAGCGGGCTGGGCTCGACCTGGCCGTGCATCACGTCCAGGTGCGTTGTCGTGATGGCGAGCGTGCTGAGGAACGACTCCCGCGTGCCAATCATTTGCGGCAGCCAGTTGAAGCACATGTGCCTCGTGCCGAAGTAGTGGTGGCCTAGACGGCGTCAGTGATGCTCTTACGTGATAGTTAGTTTCCTTACAGTAGTATTTAAGGTACTCGACGTTGATCTGCGGATTGGATGGTTGCGGTAGCATGTGGAAAGGATCGTAGGCGGAAAAGGCGTTGTACGGAGCTGCGATACTCGCTGCCCCGGCCTCTGCAAAAGCCCTCAAGGGCCCCATGCCATTTTTGAACGAAACGGCATACAGGGGATTGTACTTTCGATCCTTGGGGGGCTCGATGAGGACCACTTCTGCGTCCTCGGTTGTGGAATTCGAAGCATTCGAAGGCGTTATGCTGGCACGACTAGCAATACTGGCTCTATCATGCTTGGGCTTCTTCTTCGTCTTCACTCTTATAGACTCAGGGCTGCTCGCCTCTGCAGTAGTCTCGCTCCTCGGCGGGCTGCCTTCAGTGGAAGACGACGCCTTGGACTTGGGATACTGCCTCAAGATCTGCAGGGCCTGTTCGTTGCTGATAGTGGCGGGGTTGCTGGGGTTTGACGTGGGAGGAACCTCGCTGCCAGCCGAAGACCGGGATGCCGACGCAGACGACGCCCTAGCCCTTTGCCCCGTGCCCAAGCTCTTGGAAACCTTGGCCTTGAAAACAGAGCCTGGCGCCGGCGCCTTCCGTTTCTCGACCACATCGAACATGACGTGAGAGCGGACGCTGCGCATGACGCTCTGGTCCTTGAACTCCTCGGGCCGGGAGACGGTGACGAAGCGCCAGCTGTTGTTGGTGTCGTCGGACGGAGAGCGCGAGGCGTCGCGCGGTGCCGAATCATAGCGGTTGGCGCCAAAGTCTTATAAAGGAAATCAGTACGCCACGGCATATGCAGCAGTAAAACCAACGAAAAGGCTGACCTGATGCCCAGACGAAGTGCGGCTGACGCGGTGCTGAGTGGAGCGCCATGGTCGCAAAGGGACTAGTGCTGGTCGCGATAGGTTGGGTGACGGAGCCGTCAGAACAAGACATCAAGCCAAAAAGCTCAACCGACTCGGTGGTGGGGGGAGGAGGGTGTGTCGGCGGGATGCTGGGGAGACAGCGGCGCTCGGGGGTTCATGTCTGTCGCGCGGAGGAAATTTGTAGATCAGGCACCTTTGGCATGCAGGGCACACGGGCGGGAGTGAGGGTGTTATAAAGCAACGAACGGCTTGGGTACTACACAAAGACGCCCAATGAGGCTGAGACCATGGTTGGAAGTCGGTGAGTTGAGAGACAGAGGATACGTCAAGATGAACGGGCCTCAGCCCCTAGGAACCAGGGCTCGCCGGGCGGCCTCGGCCTATCGGGGGCGGTTGAGGTGCACCGGCTCTTTTGCGCAAGTCACACACTGCCCCAGGTTGTGCGACGTGCTTCGCCATTCGGACGATGAGGGTGTCGAGAGGTGTCATCAGCACCCACTAGCCGCTTCGAGCATGCCCGTTGCAGCCACATTTTTCAGGCGACACCGCCCTACGCCCTGGCGCCCGCCCGCGTCCCCCGATCCCACCTAGCGTCAGCCCTACTGTACGAAGTCCGTGCTGTGAACCGTTCCTCTTTCCATACCTAACTAATAACTACACTGTGAAGTAATCGACATCCTTGTCCCGATCCCTAACGCCAGTAGTCCCGTTGCTACGACTGCTACCCACGCTGCTGCCACCCACCTCCACGCCAGCCGACAGGTCGATGCCGCCGATCCCTATGCCAATGTCTGTCCCGTTCCTGGCGCCTCTGCCGCCCTGCCGCGAGATCGCCTGCCGCGACTCCTCAAACAGGAAACTGCTGCCCGTCGACTGCTTGCTGCCCACCTCGACCGGGCTCGCCAGCTCTACCAGCTCCAACGCCTCCTTCAGCGTTGCACCCGTCTCGTCCAGCGCCATGAGGAACCGCGCCAGCTCCTTGCACAGGTCCCAGTCCTGCTCGTTCTTCGCCCGCTGCAACAGCCGGATCAATTGATGCGAGCTCGAGCTCAGCTCCTCAAACGTGTGCAACACCAGTAGGTAGCCGCCTGCCGTCTTGAGAGACCCGCGCTGCAACGACTCTTCAAACAGTTCTTGCGGAGGCGGCAGGTGCGCGAATAGCGTGCGCCAAGAGCGGACTTCCGTCTTGCGCGTGCACTGGACGACAATGTCTAGATACTGCGGGAAAGAAGAAAGAAACGAGAGTACGCTTGGGAGTAGCGCTTGCTCCGGTGGCGGAGAGGTATCCACTTCGTCGTCTAGCACATCGTGCAATAAGATCTCCAGCGCATGCGGAAAATAGAGCAGATGCTGATAGTGGTGAGACAAATGCAACGCCGCGGGCGAATTATATTGCGCCAAATGGTGTCGAAGTAACGGCGGGATGAAGAGGTGTGTCTGGACATGGTCAGCCCTGCATAGATGAATTGTGGTCGTCAGCGCCGAGGTGTGGCTTACCCTAGTTGCAAACCGGAAGTAAGCAAAATTGATGTCACGTCTTTGCACCAAATCAGACTCGACGCCAAATAGTATCCCCTTGCTCATGAGAGGAGACAAGGGGTAAAAGTCCACTGGTATGTTCACCGTGGCTGGAAGGTCTCTGCCCAGCTCCGCAGATGCCGAGATCAGAACGTCCTGCGCATCAATCCAGAGCTTCATGTCCTGCCCATCGAAATACCACAATGAATCTCGCAGGTCATGTCCCTGGAATTGATTGCTTGTCATGTTAGCAGCCGAGCTGGGCGGCAGATAATCCTCGTCCTCTGCAATGCGGAATGAAGGATGATCGCGCATCAGCGCGTAGTATTCCACGTTTTGTGCTATGATGCGCATCTCATATTTTAGCATGCCGTCTTCATTGGTCGTTGGCTGTAAAAGTACGAGTTTCCCGTCGACCAGGAAGAGGATCGTGGCCACAGCGACGTCTTGTGCTGGGTCACCGTGGTCTGTAGCCTATCAGCAGCCGTCCCAATGCATGATTCCGTTGTCAGCTTACCTAGCTGTTCTTCTGGCAGTATCCAGCTCAAAGCTCGCACTCGAGGCGGTGCTCGGATGATGCCGTGAAGCGCAATTTGACCAACCTGTACGATCCTTACCGAAAAGTTTGCGACGTTGATTATGTAGTGATAAAGAATGTTCTCGTAGGTATAGACCAGGAGCGAGTCATCCCCCGAGGGCGCGATAAGCACAATGGGCGCTGGTAGGCGTTCGACGTGCATGACTTTGCTGTTGTCAAGCTCTTTTTCGCGAGAGTAAATGCGAAGTTCATGAGAGTTGTTGGATTCAACTGCGGCAATAAGGACGTGTTGATACCAGCACATGCCACCCCTAACAGTGAATTCGTTTTCCATGACGGGGTTCTCGAAAGTCTTCCACCTGCCACTACTGACGCTGTAATGGGCCAGGCCGCGCCGACCTGCTACAGCCACATAGCGGCCATCAGCGGAGATGACTGCGCTCCTTATGGGCCATTGGTCAACCAAATAGGCGTTCGGAATCTGGACGTGATACCATAAAGACGCCTCTGCCGATATTGCCGTCAAGTCTGGCATGTCGTAGCCGCGATAAATCATGAAGCCGGCGTTTGTTTGGAGCAACGAGCGTGAGACATTGGCTGAAGAAAAGCATCCTGCGACGGCACTGCGGGCCATCTCGAGCAGCCATAGTCGATTGTCGTTTTGGCTGAGAAGAATGATCTCCGAGCCGCCGCCAAGCCAGAAACCATCACGAATGCTCAGGAGCCACCCTTCGTCGTTGTTCTCAGACATTGGACGCGTCGAAGTAAAACTGTTTGCTCCAGGTTTGCCGTACACACTCCACATCATCCATCCTGTTTCGTAACCGGCAAAGAGGCAATACCCATCCGGAGAGTAGCTGAGGAAGGTCAGCTTGCCTGAGGTCGCCGTAGTAAGACCCGTCTGCAGCTTGTGTGACAATGGAACATGGCCATCATAGTCCCGGGCGGTATAGACATGGATGTCTCCGCTCGCACAGGCAACGGCTATTAATGAGAATCGGGCATTGATGGCAGCCTTGACGGCCTGAGTGTCCGCAGTCTCGGGTTCGTGGAAACAGTAGCCCTTGAACAGAGGTTGTTGCCCCTGAGCATTTCCCGGCTCTGGCGGAAGCCGTTGGACAGCATAGGCCTTGCCATCACTCATCACCCAAGCATAAAGATTCATCGGCCGATCATGCACGACGTCCACCACAGTAGTCTTTTTCCCCAGCCATGACATGCGGCTGAGCGGCTCCGTGCTGATTTGCGACCCGTTGCTGTCCGGTGCCCAGCGAATGCACTGGATGGCAGCAGGCTTCTCAGTCGCAACAACTAGTTCTTCGTCCAGAGCCAAGGCCTTTGCGATGCCAGCGTCGACCTTTATAACCATTCGAAAGCGGAGGCTGGCTTCTCGGACACCGCCGCCCTCGCCAGGCCCTCCGGGTTTGTCGGTAGTTCCATGCTGCCTACTTCCAGCAATACTCTGTCGCCGCGAGTGTCCATGGGCATTAATGTCGAAATGTTGTCTGTATACGCGAGAGTTCGGGTCCGTGGCCAAGGAGTAGGTTATCAAGTAGCCTAGCGTGGTTTGCACGACGAATATGGCCGAGTCGGGGCGCAGGAGAAGGGCGACGTTGGGACCGTATGTCCTGATAGAGTGGGTTGAGCGCAGCACGGAAGCTAGAATCGCGGTGGGCTTGAGGCCGCGTGTCAGTCAATGCAAGCTGGATGACGAGGGGGAACGCCGTTACCTTTGCCTGCCAGACGGTGAGTGTTGAGCGCGTAATGGTCGCAAAGATGTGACCGTTTCGAGCAACGCGCAACCCGACTATCTCCCCGTCAAGGTGCTGTTCCGCCTCAGTCCCTTGCAGCGTCCCGTTGGGTGCGCCCGGCGGGTGCGATGGGGTGCCGTCCGACCCTTGCGTCACCGGGTCATGATGTTTCTCGTCGTCGCCGTCTTGACGTTGCGGCGCGTTAGTTGCGGATATGACTCGGCGCGCGCCATTGGTTTCCGCGGGCTTTGATGGGGATTGCAGGCCGTCGTTGGAGATGGTGCGGAGCTCTTTGGGGAGCTGGTGCTGGGTCGCGGCGTAGACTCTGGGGCTCCCAATGGGCCAAAACATGGCTTTCTAAGTCGAGCAATGCCGGCATTTGGGAAGCTCCATATCAGGCGTGAGCCAAATGTCGGAGCTCGATGTGCCGGCGGGGGAACAAAGACCAAGCTCGAGGATTATGTATGATGAGGTGGGATCACGGCGGCCCTTGGGCCATGACAAGGCCCCGTGGATTCGTGGATCCCCGGCACGAGCTCCCATCCCTGTCCAGCCGCCATGCGCCCGAAGCACACACAAGCACCATTCAACTTCTGGATAATCATTCTCTCGAAAGCATATTTATGTACACGAACAGAAGCCCAGTCTATCAATTTCCGTGTGCCTCCACCTCCATTCGTCGCAGCAACTTTATGCCTAGCAAACTTCAAACAGTCAAAAGCATCAATCCCACACGTCGCTAGAATAAGTGGGCTTGAGAAGAAAGTCATAAGAAAAACGCCGCAGAATGCCAAAACCCTACCTTATTTGTGCGAATCGAAACCCTTACCGTACAAATAGACTCGTGAAAGCCCAGAACCGGAAACACCAAAACGAATCCAATCTTTTGGTAATCTTACACGCTGACGTTTCCTGGGTCCTCTTCCACCACAGGTCCGTCTACCCAGCCCTCAACAACCATGCCATGGCCGATATCGCCTTCGCCGATATGCAGACCTTCGCATTCTCCGCGCTCAACCCACTCTTTGTCGTCGTTGAGCTCGCGCCAGATACGCTGGAAATACATCCTCAGCGTGCGCAGACCGCGGAGGTACCCTCGGTCCACCCCGGAGGGGTCACCTGGCGGGCAAGGCACATCTTCCGGCAGTGCATCCTCCGCAGTGACACAATTGGCGAAATCAACAATCTTGAGCTTGATCTCGTTTTTGGCCCGGTTTTCCTCTGAAGCCCTTGACGTTCTGCCGTCCTCAGAAGAGCGACGGCTTGAAGTTTTAGAAACGGGCTCGATAGAAGGCTCGCCACGATCGTATAGCATGAGCAAGCTGCTGGCATAAAAGCGGTAGCCGGGAAGGCGCCTGATCATCCGTTCAAGTGAGGCGATCTTGTCCAGAATCGCAGGAATATGCTTCTTGGCGCTGGAGTATCCGTGGCCGTCGAAGAAGAAACGTGTCAACGCATCCTGAAACTCCTTGCCGGCTTTAAGGTCGCGGCCAAAATATTTGTCCTCAAAAATGTAGGACTGTGTCTTGACGTTCCAGACCTGCATACCGCAGACGCGAACGCCCAATTCCCGGGATGTTGTCATTTGACACTTGCGCCGCTGCGAACGTTGTTTTTTCTCATTAGCTTCCACGCCATATTGGCGGGTGCCCATCTTAAGATCAAGTACGCAGGGCTTGGACATTCCCGCGGTAAGGTCCTCAAGCAAAATGAAGTGCTGCACTCGTTCGTCCGGTTGCACAACTGCTGCTTGATTGGGGTTACGAGGGTCTTTCATGGGTGTTTGTTTCGGAGTTTCGGGGGCCATGACCGGGGCAGGGAGCATGCTACCAATGCCAGTGTTTGCATCCGCCCGATTATTTTGCTTCTCAGGGGTGGTTGGCAAACGTGCCTCTCCATTTTCCTGAGAAGAAGATATCTTCCTGTCTTCATCCATGGTGAACACATCATCTTCACGGTCGCCTCCGTATCCGTCTTCCTCGTGATACTCTAATGCCCGTCTGCCGCCGACATCAAGCTCCCGCGGCGGTCTGCGAAGGCCACCGCCGGAATGGCGACGCCTTGGGACATGAGGGCTAGTGGACGTTACTTCTTCAACCTCTTTAGCTGAATCTATCCCTTTAAGCTGTGGCAAGGAAGGGAATCTTTCTAATGACCTGCTTTCCCCACCAGCCGTCGGGTTGAGAAGATGACGTCCAGCTTCCGACTTGAGCACCTGCTTCCGAGGGCTTCCACAGTCATCCATAAAAGCTTGTCTCGTAGGAAGATCAGCACTGCCTCTGCGGCGTGCAGGAGAAGTATCAACATCTATCGACTTTGAATCCAGACCACGCTTTCTCCCGGGCAAGCTATGATGGTTCCGATCATGGCGGTAGTGGTGATGAATAGTCGGAGGAGTAAACACCTCCTTAAGAACTTGTTCGCGCAGTTTTCTGTTGACAGTCGTAGCACCCCAGCTCATAGATTGTTTCAGCTCTGGTCGAGAGGGACTGGTGCTAGCAGACGCCGGGCGATACCGCTCTGAGCTACTATTGCTTCGACTCTCGCGAGTGAGCATAGAGGCATGGGAGCTATGCGGCCTCGGCGTGCTTGATCGTGGTGGGTAGCGGAATAAGTTCTCAGGGATGATGTGCCGGTTGTTCTCGAAAATGACTTGTGGCACCGGCATAACCTGCTGCGAATGGCTCACCATCCGAGGCTGGGCATCAGCTGTGTCGCCATTCGTTTTTGTTGGAAACTGTTGGTCCGAAGGCACTGCTTCGTGACCCGATTTGGCAGGAGTGTCGGGTTCCGCACGATCACTGTTTTTGGTGTCGGCTTCTTTTGCTGTGTCATCTTTGGCCGTCTTCTTTCGCTTCGGGGCTTTCCGGTACGTAACGTTCAAGACACCGATATATCTGTTACGAACATTAGCATATGTCGGGAAAAGCAATACTCACTTAAACAGCAGGCTAGATGGATCGATGCATCTTTGCTGAAGTTTCAGCTTCGAGCTTCGAGCAGGGCAAAAGTGCAAATCTTACCTTGGCAGGAAATCAAGCAATTCAGGATGATGGCGTTCCACGATTTCGTAGAACTCATTCTCCCTGTTGTTCAGTTGCTTGCACACGGCTCGCCTTGAGAAGCGATACACAGTAGAATGTCCGCCGACCTGATGGGCATAAGGTTTCAGCTCTACGGCTCCAAGAGGGGCTGCATCATGATGGCGTTTGTGACGGTGATGGTGATGATGATGAGGTTTTCCGGGTGTTGTGGAGGTTGTATCGCGGAAAGATGTTTGGGTAGGCGTAGTCCCTAACTCATCAGCGACACTAGCACTAGATTCATACCCTCCTTGGGCAGAACGAGCGGATTCATCATAAGACTCGTACTCAGATTCTGAGTACGAAAGGTAGTGTTCTGATTCAGAAACAATGCGCTCTTGGTGCTCCGGTTCTGGCGTTGGCGACGACGGTCTGACCTCCCCATGAAGATATTGCTCTTTGTCTTCATCTCGTGACTGAAGAGATATCTGCACCGCATCGGGCGTTGTGGTAGACTTTTTCTCCCAACCAGCAGGGAACCTTTGATTGTCATCCCTAGTGGGTGTCGCCTGAGAAGGCAATTCCTCTCTTACGGGGCTGAGTTGGTCGGGGGTGCCTTTGGTGGGAGTAAGTTGACGATGTGGGAAGTACAACGCTGATGAGATATGTTCTTTTTCGGATTCATCGTCTTCGTCGGTCAGGACAGGCTTGTCGTCAAGATGCTCAGGAGGCAACCCAAAGTAGTCTGTTCCCTTTCTTGATGACTCATTTCGAACCGGCTTAGATGACCTTAAACGCTCTGACTCCACACCTTTGGATGGACCTCGTTGCGCGGCAGGTGTGAGGTTATGAAAATTTTTGATTTCTTCCAGAAGGGTCAAGGGAATCCCATGAGGTCGGTGAGCTGTCAGACCGCTCTGTGAATTCTCGGAAACACCGTGGTCATCCCTCTCCACACGACGGCCTCTGCTGGGCGTATCGGATAATGGTGACTTCCGCGGTGAAGGTGATGTCGTGTCTGGACGACCATCGTCCGGTACCTCGAGCGTATGGAGAGCATCGTCGTCGACAACCGCTATCTCGGTAAGGGCCTCTCGTCCAGCGGTCGAGTGTTCACGGCTTTCTTGTTTTGCCAATTCAGCATCGAGATGCTCTCTTGCGCGCTTCTTTTGCTCTTGGGCTGCCTCATTCTCTTTGAAAAGCCCGAGATAGTGACTAGCCTTGCGACTCCGAGCAGCAACAGCGCTTGGTTCGGCCTTGGGTAAGGTTGCTTCGATTTTCTTGTCTACACGCGTATTGCCTCCATCCTTTGCATGTTGGTGTGCAGCCATGGCACCGACGGACAACGTTGGCTTTCCTTCTCTCCAAGACCGGTACCGCACCCTCTCATCACTATCCAATGTGTCCTGCGCTGAGGGGTGTTCTTGCGGAGTTGACGGCTGTTTGTGGGGAGAATCAATGGGATAATTATACGGCGAGTGCTGATCTTGTTTTGTCGGCTGGTCAATTCCGCCGGCACGCAAAAATTGCGGTATGACATGGGTCCTGGAAGGCTTCTGGGGGTCATCAGGAGGCACGCTGCCCCCGACTTGTCTCATCTTTTGGAATTCGTCAACCAGGGCGGAGTGGTCCAATGACGGTGACGTAGACGGCGACTGAGAGTAGAGATGGTGCGGTTGGCGAAGAAGGGGAGGGTCCATGAGCTTCCTAAGGGGCGAGGCGGCCATGTCGGCGGCCGACTGTTGGTCTTGCCTCTCGCAGTCGGCCGCAGCTTCAGCGGATTTGCGGGGTTCGTGGTTGGGAGAATCAGCAGGACTGTCTGTTGGAATGTAGTTTGTCGCGAAGATGCTGTCACGCTCGGAGAGCTGGGGCAGGTGCGCGGAAGGGGCGTAGAGGGAATCGAGGGAAAGCGGCGCGGTCCTGGATCTGCCAGTTTGCGAGAGTGTCTTTGGTGTCACCTTCGCATCCCCGTCGTCGTCGGACGCAGACGACGCATGACGGCGATCGCGGGAGATCCTGGAGGATCTCACCGGGGTGGAAGGTGAGGTATTATCCGGAGCAGGAGGAACGGAGGACATGGAGCGTACATTGGTCAGGTCGTGCAGGGCGGCGTGACGGGTTGGCTGGCGGGGGTTCGGTAGGCGACGGTATCATGAAGCACCTCCCAAAAAGAACTTGCCGAGGCGGCGACACGACGACAGGCCGAATGGGATAAGGCCAAGGGCTGCACGAGCGGTTGTCTCGGCACCAGTGGGAGCCTCACGTTGGTCGGGCAGCGGCGCTGGCTCGTCGGGCGGGCGTGCGGGCGGGCGTGCGGGCGGGCGTGCGGGTTCCTGGGAAGGCGAGAGGTGGAAGTGGAGGTGGTGTAGGGCAGAGAGGCAAGGGCAGGCCAGAGGCAACGCGCTGACTCGCACGCATCAAACCATCGTCATTGCACTTTCGCCGCCCACCGCTGCTGCAGCTGCTCCCCTGAAAATCGGCCATCGCGACATGCCCAGACGGCCTTGGGCCCCCCGCATTCCACCCTCTGCAGAGCGGCCCGCCTATCACGCCGTCGAGTCGGCCCACGTTCTGCCCTGTCGGCCAGCAAGGGCCTGCGCGATCGCATCGCTGGCCGCAGAAGCACACCCCCCAATCAATGTCAGTCGACATCTGTACCATACGAACACCGCAATCCCAAATCTCAAATGCCCCAGAGGTCCTCTCGCAGAAATGTCGGCCTGCGTGCGTGTCTCAAGGAGGCCTGAGCAATGCCCACCATGATGTCGGATGGCGCACGCTCCGCTCAGCAGCCGGTGTTTAGCGCATCGTTTGCGTTTGGCCAGACAAACCTCGATCAAAACATCCACCCACCTGACACGTCTGCCTTCTCCACGTCTGTCGAGTTTGACTCCGTTGTCCAAGTGGCCCCGGCAACCGATGTTTGCCCAGCCCTGACACGTCCGCCTTCTCCACCCCCGTCCGACTTGACTCGTGTCGCGCCAAGATCTCCGCTGTCGCAACTTCCCTCTTGCACTGGCAACCACCGCACCTTCCGCTCTACGCCACTCACACCCATCCTCGAGCCGCACCCAGGTCCGAGTCTCTCTCTAGCAGACGTCACGCATGACGCGACCGCATACGTGCTAACCCTACAACTTGCCGCTCACCCGCATCCTCTGCCGAGACTTTGGACGACCTCGAAGAGCTTGGCGACGAGAATGAAGAAGAGAGAGGTGGCTGACTCGCCACGCATAGCAGTCTCACGCCGCTTACGACTGTCAACGGCAGCCTGGATGAATAAGAATGCGAGTACCGGCGAAGATGGTGGCACGAAGCTCGACGACAATGAGGAAGCGGTGAGCAGGACGTTAGGTGGTTGGCTACGGCACCGGCGAGGGCACCAAGGGCCTCGGAATGATCGGGCAGGGAATGGACGTGTCCATTTGATTGCTGCGGATCAACCAGCTCATCAAAGCGAAGCTGTCAAAAAAGAGGTCTGAATGGAGCGAGGCGGTGCCAGCCGGATAGTATCATCCATCTAGAACCCGGGCGGTGGGCAATGTCAGTGTGCTGCGAGGACAAGGGCTGCGGATGAGCGGCATCCTATCGAGTGCAGCTGGTATAGTGTAGACGACTGCACTCACGGCAGTGTAGAGCCTGGAACTGGTGAATTCGAAGGTGAGCGAGGAGATGAGGAGATGAGGAGAAGCCATAAGCATAAAGCTGAAGAGGACAAGTGATTCAGTAGTGGCACATTAATGCAGATAGTCGAGGCGCAGATACAGCCCAAGGTCGACGTGGCGGGTTTAAGGTGCTTACGTGCTTACGCTACCAGTGAGGAAGAATCAAGTCACGGGCGCGACCAAGGGCCAGTGAACCCTCGCCATGGGCGTTTCGGCACGATTGAAGACATACTTACCTTTCAACACTACTATTAGCCGATGGTACAACTAACTTCTGTCACCGTCTAGCGATATTCACCGTCTAGCGAGATGGGGAAGGATACAAGCAGTTCCCATGGAACACTCCTTGTCTAGCTACATGTCTAAGTCCTGGATATAAGTAAGGAGATCTTTAGGCATATACATACCGACAAACATATTGGCTGGATTTTATTTCCACTGCGTATCCACCGGAATACATCGTTCTCTCGTTAGGCGGAGGCTCTCGCTTGACGGTGACGGACGTTATGGATTCACTGGACCGTAAAAGGACGTGGAGCAACAAACTTTATGACACGGGCTATGGCATTTCGCTAGTAAGGTCATTGTCACCTTAAAGTCAGCAGACTATCATACAAGCCTATCCCTCGATTGACAGAACGTCAGAAGTCACTACCAACCTAACTGCGCCGTTGGTAGACTAGCATATCTTGAGACTAGCAGTGGCCCCAAGACGAGAAGCATGCCAACGATTATAGCCTCCCATTGCTTCGCGATTCTTCCTGCCCGCGCTCCCACATCTCCGATCAGCATCATTTCCCCGTTCGCCTTTCTCGCAGCCTTTAGGCCGGTACACCCATCTAGACTGCGGACATTGTTCTGTTTCTGGTAATCAAGGATCGCGCCGTACCCTTTCTTTTCCATCTTCTGGGCCCAGTTTGTAATTGTGTCACGATCGTTCCAGTAAGCGGCAGCAGAAGCTTCCACATCAGTGTTTTCGTTTGTGGCAGTCTCATGAGCCAGAACAGGCACGCCAAAACCACAAGATGTTTGTACCTGTCAAGAAATTAGCCTTGAGCTTCCGTAGTGATTCCGACTATCTTAGCCGCGGCAACAATTCACTTACCTTGAAAACATCCAACACAATGACCGACCTACAACCCTTGATCCCTTCCTTAATCCGGGTCTTCTCGAGCCACTCCTGGAATCTGTCGCCGCCGCGCTCGACCACGCGTCCAGTGCAAAACAGCCTCATTATCCTCGGGCTTTTCCCAAAAGAGCAAGCCATCAGAGTCACGCGGCCATTCTCGTAAATGTGACTGATGGTCTCGCAGCCGGAGCCGGTGCTGTCGAGGTAGGCGACCTGATTGGGCCCGATGACGGCAAGTGAGTGCGAAGGATGCCCCTTTGGACTGACATTGATGTGGGCGCCGGTCAATGGGGCGGAGGCGACGAAGAACAGCGGTTGCGCGAGAAGCCAGTCGCTGAGCTCGGGGGAGAGAGAGGTGTAGAAGTGTGGCATCTTGCTGTTGGTGACGCAGTAGGTGTGTGGTAATGGACGAGATATGACTATAGGGAAGAATTGAGCGTATGAGTCGTGAATGGTGGCAAGGCTCGAGGACGTGCTCTACCCCGCGATCCCGAAAAGCGCAATGGAGACGCGGTTGGGAGATGGGGGACTTGTGTTTACTACGTACCTTTCGGTTTAAGAATTACTGCAGAGGTCTTGTTGATGCAGCCCCCACGGTGTGACTCAGCGGCCGATTTCGCATGCAGGATGACTCTTTATATGCAAGACCTCCGCAGTAGCCAGTTCATAATGGTGTATCTGTGACACGTGAAAGCGGGGGTGCCACCACCCACCCACTGATGTCAGTACACCTTTTCTTTCTTTAGGAATTCATCACTGACTGCCAATACAACATCAGAGCTTCAATCCTTTGCAGACACCTAGCCACGGTACCATCGACTCTCATGCTTCAGTGCTGTAAGATTTTGAGGGGCACATAAAACTAACTTGGTAAATACGAAACCATGGAATGCTTTGAGTGTCCTAAAAACACCTCCCAACTACATACGAATAAGCCTCATTATATCTATAGAGTATTTCTTAAGTAACTATAAAGATTCAAGATATTTAATAGTAGAAAGTGTACTCTATGTCCATATAGTTATATTCTTACGTAGGGTGGGCAAATTTTCCGGGCTATACAACTAACTTAATATCTACGAAGTTATAAAATGAGTTGAGTGTCACAAACATTTTTTATATATATACTAAAAACCTCTCCTAATTATTACCTACTGTTACATATTTTCTAATTAGGAAAGTGGCAGTCGTTTTTACCCTAAAATATTAGACGTATCTCGACTGTGCCGTTAAAAGTTACAGCGTCATTTTACTATACTGAGGTACTACGAATATAGAAGATGTTTGTATTTCACGAAAACACGCACTCCGATCTCGGCGACCTGGGACACAGCAAGCCTGCCAGTTCCCCCAGAAGCGAGGTCCACAATGCAAAATGTTGGCACCAGCTTTAGGCCACTTCATGTTTATATCATCCTCCAATTACACGAGATCAAATGTCTTCGGGACCAAGCATTCATCATGCTATGCAACATTTATCAGTTAAATTTTCTCAGCGGTTCAAGCTACGGTTGTCATCATGCAACTGTAACTGCTTTGAAACAGGCAGCACACGGCTGGTATATTTACGCTCAGTTCTGGTATGGGGTTGAGTCTCAATTGGTTGACTTCGGATCAAATGAAAAGAAGGATTTATTGCTCGAATGATACTAAGAGAAAGAACTGTGAAAACATCGGAAGGACATTCACTAAACATAAAAACATTCGTATTACATGCTTTAAAAAGGCGAATAGGTACAAACCAAACGTTTTGACGGGTGCCCATGAAACAAGCACCTGTAGGCACAGATCAGTCCAACTGCGAGGAACTTCAACCTCACCACGAGGAAAAGGAACTGACTATCCCAACAGCTACCGGACAGCCGCGGGCTCATCAAGCCGCACTGAACTGACTCGAAACATGTCTCAAGTCTCACCCGAACTGCCCGGCTATCCAAATCCGAAACTACCCGGCCAGCTGGTAGACTTGACAGGTCCGCAGCCTCGCTTTATCATGACAAGAACGGAGAAACTGGACGGACCTCGCGCATGCGCAACGCTCAGCCACTGTTGGAGAGCAAACCCAGCGCTCTCGACACTCACTGCAACCAACCCGGAGGAGATGCGCAGAAGCATTGCAGTAAGTGCGCTCCCAAAGCCCTTTCAAGACGCCATTGTCGTTGTCGAGAGACCCAGCATCAGATATCTCTGAATCGACTCACCATACGCCATGCAGTCAGACGAAGGGAGCAAAGCCGATTAGCCCAGCCATGGCTCATCATACACACAGTGTACCTGCATAGCATCATGACCACATCAGCCACACGCGCGACAAACGCAAACGAAGACCGCTTCGTCAAGCGCAACTTGACACTGCTGCGACCCTGCCAATTCTTCTCACATGGATACGAAACCACAGTGGCGACCATGCACGACCGGCTCTACGACAAAGCAAGAAGCAGCCGGCCGCGCGACTTGCGTGCTTGGGCGCTACAAGACCGCTTGCTGGCGCTTCGCGTGTTGCGCTTCACTGACGAGCAATGTGTGTGGGACGCGCAGAGCAGGAACCGCTCTACCTACGAGGGCTCACCCAGAGGCCGCTCTTTCGTACCAGGGGACGAGGTGATGGACGCCCGCTTTAGCCCTTTAGTCTGCCGGGGTCGGGTGAGGATGCCTATTCCTGGGTGAGGAGCTGGACTGAGATCGTGGAGGACTACACTTCGCGTTCGCTCGCGGGGCACCATAAAGACGAGCTTGTTGCGTTGTCTGGCCTTGTTAACCGGGGGCTTGAAGACAAGCCAGAGGCGAGAAATATCTGGATGGCCGTTTTCGAAGCATGTTGCCTCTTACTCTTACCTGGACGCCAAAGGGACTCGCCGAGTAAAGCTTTGGTGAGCGCCTTCTTAGAGCTAGGCCGGCATGGACGGGCTTGTTCGCTCTCAGTAGTGAAGGGACACCGTGAACAGCCTCACTGAGGGCATCAACATGGTCACTGTGGTGGATATGTACGCTGAGACGGTTGACCCAGACAATCCTGCTTCTAGAAGGTTACCTCGTGGAAACCGAACTACAACTAAATGCCCTATCCAGGGACATACCCGGATCGAGACCCGTCTCATTCAAGTCTGTCAAAGGCAGCCGAGTACAATGGACCCGGCGCGCACTTCCGATAAACAGAAAGCCTCAAACGCCGCGGTTTGGGCCTTGCCTGCCCGAAAGCATGACGGCCAGATTACCAGGCTGGTACGTACTAGAGCAAGCAGAGGGGAACCACAGCAATGCAGCAGGATCCAGGAGAGCAGGCACATGGATGGCAATCAAGCATAACGACACGCCGTTCGCATCGGAGCAAGCTGTTTGAGCTATAGTCGGGACCTCCGTACAGCAAGCGGCATGGCCCCATTGCCGGAAGACAACGAGAACGCGGCCTCCAGCTCTTCCCTGCTCATCCGTCATTGCCGTCTCACCCACCCCCGGCAGCACGCCAGTGACGGCAGCTGGAGACAGTGCCTACCTAGTAAGCAGGTACAGCGCAAAGGCCCCATTAATCCGTACAGACCTGCTGACACCAGGCGCGATCTTCGCAATATAGATTGCTTTTGACATCAGACCTCGCTCAGCAGGATCCCCAACCCAACCCAACCCAAGCTCGCTCTCTCTCGAGAGAGACGAGGCGACCGGGCACCGATAGCGCAAAAGCGCTGCTCGCTGCTCCTCCGGGCACGAATCCGCCCCCGTGCTTTTCGTGAGGATCCGACACAGGTCATTTCCCGACCCTGCATGCATGCGTGCATGACGCTCGCAATTCCGCCATTGTCGTTTCTAGGTTACGTTCCTTCTCTTCAAGACAGACGCGCATCAGCAGTCGATCCGCGATCAGAAGACCTACCTAGGTATTGTACAATACCATACGGGGCCATCATCAGCGAGCAGATCTACTGTGCACTATTGTAGAGCTGGAGCCGAAATGCGCGTCCCTCCCCCCTCCATGCACCAGCTCACAACCGTGCCACACCAGGTGGGCCTGTGGAGAGAGAGATAGAGAGAATCAGGCAGGTCGCTCGCTCGGCGAACGGCAGCAGCAGCAGCAAGCAGCAGCCTGCCCGCATATTGTACATACATAGCCGAAATGCTTGATCACCACAAGCACTTCGCACCCCACCTCGCCGTACAATAGCCTTGCAAGTTTGCCTTGCCTTGCCTTGCCACCTGGCGCCCATGCACGCCCACCCTTGCCCCTGCCCGCATGCATGCATGCAACACGCATGCGCCTGCAGACAGGGCAGAGCAGGGCAAGCACCCTGTCCTTGCACCCGCTCGCCATCGTCGGTCCCCCGCAGGGCCGCCGCTCGCCGGCCTCCTCGCCCTGCAGGGCTGGAGGCGAAAGCGGAGTGGAGTGGAGGTTGGAGGGAGGCTGTTCGTCCCGACGCACAGCATAGCATAACGTAGCGTACCGTACCTTATCGCACCGTACATAGCGTGTCGCCGGACCTAACCACGGCGGGTGCTCCGTGTTGTCCTGTACGCCGTACGCCGCGGGCTCACCTCACTCACTCTACCTGCGGCGCGCGCTGATCGCAATCCGTGGACGAAATTGCCAACACGAGGGCGGAGGGCGTGGCAGCGTTGCCGTTGAGGATAATTGAGCGAGCTAGCTGGCTGGCTGTGCCGCTCATCGGTTCAATCCGTCAGTCTCACACCACACCACGGTCGCCGGCTGAGTAAGAGCAAGCCGTGTTGCTGCAATGTACATACAATACCTAGGTAGTAGGTAATGTATGTTTACGTGGTAGAGAAATCGGAAGGCGCTATCCGGCATGCACCCACCAGCCTCCTGGCCCCCCACTCAGCCACTACCCATGCCATGTCCGATAGATAGATAGGTAGACGGACAGATAAAACGGACGGCTAGATTGCATATGGATTGGAGGAAGAGGAAGAGGGGCAGGAAGAGGGGCAGGGGAAAAAGCACCACCAGAGGAGTACCACCACGGCGCCCGGCGTCGGACAGCAGACACGCGCTGCGCTGCGGCAATAGGTAGGGCACGCACGGTAGGCAAGGCTGTACGAGTACGATGTAACTGGCCAGGTACAATACTGTACGAGTAGTATGCCAACAGATGCGATGCGAGGCAAGGCGTGCACAGTGCGCTTTGCGCCCACCCGTGGCAGGAATGCCAGCAGCAGTATTAGGACTCTGTACAGTACAGCAGCAGTATCAGCAGCGACGACGGCAGTGTGTGCAATCGCTATACTTTTTCTTTTTCTTCAACTTCTTCTGCTTCCTTTTCTTCTTTAAGTGCTTCTTCTGATGACTCTTAATTCATTTTTATTTTACTTTATTTTATTTTTTTCTTCATTTTTCATTTTTCATTTTCTCAACAGCACCACTACCTATGCGTACCTAACAAAAAGCGCCCCCAACGCAGCAGCAGCCAGCAACGAGCCGAGCGCCGACCAAGCGAACAACGCCGACGCACGTCGCGCCCGATGCGGCCTAGGTTTAGAGAAGAAAAGAGCAGCCCGCCCGCAGGACGCCAGGATGCGTGACCGAGGTCAGGCAATGCAGCGCAGCACAATATAGCTACCCGGACAGCAGTCTCAACCACCACCCGCCATTCTCAAAAAAAAAAAAAAAAAAAAAAAAAGAGGGCCTTCCAAAGATCCCAAATACCCAAATCGCGAATCAGATCGGTCGGGCTCGTCTCGTCTCGTCGATCTGATGATCCAAGTCCTACTAGTTACTACATAGTAAGGTTATAATCGGTTGATCGCATCGGCAGCACGGCGTCGGCATGGTGGCGTTTTTCCTTTCCTCCACCAAAAAAGCCGAATTGCGAAGAAGACGTGCGAGCGTGCGAGCGTGCGAGCCTGGCTGGGACCTGGGTGGGGCAGGGCGCTGCACGGAGCACGGAGCACAGGCAAAGGCAAGGGCAAGGGCAAGGCGAAACGAGTAGCGAAGCGAGACGAGGCGAAAGGAAAGGCACGCAACGCAACGCAACACGGCTTCCTTCGCTTCCTTGCGGGCGATGGATGGCGTATTGTACCGAAGCACGCCAACGCCGCGCGAAGGAATGGTGGCCCGGAGGATGCCAGCCGGTGCTGCTGTGCCGCTGGGCCGCTGTCAGGCCGTCAGTGGCTGGCTGGGCTGGCTGCGCTAGAGACGACAACGATGTCGTGACGACTGCTGCTGCTGCTGCTGCTGCTGCCGAGGGGCAGTTGTGCGGACTGGCGTTTTTGGATGAGTGAGGTTTGCAGGAGTATTTGGGTGGGTGGATGGATGGATATACGGATTGGGCTCAGTGCGTTGGACTTGGCTTTGTAGGTGTTGGTAGTCTTACTACTGCTTACTTTTACTCGTATGTATGTACATGCTCCTGTCGATAAGTATGTCTAACCATAGCCTATTCCACGATGTAGAACACTCTGTACTGCTGTACGTGGAACGTACAGTATATACCTTACTTGGGCACTCTACAGATGCAACCTGTACCTACCACCACAAACACGCAGAGGCAACTGCACTAGCGGCACCACTCACTCCCCCATCTCAACACAGTTCGTCACCATCATTACCCTGAACGAAATCATTCACACATCCATTCCATTCCATTCCCCACAGCATCACACAGGTATACATACCAACCCACCCTCCCCACTAAGACACTAAGACCTAACCTCCCACAACCTGATCTTCCCCCCCTCATTCGCCACCGCCAGCAACAACTCCGCATTCGACCCAGCACTCTGGCCCTCCGCCCCCTCCACAAGCGCCCCATCCCCCCACGCAACAGCCGTGATCCGGCCCAGCGGCGTCCCGCTCGTCGGCCAATTGCGATACACGCTACAGCTCGGCAGATGGATCAAGCGCAGGGCGTCGCGCTTCCAGCGGCTCGCAGCAGCAAGGAGCTGGCCATCGGGGCTGAACGCCAGGTGCGAGACGGGCGTGGTAAGGTGGTCGAGGGTACGGGTAGGGGCCGGACGGGCCGGGACGCCCGCATTCGGCTGCTCGGCCGACGTTCCCGCCGCGGCAGCAGCGCCGGGCCACGCGCGCCGGTCGTAGATGTTGACGATGCCGGAGCTGCTGCCGACGGCGACCCAGCGGTCGCCGCCCAGGAAGGCCTCGCGCCCGCTGCGCCCGCCCAGCGCGAGCACCGACGTGCCGACCGCGCCTTCGTCCTGCCAGCGCGCGACGACGCGCACGCGCTCGACGTCGAACTCGCTGATCTCGCCTGTCTTGGCGGCAATGGTGAGGCCGCGCCCGTTGGCCCACCACGCCACGTCCGCGATGCCGCCGCGCCCTTCGACCCGCGCTTGGCAGCGCCATTGCAGCGTGTGTGCATCTAGAATGTTCACGACGCCGCCGCCTTTCTTCGCGCTGCCCAGCAGCGCCATGTATGCCCCGTCGGGGGAGAGTGCGAACCGCTCCATGGACCGCTGCTCGTGCTGGTGCCCGTACACGCGCGTGACCTTGTCGATGGCGCCCGATTGCAGGTTCCAGATGTGGAAGTAGCGCCGGCGCGCGCTGAGGAAGATGCGTGCGTCGCCGGGCGAGGGGTGGAAGGCCGTGGTCGTAAGAGGCGTGCGCTTGATGTGTAGCGATGTGAGGAGCGGGTTCGGGTGCGGTGGCTGCGGCTGGACGTGGTGCAGGTAGAGGGTGGAGCTGGGGCCCGACGAGAGGAGGAGGGGCAGCGTGGGATGGAACGAGAGCGAAGTGATGGCCGACTGCGGTGCGCGTTAGCATGTTTACCACAGATACAAAGAACTAAAAGACTCACCGGTTGCGTGGTGCTAATGTCCTTGGTGCGCTGAATGTCCAGCACCTCCGGCCGCAGCTTGCGCTTCTTGCTTGTGCTCGCGCTGCTCCTCGTCAGGGCATCAGCGTCCTGAAGCAGCTTAGCCAGTGGCTGTGTCGAGAGGTCTTGGTCGTCGTCGACATCGTCCATGTCCTCGTCCGACGACGACTCCTCGGCCGACGAGCCATCGCCCTGCGCGACCCTCCGCTTCTTCTTCGCCGGCTTCCGCGCCGCCGCAGCGGGGTTCGCCCACTCGGGCGCGGGTCGCAGTCGCTCAAACTGCCTGCGCAGCCGGCGCGCATACTCCTTGCCGTTGATCACGTCTTCCTCCTCATTCCGGCGCAGCTTGCGCAGCCGCGGCACCGAGGCCAGCGACACGACTAGCCGCTCGTCGTCGCTGTCTTCCCAGGCAGGGGCGTCGCGGAGGGGTCCGTCGTCTTCATCGTCCGAGGCGGGAGCGGCGGGGACTAGCGCTTTGGCAGCAGCAGCGTCCGGGCCGGCGTCGACGAAGAAGAGCTGCGGGGAAGTTAGTTGTTATGCTCGGACAGCCGTGTGGATCGGAGCTTCATACATCTGCGTCGGCCATATCGTCGAGCTGGTCGCCCGCGTCATCGACCGACTCATCATCGTCCTGCGCGCGCACGAGCTGGCCGCCGCGCGCGAAACCGGTGATGCCCTGTCTGAATCCAGCACTGTCGCCAAATACTAGTCTCTCCAGCTCTTCCTCGGCGGCGTCCTTGTCCATGGCGAGAGGCTCATTGTCGGAGACGGAGGAGTCCGAGTCATGGTCGGCGAATGCGGGCGGACGATCCTGTACCAGGGTGGAAGGCATTGGGGGCAATATAGTGGTTGGTGGTTATGGCAGTGGCAGAAATTCTTCCTTCACCAAAAAAGTGAGCTGGGGCCACTGGGAGTGCAGGTCGGCGATTATGGGGACCCAAAGGCCGACGCCCGCGGCACCACCAAGTTACCCGGCAATTCATCAAACGAGCGGTGAAGGACGGCAGAAAAATGCCGCGATTCAATCAGTCAACCTAGACGCCGAGCCCGGCGCGGCAAAGTGGGTGGAGCGGAGCCCTCTGCCTCCACGTACGTCGTCGTGATGATGATGGCGGTGGGGATGGCCTCAGCGCGCAATTCCCTTTCTCGCTCTGGCGGTGGTGCAGGCGCGCGCCTTGTGATGGGCGATTCGCCCGCCGCCAGGGCCGCACACCAGCACGCTCACTCGGCTCTTCCAACTTGCAGTTGCCACGCACCACCTGAGATCTTCGAAGCACTTCCAATCGTCGCTCTTCGTATTTTTTTTGCGTGCACGATTGCTCGGCTGCTCCTTGAGGCGACGACCTACGCACACGCCACCCCTCAGTGTCTCCGTCGTTACGGACGCAGGCACCTGATGCCTGACATACGAGGTGATCGGCAGCGGCGACCGGTGGTATTATTTGTCGTAGTTAAGTGCTGGCGCGAGACGATGCTCATGAAACCGTCGTGTACCTTGTCGTGTTCTTTGAACCGAGGAAAGGGAGTGACAAGGAACCGACCTAGGAAGGAACGAGTGCTTGATTGCTCGCCTTGTCGCGTGCTTGTGTGTGTGATTGTGTGTTCGTATTCTACTACTACCAGTACCCTATGTTACTCCTTCTGCTGTCTACTGCTGCCTTAGCCTGCCTTTTTGTTTGTCACCATCATCACACTGGCGCTACCCCCGTCTGACTGTGAAGCTCTAGCTTCTGCACATCAAAGTCGTGTTGTCCTGTTGGTCTACCCATCCAGAGAAGAAAAAAAGGGAAGGAAGAAGCCACACCATATTCATCCCATCCGCCCTGTCCATCCATCCATTCCCCTTTTTCGCGAATCGCATAATAAAAAAGCTTAAATACTTTAACCGCCAGTCCAAAGCGTGTCAAAAAGAAAAAAGAGAGAAAAATTCGGGCGTGCGTGCGCACGCCGTACAACAACGAAACGCCGCCGCCTTCCTGTCCACGTGTCTTTCGCGTGGTCTGTTGATGCTTGCCGAATGAACGCCTGCCCTATGCCATTGTGTGATTAAGCGGATAGCCTCCGATTATGCCTAACCGAGAGAAAAACAATTCGAATGAGTGCTGCATTACAGGGGCGCTGAAACTGGTCCTGCAGACAGGGCGCTTGGGGGGAGCCGATGCGTGCATGACTTTCCTGCACGTCGCACGTTTTGAAGCCGTGTCGATCGGAGGAGCTAATTCAAGCAACCTAGTCCACGGAAAACGGTTTCAGAAGCGCCTGTCGGGCTATCTGACGGGAATTAAACCTGTTCCACAAAGTTGGAGGTCCGAGATTCGGCAGATGGCCTCCGCTTCTTTTGCAGACGCTTCGGCTGGTGCTTCTGCTCATGAGCCTCCTCGGGCTCGGCGGGAGCATCGAAGGTACCGGCGGGCAGAACCTCAAAGCCAGAGTTCACCTTGCGGGCGCCGTGATGGTCATTCTGAGCCTGAGACGAGCTTTCGGCGTAGGCGTAATCGGGACCGCTGGGCTGGTAGGTCTCAAGAGGCGGCGAGACCTGAGGGGGCACTTGACTGCCGATGGCTTCGAGGGGAGCAAGAAACGCGTAATCGCTGTTGGCATTGACAGCTGGCGGCGAGGGCGTCTTGTCAAGCAGAGGCGGAGAAGGAAGGTCGGACAGGACAGGGGAGCGAGCGCTGGGCAGATCGCTCACCACACTACCCCACTCTCCACTGCGGCCAGGTGTGCGATCAAAGGCCTTTTCGCGACGGCTAAGGGAACCCGTTTCCGCAACATGGGACAAGCGGTGGCTGTGGAGAAGGCCAAGATCGGTGCGCGGGTCCCTGGGACGAGGGGCCAACAGAGAGGGTTGCTGGAGTTCACGGCTGTCGTCACTAGAGCTGGAGTTGCGGTCCTCCGGGTTGTTGCTAGAGCCACTAGACTTGCGAGAGCCAGAGTCGTTCTTGTTGGCAGGAGTACCTATGACAATTAGCGGCTGAATGGTTCCACGCCTCGTGTACTACTTACCGGGATGCTCGACCGTCTGGTAGGGCTCAGAAGCCTCAAGGGCGTCCAGAGTCGCAGAGTGCTTGCCCAAGCTTGATTGGCTGTAGCGGGAATAAGCAACAGGAGGAGGACGGTGGTGGCGGCTGTTAAAAGAAGGGCCGGCAACGGGAGACGCCTCTCTGCTGATGGGAAGTCTCTCGGCGGAAACTGCGCGATCGAAGGTAGAGGAACCGGCGCCGCTAGAGGTTGGCCGGCTACTGTACGGGCCAGTCAGAGGCTGCGGCATTTCCAGAGTGCTCATCGGCCTGGAGCTTGGGGCCGAGCCCTGGCCATCTGGCTTGGACAGCGCAGTGGAGGCGGGGCTGAGGGGCACTGGTGTGTTGTTGCCAGAAATCCAGATGCCGTCAACTTGGATGCCGCTCTGAATGGCACGGATACCGAAGGGAACATCCTCTTCGTCGGTCGGGCCAGTAGCTGCCTCGACCATCTGCGGTTCCTGCGAATTCCGGGAACCCTGGAGCTTGCTGTACTTCTTGATTCTCCAGTGCGAGTACCAGACTTTGAGCCAGCCGGCGCCGATTGTGCAGACCTAGAAGCTGGTTAGCAGCGGGCGCAAGAACGCGCAAGCAGTAGGAAGGCGTACAATCGCGCAGGCGAGCACCTGGGGAGATCATGTTAGCTTATCTTATCAGTAAAGGTCAGCGAAGGGCGGGCTTACAAAAGTCATCTTCTCCCACAGCTCCCAGCTTTGGAAGAATGTCTTGCCCATGGTGACGGTGGTGGAGTGTGTGTGTGTGTGTGTGTGTGTGTGTGTGTGTGAGCGAGCGATAGCGATAGAACGAGCGACGGCGGGTGCCGGGGGTTGAGCGCGAGAGGAAGAGGGAAGAAAAGAAACGAATGGGGGGACGTGGGCAGCAGATGAAGTGAGGAGGGAAGGGCCTGCAGTAAGACAGGTGATGAAGCGAGCGGGTGACGGAGCGAGGGGACGGGATGGGTTTATGGGCGCCTTGGCGCAATCGTGGTTGCAGTCTGCCCGATCTTAAGGACCTTTCGGGAAGCGTCAACTCAACGTGGAGCTCGTATTTTTTAAACCCAGGCGGTGGGAGCTTGGCGGAAGGGCCAGCCCGTGCAGTGCAGCAGCGGGGGCTGAGAGAGCAGAGGCGAGGGCGTCAATGGCTACAGCTTAGTTACCGTATATGATGGAGAGAGCTGGCGGATGACGTGCGGACCAGCCAGCCAGCCATCCATCCATCCATACATACATAACAATACTCCCAATACTCGCAGGCCTCGGATTGCAGCAGCTGGGCGGGTGCTGCTGCTCCGTGGCCCCATGCCGCTGAGCCGCGCGAGTACGAGCCATTGACATGGGGGAGAGCTTCTGGAAGTGCGAGTGGAGCAAGGTGACAATCACGGGCGGCACTAGCGCACGGCGCTGCCAATGGACGCGCCGTGAAACATGCCGTGGGACGTTGTGGCTTGCCCTTCCGACCGCCCACGCTAGGGGCGTCAAACGCTCGTGTTCCTTAATCTATTTGCTCCCTCTGAAAAGTTTCTTCTCCGCGCCCCACGTCGCCGCTTGCGCTATTATTAGGCCCTGCGATGCGTCATGGCGATCTGCCCTCCGCACACCACGCGAGCCACGAGACAGCGCCATCTCCGGTCTCGTGAAGATCAGGCTGTGCGACTTGCAGCGAGCTGCTTCCGGCCAGCATCTCCTTCCAACTCCCATACTACTCTCATTTGTCCATGCTCGTGGCTTTTCCAGCCCTTCCAAGCTGCCATCCGCTGCCGTTTCCGTCAATACGCCACGCTAAAAGCGCTACCGACACTGGCCACTAGCGGAACAGGCCCTCCCGAAGCGCTCCGTCGCCTCAGCTCGCCGCGCAGGATTCGCCCTCTTTGGGAATTCTTGGGTCAGATCTGAGCATGCTGACCACGGCCGTGGGATGATAGACCGGGGCTGGAAGCCTGTCGCACTGCCTCGCTGAGTGAGAATAAAACAGTGGTATGCACCTTCCTGGTATACGGGTAACGGGGACCCCGTGGTTACTTGAAGATTCGACTGCCGCTCTGGTGGGAGGCAGTCTGGCCCAAGAAACCAGGACAGATGCTGCCGCTGACCGCTGTCGCTGTCTGCTGCCAGCATCATACGGAATGTGCTAGGTTACCAAGCGTGATGCCGTGCAGACCCATCCACATCCATATAACCCACCTGCTCTCGCTGTAAATCCTGTATCATCGCCTCTGCCTTGCTACGATATGTACATAGCACCACGCGCATCCGCCTGACAGCCGTCATCTGATGACGGCTTGATGATGTCCAAGGCCTCTTGCTACACAGGTGGAGCCCTCGTATACTAGTAGTCAGGAGTTGCACACAGTTGCAGTGCAGCTTCTGCTCGCTCTAGCGGCTGAGGCCGACGCCCCACCCTTGCGGAGTTTTTATTCTAGAGTCTCGCCCACTCCGAGCGTGCTTTCTATCCAGCACTCTTCCTCAGGCTTGTCAGGATGCAAAAGGTGTTGTCCCCGGTATGCAGGTAGCACGATGCGCGGGCCCTGGAAGAAGACATGGTTCCACTCTTCGCTTAGAGCAGGATCAAGAGACATTTCTCAGCCGTTCATGCCTTGAGTTGGGCCAAGGTATGTAGTAAGGCAGGCTGGGCGTGCGTCGATCCTCCTTGCCTGCCTCATCATGGTGGAATGGAAGACCGGCTGCTCGGAAGCCGCAGGGCCCGCCCCCGATCATTCTATTTCCGACCGGTGGTGACGCCTGAGCCTGAACTCACAAGCACAGCCCCGGACTCTTTATCGCAGACTATCGCGACCGAGCGCTCGAATCTACACCCCGGATTTGCTTCAATTAACGTTAACTTCTCGCCGACTGCATTATGCCCATCATCCGGAATCCCTTCAAGCGTGCCTCTAGCGCTACCGAGGCACAGGACGAGAACACTCGCCCGACGCCCCAGCGCAGCAGCAGCGGGGCTGGGTTTCAGCGCGCCAACGCCGTGGGCTCCAAGCCCGTCGACATCAAAGAGCCCGCCGAGTACAAGCTCAGCGGTATGTTTTCCCGTCGCTTTGCGCAACGCGACGATGGGCGCTAACAGACACTAGAAATCAATGACAGCGGCGTATACCTTCCGGTACGGGATGCTTCATCGTAGCTGCAGAGACGACTGCTGACAATGCCTCGCAGCCGTCGCCGCCCGAGAGAAAGAGCTTCTGGTCGACCACCAAGTCTACTTCCAGCACCTCGTCGAACCACCGCAAGATCTTGAGCGACACTGAGCCGTTCAGCATCTCGCGCGAGTCGTTCGAATCCTACCGCAGGTCATTCGTAGGTATCCAGCATGGCTTGCGATATCGCGCCTATCTGACATGCATGCTTAGGATATTTCGGCTCGCACCCCTCTCCCTGAAATCGACAGTCGCGCCCGCCAGAGTCTCGATTCGCGCCAAGCACGCCTTCCTCGATCATCGCTCAACGAACGCCGCATGGGACGACCTATCTCCACAACAGATGAGGGATTTGAAGATGTTGGACTCAACGACGAAGTGAAACCACCCACCAAGAAGAAGGGCCTATTCTCCCGATTTGGCGATTCGTCAGATGGCACAAACGGCACCACATCATCCGACAGCAGACCGTCGTCGAGCCACCATGGTTTCCACTTTGGCACCGGCCGCAAGCGGGGCCAAAGTGGCCAAGGTGCAGAGCTGAGCCCAATGAGGCCTGCAGACCACTCCGTCAAGGAAGTCTTCGTGGAATCCAACTAGCGGCGGGGAAGCCTCAAGCTGGCAATAGTGTGTCGTTTCCCTGCTTGGATAGGATATGGTATGGCTTTTGGGTATGGTTCTGGCGTTCTCGGCTGAAGTCCTCGCGAGTAGTGTGCTGCGCAGGCGGACGGAGTACTCACAATCGTTTATCGGCATGGTTACATGTCTTTATGACAGTGCAACGGTCTAAGCAACATGTAATACTATAATTTGGCGCAGGTCTTGTTTGACAATGGCGCGCAATCAATGAATGACACATTCAAGTTTGAACCACGAGGCTTTCCGGCCAAGGCAGAAAGGGTGGTGCAGTCCCTGTCAACTCACGTCTCGCAAAGACATTGGATGCTTATCTCCATGATCTTCATAGGGTCTGAATCACTTCTTGTAACCGTAGCTATTGGCGTCAAGTCCGATGAACTAACCATAACATGATTGCACCTGTGACTGCTAGACGTTAGTGGCTGCGAGAACCTGCTGAAGGAGAGACTGCGGTTATCTCATTAGTGATGAGAGGTTGCTAGCCCTATGAGCAGACGGTGACTCTAGCTCGTGAATCGTTTAATGCAAATCACATTCCCAATGCTTCTTCCCACCTCCATGCTTCCGTTTGCGTTAGCCCAGGCACGCCAGGAACCAAGCTCGAGTCATGAGAGGGTAAGGCTGGGGACGGTGACGAATCATTAGCTCGAACCCTAGCTCGTATTTTCTGCCACCGCCCGCGGTCGCATCTTCAGAAAAAGTTCCCGCGCTTGAAGCTCAGCCCGCAATCCGCAACGCAAATCCTCAAGATGGCCGGAGTTAAGCGCAAGTCCGCCGAGTTGGCCAAGGTCGCTGGCGACAAGAAGAGCAAGAAATCAAAGTCCGTTTCCGAACCGAAGAGCGTCAAGGCGGCGAAAAAGAGCAAGAAGGAACCCGAGGACATTGTCGAGTCCGATACCACCGAGAGCGAGCATGGCTTCTACGGATACTCGGCGAAGAACGGGGACGAGCAGGACGGCGACGTCAACATGGAAAGCGAGGACGAGGAGGAGGGCGGTGTCTCGACAGGCATCGTCAACGAAGAGCGTAAGAAGTTGGTTCTGGGCGCAGATGGCGCAGGAAATTGTATGTTTCGAACTCCCTTGCTCTGCCTTATAGGCCGAGCCCCTACTGCTTTGCGCAAGACTCTAAGACTCCGACAGCCTCTTCCAGGGAATCGCATCAGAAGCAGAAGCAGCTCGCCAAGGACCGGAAAGCCGCTAAGCCGCACGCCGACGATATTCAGAGATCCAAGAAAATATGGGAGCGCTTAAGGCGCAAGTCCCATGTGCCCAAGGAGGAGCGTGACGCGCTTACAAAGGAGCTGTTTGAAATCATCACGGGAAGAGTTAAGGACTTTGTCTTCAAGCATGACTCTGTCCGTGTCATCCAGTGCGCGTTGAAGTACTCGAACCCGGCGCAACGCAAGATGATTGCAAAGGAGCTCAAGGGCGAGTTCAAGGGCCTTGCTGAGAGCAGATACGCCAAGTTTTTGGTCGGAAAGATCCTAGTTGAAGGGTAGGCGACACGTTCGTTGTTCTCTGTGACAGTGATGCTAATACTACTAGCAGGGACCAGGAAACCCGTGATATGGTCATTGCCGAGTTCTATGGCCATGTTCGTCGCATGATCAACCATCCTGAGGCCTCTTGGATTCTGGACGACATTTACAGAGGCATGGCGACGCCTAAGCAAAAGGCCATGCTCCTCCGCGAGTGGTACGGTCCCGAATTTGCCATCTTCAAGTTGGCCAAGGGCGAGGAGCCGACTGCGACTCTCTCGGAAATCTTCGAAAAGACCCCCGAGAAGCGCAAGCCCATTATGGAGTACCTTCACCACATGATCAACCAGCTCATCCAGAAGAAGTTGACCGGTTTCACCATGCTTCACGACGCTATGCTGCAGTATTTCCTGAACACGAAGCCTGGCAGCGACGAAGCCACCGAGTTCCTTGAGCTTCTCAAGGGCGACGAGGAAGGCGATTTGCTGAAGAACTTGGCCTTTACGAGGAACGGTGCCCGCGTTGCTTGCCTTGCCCTTGCGTACGGTACCGCCAAGGACCGCAAGAACATCCTCAAGGTTTACAAGAAGAACATTGAGATTATGGCTCACGATAACTGGGCGCACCAAGTCCTCTTGACTGCCCTGGACGTCGTCGACGATACTGTTCTCACGGCCAAGTCCATCTTCCCCGAACTCCTCGCCACCGACTCCGGCATGGAGACGCAGCAGGAGAAGCTCCTTGAACTGGCCAACAGCAAGATCGGGCGCATCACGGTCCTGTACCCCATCGTCGGGCGCGCCAAGTGGCTGTTCCCCACCAACGACGACCTCGCCGTGCTCGACGAAGTGCACGAGATCCGCAAGACGACGTCCAAGAAGGACGCCGAGGCGCGGCGCAAAGAAGTCGTCAAGGCCTACTCGGGCGCGCTGCTCAGCATCATCGCAGCGGACCCGCTCGCGCTCGCCGAGTCGTCCTTCGGCTGCCAATTCATCACAGAAGCACTGTTGGGCACCGAGGGCGACAAGACGGCGGCCGTCGACGCGGTGGCGGCCATTGCGGGCGGCGACCCCAAGGACCCGCAGCACCTGCAGCACTCGTCGTTTGCGACGCGCATGTTCAAGACGCTGATCAGCGGGGGCCACTTCGACGCCAAGACGAAGCAGGTGGTGCCGGTGGAGCCGCCGCTCGGCTTCGGCAACAAGATCTACGCGCACGTCAGGGAGTGGCTGGTCGACTGGGCGACGGGGGAGAGCTCGTTCGTCGTGGTTGCGCTGGCGGAGGCGCAGGGCGGGTTCGCGAAGAGCGACGAGGTGCTGAAGAAGCTGCGGAAGGCGAAGAAGGAGCTGGAGAGGGCGGCGAGGGGCGAGGGCCAGCCGGTGAAGAAGAAGGATGTGGAGGAGGGGAAGAGCGAGGGCGCTGCTGCCTCTAAGAAGGCCAAAGGCAAGAAGGACAAGAGCCCCGCTGCTGCTGCTGCTGCTGCTGCTGAGCCGAAGGGCAATGCTGGCGCGCGCATCTTGCTGGGAATGCTGTAAGGTGCTTGCTGCTGGCGAGCTGTGTTTATATTTCTTGTTCTTCGGTTCTCGCGTTCTTCACTTCAGGCAGGCAGGCAGGCGAGCCCGGCGTTTTGCGGCAGAAAAAGACCAAGAGTAGGTAGGTAGGTAGGTAGGTACTGCTGCGGAAAAAGAGCTAGGCTAGGATTTCGAAGCAGTCTATTTTCATCCATGTTGTTTTCATTGTCAGATGATTACCACCTCCATTACTACTACTACTATTACTACCACTACTACTGCCCCCACTACCATCATTATTATCACTACTATTACACTACGGACGAGGGGACGAAGTGTTTTGTTTTTGTTTTGCGTTTGCATTCCTTCACTTAAAGAAAGAAAGAAAGAAAGAGCTAGGCCCACCCGCCAGACAGACAAACAAGCAGACAAGCAACCGAGCAAGCACCACCGCCTCCTCTCACCTCCTTCCACCTCCCTCTTCTAACCAACCCAACCCGCATGCAAACCTCTACTTACTCTACCTACCAAACAACCAACAAACCAACAAACCAGCCAACCCCAACCCAACCCCAACCCAACACAAACACAAACACAAACACAAACACAACACAAACACAAACACAACACAAACACACCTACCACCGCCTCCCCAACCGCCACCCCCCCGTCTCAACCCCATCTCCATCCCCGTCCCTAAACGACGCATAAGACGCAGACGCATAGTCATACGGCGCCGTGAGCGCGCGCTCGACTATTGCTCGCTGCTCGGCCGCCGCCGCCGCCGCCGCCGCCGCCGCCGCTGTGCCGTGGTCTTCCTGCTCCTCCTGCTCCAGCCGCCGCTGCCGATGCTCCTCCTCAAACAGCCTCAGCCGTGCCGCAATCCCGTGCTCCTCTGCATGCTGCTTCAGCCTTGCCGCAAACCGCTGCTCGTTCGCCCGCTGCCGCTGCAGCCGCTCCTGCTGCTCTGTCTTGTGCGGTGGGGGTTGGGGTGCGGGGGCTGTGGTTGAGGCTGTTGAGGGCGAGGATGAGGGCAGTGGCTGTGGTAGCGGCCCGGAGTTTATGCTTAGGGGGTGTTTGAGGGGGAGTGTTGGGTTTGCTGCTGGGGTTGGTGCTGGTGTTGTCGTTGGCGTCCATACCGGCAGCGCCGACGACCGCTTCACTGATGACGACGGCGGCGGCGTCGTCGTCGTCGTCGAGAGCGAGGACTGTGGGCGCGCGGGGCTTGCTGTTGCCGCCGGGGCAGGACGCGCGCTGCCCGCGCTGGCTGTGCTGGCTGTGCTGGCTGTGGTGGTGCTGGTTGAGTCCTTGGTCGTGTCCATGTCTCCATCCTCCCCGTCCTTACCACCACCGCCACCGCCGCAGCCCTCATCCCAACCACTCGCGCCCCGCCTCCCATTCCCGCCGCTCATCCCATCCAAGCCCGCCTTCGCAAACTCAGCCGCCAGCACAGGAAACGACCGCTTGGCGTAGTGCGAGCGACGAACCGGGGCGTCTTGGGCCAGGCTCGTGCTGATGGTGCTGTCGATGCAGCTGGTGGTCGTGGGTGACGGGAGGGGCTTGCGCTTGGTGGGGGTTTCGGGCTTTTCTTCTTCGTCTTGTTGTTGTTGTTGTTGTTGTTGTTGTTGTTGTTGTTGTGCCTTGTTCTTAATCCTCTCCTCCCCCTCCTTCTCCTTCCTGTCTCTCTCCCTCTCGAGGGCGTTGGCTTGTTGTTTCAAGGCGGCGGCGAAGTAGAAGTCGTCGATTGCGCGGCGCGGCTTGAGCGCGAAGGCGCCGAGGGGCTTTTGTGCGCGGGCGCCCGTGATTGGCGGGAGTTGGTGCGCCGTTTCTGCGCTGCTGGTGGTGGTGCTGGTGATGCTAGGAGCAGCAGCAGCAGCAGGAGAAGGCGATGTAGGAGAAGAGGAGGAAGCAGAAGAATCATAAGGAGAAAGCAAAGCAGCAACAGCCGCCTTCCCCTCCTCCGTCTTAATCTTCTCCAACACCGCCCTCAGCGCAGGCGAAGGCCCCGAGATGCGCTCGCCGTGCTTCTGGTTCCTGGTCTCGGCTTGGCCATCGTGGCTACCAGCACCAGCACCACCAGCAGTAGCAACCGCGGCAGCGAGCTTCTTCTTCTCCTCAGCACAAGCAGCTTGTCCCTTCACCGCAGCCGCAACGCGGGCTTTAATTCCCGTCTCCACAGCCCCAAGCCTCGTCTCGAGTTCGAGCAGGCGCTTGCCGTCCTGCTTGACAGCCACGAACGTCTCCTCCGCGCCACGCGCCACGCCCCCGACATGCGCGATGCGGTCTTTGAGCGCGACCAGCGCGCCCTTCGTCTCTGCGGCCTTGAGCTGGTGCGCTGTTTGCTGCTGCTGCGCCCCGGTCTCGAGCGCGCCCACCCGCCCCCACAGCTTCCGCACCAAGGCCTTGAGATCCTTCTCCTCGGCCAGGGCTACGCGCTCCCGTGCCTGCGTGCCCGCCGTCTGCAGCGCTCCCAGCAGCTCGACGCGCTGGCTCAGGCGCTCCCATGTCTTGCGATCGAGCTTCCACGCCTGCTCCTGCGCTTGCATCTGGGCTTGCGTCTGCCCCGCGTCCTCCAGCGCCTGCACCCGCAGCACCAGCGCGCCCACGGCGTCGCTGACCAGGGTGATGCGCTCGCACAGGCGCGCCGCGCCCCAGAAGGGCTGCATGGTTTGGTTTTGGAGCGAGGCGACGTCGCGCTGGAGGGCGTGGACGGTGCGCTCGGAGAGGGCGAGGCGCTCTTCCAGCTCGGCGACGTTGCGGAGGCTGGCGCTTTGGAGGGCCAGGCTGTCGATGTCGTCGACCCATGTGTCTGAGGTGGGGGGAGGGGTGGTGGTGGATTCTTCTGTGGCGGTGGTGGTAGGTGTGGTTGGAGGTGGGGGTGCGGGTGCGGAGTGCGTTTCTTCTTCTCCTCCTTCTCCTTCTGCTGGGCCCTTTTTCTCTGTCTCTGTCTCCTTTTCTGTCTCTTTCTCTTTCTCCCGCTCCTCCTGGCCGGCGCCGGCGGGTGCCACTACCTTAGCACCCCTCTCTACCTCTACCTCTGCATCTACCTCTACACCTGCATCTGCAAGTCTAGAATTCAGCGCACAGCAGGGATAAGGGTCGCTATAGAGGCTTTCATCATCGTCGTCGTCATCTTCTTCTCCTCCTCCTTCTTCTTTCTCCAATTCAGAACCGCATCCGCCATGCGGCTCGTCGGCGTCCTCGGTATCCGCGTACGGCGCAACCAGCGTGCCCGACGCAGAGGTGTCGTCTAAGATGGCGAAGGCGTGTTTTTGTTTGTGCGAATCCGTAGGTGGCGCGTCTGTTGCGTCCATTGCGTCCATTTTGTCGGCGGGGCGTGTGTAGCACGCGGGTGCACGTGGGTGAGTGGTGAGTGGTGAGTGGTAGTAAGTCATGAGGCAAAGGCAAAGGCAATAGCAGCAGCCAGTGTACTATAGTATAAGAGCAAGAGACCCACGTCCGTCGGTCCGGTAAGTAGGTACCTAGGTAGGTAGGTAAGAGACAGGCGTACAGCAGCGGGGGAAAGTCGCTATTTAAGTAGGCCACTGTCGCGCTATTTGATGTCTTCGTTCCTTTCGTGCACTCGTGCCGTGATGCACTGCGCGCGCGAACCATGGCTGTGCCGGGGCTACCGTGGGTACGGAATCAAGGGTGCAGCACCTGCGTGTCCGTATGCGCGAATCGAGACAAGGTACCTTGTGCGAGTCGGTGTATGCAATACGACAAGGTGTGGTCGGCGTGGAAGTGGAAGTGGAAGTGGGCAGTGGGCAGTGATTTTGCGGCTACGGCTGCAGGGCGCTGCGGTGCGGTTTGCTTTGCGTTGAGGTGTAGGTGTCAAGCCGCCGCTGTGCCGGTCACTATGATATGTATGATGAGCAGTGCACTCAAGCACGCACTCCACACGCACGCACACAAACACACACACACACACACACACAAGCATGTATTGGGGAAATGGCAAGTGCCTTTTTTGGTTCATATACCTGTGCCTTTCTGGTTTATATAACCTAGCCTCGCTGCTCGCTCAGTGCCAAATTGAGCCGACCTAGGTATTGACGCGACTGATTTGAGTTTTGGAGGGATCTAACCTAGGTACATCTGCTGCACTCTGCTCTGCAGAAACCCAACCCAACCCCACGCCTCCCTCCGTCTCACCCAGAGCAAGACGACCACCTAAAACGGCAGCTCCCCCCCCTCCCTCAGCATCCTAGTCAGCAGCCACTCCTCGCGCTCATGCGGCCTAGTAGCGGGGTCGATGGCGTCGCGGCGGGCGAGCATGATCGGGTGCAGCACGGCAGCGAGGTCGAGCCCCATCTCGCCGCGGCGCAGCTTGTGGCAGATGTTGTGGTTCATGACGGTCAGGGTGCGCAGGTCGCGGCAGCCGAGCACGAGCTGCGTCCAGTGTTGGCGGGTGCGGAGGGTGCGCTGTGCGGTGGGGGGCGTTAGTGTAGATAGGTGCTAAGGCAGCTACCTAAAGCTTACGTGTGCTGTGCTGTGGTGGGAGAGGGTAGAGTGGGAATGTGTGGGACGGCACTTACGACTTCGGCCAGCAGCTCGTTCATCACTTCCGTGTTCTGCTGCACCTTGTGCTGCAGCGCCTGGTTCTGCGCTTCGAGATTCACTATCTGCTGCTCGGTGCTGAGAGACGGGGGCGGAGGCGACGCCGCGACCGGCAGGGTCGGCGAGTTGGACGCGCGGTACGTGAGGTCGATCATGGTGAGGCCGGCGGGAACGGGACCGGCGACGGGAGCGAAGACTTGAGCAGCGGCGGAGGCTTGAGGAGCGAATGCTTGAGGAGCGGAGACTTGAAGAGCGAAGTCTTGAGGAGCGCAGACTTGAGGAGCGGGTGCGAAGCCTGGCTGCTTGTCAGAGCTGAACAGGGCGTGCAGGTCTTTGTTCTCGCGCCTGAGAGCCGCGTTTTCGGCTTCTTTCTCCTGCAGGAGCCGGCGCAGGAGCTCCTGGTACGGCGTCGTCTGGATTGGCTTGTCAGATGGGGGCTTGTGTGGTTGGGGTTGGGTTAGGAGGAGTGGGGCGGACGTTACCATTTTGCTCGGCCGTGGGTGAAAGATTGGGAGATTAGGTTTCTGCAGCGACGGCGGGAAAAGGTTATGGCCTGGCATTCACTTCACTGGTTTCAGTTCGGTTTGGTTAGGCCTCTTCTGATGTTTTTCACTGGCCTGTGGTAACGCAGCTGCAAAGGTATGTGGCTTACTTGCTTACCCTTATGGGATGGATGTACTCGTGCTCTTGTGTTTTTATAACTTTGTACCCTCTTTGAATGATCTCATACCTTTGTATTGCCATGTTTCTATGTCTTCATGGGCCTTCTCGTACCTTCCTATTAACTTGCTTTTATATCTCCGCAGAGTGTTCCCGTCCTTTGTTTACCGATATATTATATATCTTGATGACTGATATTGTATCCTTATCTCCTAGTTCTTTCGCAGATACCTAGCTGCTGCAGAATATAGTAGTACAAATCATCTTAACTTCCCAAAGAGTACTTCATGGGTATAGCGAATTTTACTTCATACACTGTTAAGAAATGGGAAAAACAATAACAAAGGTGGGCAAACTACCTAGTGCCATTATTTAGCGATATATCCGTGTTCACCTTAAGCAACCAAACACGCTTCGCACTATAGGAATTCACAAGAGTGTTTGTAGAAAGCAGCAGAAGCTTTTCGGCGAAGGCAATAAACCCAGAAAGAATTAGCTCAGCTAGAATCACTAAAAGCTACACTGCTGCTATCGGACTTAGCATCTTCGCCCTCATTCTCCGTAGAGCCTTCCTCGCTCTCTTTAGCTTCTGGACGAGCCTCCTCGCCTTTGACCGCTAGACTGGCCTTCTTCTCCCCCGCCAACACAGCTCCAACCTCCCTGCCACGAAGCCTATCGACTGTCATTCTCAACACCACCTGCGGCGCACAGAGCACCAATGCTTTCTCACAAATAGCAATATTGACACCGAGATCCAGAGCCTTGTACTTCGACTCCATCTCCATCCCTGGCGGTTAGGAATGCTGGCGTCAATGGGTTGGCGTGGCTGATTTGGGGTGACGCGAAGTACAATGAGAAGTGACATACGCCCCCGTGGGCTTTAAAGTTCTTTAGCTACTTAATATACTTCACTGGGACGCCGTCTATCTTGTGAGAATGTTCGAATAGCCGGTCCTCGCCTAGGGTGTTTTGGCATCAAGTGACTAAAAAGAGTAGTCGTAGATCAATAGAACAACCGTTAAAGACGACGTGACCTACCTACCGGCGCGACATACCGTCAAGTCCCGAGCACCCCATGTGAAGCCAAGCCTAATACGTCATAGGAGATCTGCTTGTCTCAGTTGTGTGAATGATTGTGTTTGCTCTGGTGACTGCGCACCAACATATTAACGCCTCCTCCCAACCCCAAACTCCCAACCCAACACTTCTCCACGCAACCACTTCCTCTCGCAAACCCATACGTAAACCAAACCACATCTAGCAACCCATCACGACCCGCTCAAGCACCCCGCACCAGCCCAACCTCGGACGCAGCAACCATGTCACCCTCAGCAGAAGCAGACCCCCCCACCCCAGCAGCCGCAGCAGCCTTACCCACAGCACCAGACTATCCTTCACAAGCCCTGCACACGATCCACGAGCACCTCCACAAACTAAACCCGATCCTCGACAACCACGCCACAGTGATGGTCGGGCTGCGCGCGAGCCAGTTCCAGCTGGAGGTCGACGTGCGCGCCATGCAGCAAGTCATCGACCACGCGGAGCCCGGCACCGCGTCCGCGCCCGCCGCGACGACGTACAAGGTGCTGGCGGCGAACCTGCGCGACCTGAACCGGAAGGTCGGCTCGATGCGCGCCGAGCTCACGCTGCTGCATGGGAACCCGGTCGCGCAGTTTGTGAAGGCTCCGGCGGAGGCTGCTGCTGCTGTTGCTGCTCCCCAAGGCGTCGATGATGATGGAAATGCCCAGGCCCTTGCTGCTGCTGTTCCTGACGTTGTTGATCAGGGACAGGCTGCTTCTTCTGCTCTTAGCTCTGCTCACTGTGCTGGCGACAGCTTGGCTGCTGCTGCTGCTCCTCCTCCTTCTCCTCCTCCCCCTCCGACCACTGACCCAGACCAGGCTCCCTATCCCGCCGCAACCATCTTCCACCCCGTCCCCTCTGCAACCCTAGTCTTCAAAGGCTACCCCGCCGGCAATGGCTCCTCCAACTCACCGGACCAAAACAACAACCACAACAACACGCAAACCCAGACGCTCGCGCACCCCCACAGCGAGGCCTTCACCGCCATACACCAAGCCCTCAGCAGCTACAAGCAAGAAATGCGCACAATGCGCCTCACGCTCCAAAGCGAAGTCCGGCAGCGCCGCCTCTCCGAACTCTGCCAGTCGATCATGCACTCGCTCGCCATCGAGTCGCTGCAGCACCAGTCGAGCTCGCTCTTCGCGTTGCTGAGCGCTGTCGCGAACGGCGCGGCGGCGGCGGGGGGGCCCGGGGTTGCCGAGTTCCGCGAGCGCGCCGGCGCTGCAATTGTGAGTACATGCATGCCTACCTACCTGCCCGACTGGCCCGTCTTGATTGCTTGCTTGATTGCTTGCTTGCTTGATGGGCGAACGCGCTGACCACGCACGCTCGCGCAGAACCACGCCACCCAGCGCAGCGAGACCCTACGCTACTGGAACGGCAAGCTCGTCGCCGCCATCCACAACCACCTCGGCAGCGAGGCTGCCGCCATCGAGTGCGTTGCCGCGTCGCTCGTCGCGATGCAGAACCCGGATGCGCTGCTCACACCCGAGGAGCAGGCGTACTGCCTCAGTGATGCGCCGCTGCAGGCGGCGCTGCACTGGGTTGGCTGGGCTAGGAGCACCTTGGAGGAGCTGGGGAGGTGCGGCTTGCTGGACGTGCCTGCTGGGATGCAGCCGGCTGCTGGTCTTGCGTAGATGGTTCCTAAGGTTCCGTGGAGGGAGGGTTGGAACGCTTTTGCTTTTGTTCGTTGGCGGGCTGAGGTGTGTTTGGTTTAGAAACATGAGAGGGGCTTGCTGGTGGAGGCTCCTGCTTAGTTAGTTGGACGGATTCATGAATGAATGATGATGCTGATGTTTACGAGTTTCCATTTTGGTGATGAGTGAACTATGATTTTTTTTCTGTAGAGAAGTCAGGAGGTCTGTTGGGAGTCCTTTGGCCAGATTATAAGCCACACTGACAGAGAGAAAGAGCTCGACATGAATGGCATAGGTGTGTTGTTTTCTTGTGACTTAAGGAAGTCCACTGTCATCAAGCAAATCATTTATCAATGCGGGTGTCAAAGCACAAATTTTGACAGAACGAGAAAAGAACATTGCTCACAGCTCATGTCATCGTCCAGGGTTGGCTTCCAATTGAACACTCGTAGCCCATACTTCAAAGATAAAGTCTCCGGGTTACTGACCCGTGGTTTGCAGCAATTTCCCATGAAATGGGAAGGATTTTATCTTCTTTCCCCTTTTCTTCAGTCCGACCAAGGCGGATCCGCGCCTCATCTGCCAAGCTCTTAAAGCCTCAGATAGCATAGCCCTCAAACGCCCCAGCGTCGGTTTCCGCGTCATCGTAATACGAGACGCAGTGCGTGACGCAAGCCGTGACTTTTGTCCTTCACCGCTTCGCTCCATAACACCGATTTTTCAATTGAATTACTCCACTCTCCTCCTCTGGGCATCCCGGTCCCCCTCGCTCTTCATGCCCCCCAGCGCCTCCATGACCAACTGGCGCAGCTGGGCCTGGCCCTCGTCGCTCTGAAAGTCGTCGCGGGCAGCCAACTCGTCGATCCTGCGGCGAAACTCGGGGTCGACCTCGCCGACATCCTCGGGCGCATCCTCGACGACCTGGCTCATGTTGACCTTGATGCCGTTGGGCAAGGGCGGGGGATGCCGTAGCTGCTGGCCGTCAGCGGCAGCATTGTTGACGACGTGGGCCGCGGCGTTGGGGTCGCCGCCGGCGCGCGTGCGCAGGTACGCCGCGACGAGGGGGAAGTCGGCCTCGGCGTCGATTTTGTCCTCGGGCGTCTGGCCGTCGTGGTTGCGCGCGGCTTGGTCGGCGCCCAGCTCCTCGACCAGGCACTGCGCGGCCTCGACCGTCTCGGCCGCGAACAGCGGCGTCTCGTTGTCGTCGTCGCGCATGTTCACGTCGGCGCCGTACTGCTGCACCAGTGCCCGCAGCAGCGAGAGCTGGTTGTACGAGCTGGCGGCGTGCACGAGCGAGTAGCCGTTGGCGTCGCGGGCGGAGGCGAGGTCGGGCCGCTGCGAGAGGGCGGCGAGCACGGCGGCGGGGTTGTCGGGCGCTTGGTTGAGGAGCCGGTCGATGGTTATTTGCTGTTGCTGCGCCATGGTGGATGTGCGTTTAGAGTTACGTGATGGTGATACAGGCGCGAGGCGCTGGATCAAAAATGTTGGCGCGGCGGGTCCTCGGTCGGAGCGATTGGCGCTTCTCCCCCGCTGATCTGCATCTCCGCAATAAGGTATGCTGGGGGAGGAATGGACGAGAGTCAGCAGCTCTTCCCCCAGCCGCGCGTGTTTCGTCTCCAAATTTATCGTACAGTAGTCGCTAGGCACACGCTGGGCCAAGGCTGGGCACCACTGCTCAGCCCCTCCGGCCACTCCCACGCCCGCATACATATCTAAGCTATTTCTCCGCTACGTCAACACCAACAGCTTGTACGTCTCCCGCCGCCAGCATGAGGCTGTCGACACTCCAACTCCCCTCGAAGCGCTTAGTCGCCTCGTACATCTTCGACTGGATAGTTATCGCGTAGGTGCGTCCGTCGCGCATACACGCGCACTCACTGACTGACCGGCTTCCAGCGGCATCGCAGGCATCGGAGGTGGATTTAACTCCCTGAGCCCTTACCACCGGCCTTTTTCGCTGCTCGACCTCTCCATCTCGTTCCCGTACACCGTCGACGAGACCTGCCCAGTATGGCTGCTAATCGTCGTTGCCCTGATCGCTCCGGGCGCCATCATCTTCTTTGTCTGTCTGCTCTTCATCCCGGGGCCTACCGCGAACCCGCGCACGCCAAAGAGCCTGATATGGCGCCGCAAGTTCTGGGAGTGGCACACGGGCTGGATGGGCCTGGCACTTAGCCTGGCGACGGCCTTCCTGGTCACCGAGGGCATGAAGAACCTCTTCGGCAAGCCGCGCCCCGACCTGCTGAGCCGCTGCAACCCCGACCTCGCCAACCTCGACCAGTACGTGGTGGGCGGCAATGGGCAGGACATCTCGAGCCGCTGGACCCTCGTCAGCTGGGACATTTGCCAGCAGCCGGACCGCGACAGGCTCGACGACGGCTTCCGCAGCTTCCCCAGCGGCCACTCGTCGTGTAAGTCACTATTCCTAGCTGTTCGCAGTTACAACGGAACTAACCCGCCGCGCAACGCCTAGTTTCTTGGGCTGGCCTCCTCTACCTCACTTTCTTCCTGTGCTCCAAATTCTCCATCGCGATCCCCTTCCTCCCTCCCCGCCCTTACTCCCAAGACCCCACGCACACGGCACTCGAGCGGGAGCAGCTGCAAACGCACCCGCACTTCCACCACCACCAGCAGCAGCAACAGCACTCGCACAGCAGCAACGGGCACAAGCACAAAACGTCGTCCGGCCTCAGCAGCAACAACTCCAGCAGCACGCAGCCCGCCGCGACGACCACAACCAACACCAGCAGTCCCGGGCTCCCCATCGTCCCGATCCGCAACCAAGCCGCCGCGCCGCCCACCTGGACCCTCGCGCTCTTCTTCGTGCCCGTCGGCGCCGCCATCTGGATCTCGGCGTCGCGCTACCACGACTTCCGCCACCACGGCTTCGACATCATCACGGGCGCGCTGATAGGCGCCGCGTGCGCCTGGGCCGCGTTCCGCTGGTACCATTTGCCGGTGCGCCAGGGCGCGGGCTGGGCGTGGGGGGCAAGGAGCCGGGAGCGCGCGTTTGCGGTCGGGGTCGGTGTGGGCAGCTATGTTGGTGTGGAGGGGTGGGCGTCTGCGAGGGCGGGTGTGAGGGAGAGGGAGAGGGAGCCGGATTTGGAGGCTGCTGTGCAGGGGCAGTAGATGGATAGGTAGGTGGGAAGGGTGTGGGAGGAGGGACTGAAGGGTGGAGGGTACTGACTACTGCTTGGTGGGATGGAGTAATGGCGTTTTTGGACGAGATATCCCAGTATACGATCGGATAGGTGATTAGGATAGGACAACAATACCACCATGCACAGCCTTACATGTGTGTGACGCTTCGTGTGATGTATTGGGAAGACATGACGGCATGCTATTTGTTGTATTGAAGATCGAGGCTCGAATATGTTAGGACTTGAGTATGATAGCTTGATCATCGATTAGCTTGGCTGCAGAATACAACAAGCAGGTGAAGTTGCAGTAGTTGTCTTAATCAAATACCTACAGTGAAGCGTCAACAGCCGTCAGCCTAGTCGGCGTGCGTGGCCCGAGCTCTAGACCTCCAGCTATCAAGAGCTCCGTCCGCTGCCAACGAGCAACAACCACCTCGCTCTCACTCCATTCCACCAGCAACAACGACAACGAGCTTCCGTCCGCTCACGCTCACGCTCACGCATTCAAGCAAATATGGTACGTACGCCCGTCCGCTCGCTCACCCGCCTCCGCCGCCGTCGCCTGTCACCACCACCATCACATCACGCCCATCCCCCCGCCCCGTCCAGCAAGACAGCGAACCGCACTAACCCTCTCCCCCGCAACAACAGGCAGCCCTCCGCATCGCCCCCGCGCCCACACACACCGCCAGCACAACGCCCACTCTCGGCGCCCCCTCCGCGCCCGGCGTGCACGACACGCTGCGCTCGAACCTCGGACTCGCCGCGCCGGCCAGTGCGCTTGCACCCATCCCCCAGCAGCAACTCACGCAAGCCGACGGCGTTGCCCCAGAGCCGCTGCAGTCGGCCCACCCGCTCGAGGCCCGCCTCGCCCGCTGGCGCGCCACCCAGGACGCCCTGAAGATGGAGGGCCTGCGCCGCGCGTACGGCGTCGCCGAGCCCGTGCGCCGCGGCATGGAGCTGCGCGATGCGGCGCGCGGGGAGTGGCGGCCTAAGGCGCTGGGTGGGAGCGCGGGCGTGCATGGGGATGTGCTTGCGGGACGGGACGCTGAGGTTGCGTGGGAGGATGTCTTTAAGGGTATGTGTCTGCTTTTTCCTTTTTCCTTTTTCCTTCTTTTTTTGTGCGTGCTGCGGTTTTGGCTCGAGACCTGGTGCTGACTACCGTTTTTCTGTGGTGGTGCAGGCGACGAGCTCCGCGAGCAGCCAGACTTCCATACCGAGATGGAGGCGCGCCTGCGCATGAACTGGTAGATGCGTGGCGCTGCCGACGATGACGACAACATCTCACGCCCACACTCTCTCGCATGCACGACACGGAAAGACAGATGGAACGGGACGGACCGGACGGACGGGATTGATGGACGGGTGGACGAACAGACAGACAGACAGACACTCGGTCACGACGGTAGAGCTCAGCGGTATGGATGGATGCAGGACGGAAGTCGCAGACGGCAGTTGCAAGGCAGGATGCAGGTACGCAGGCAGGCAAGGCTTCACAACTTCACCACCTCAGACAGACGAACCAGCAGTGCAGTGCCTAGAACCACACTGCAGAAGGAAGTCTAGCACCTTACCTGGCCTTAGCTAGCTACCAAACGAAGCACTTGTTTGCACATTGCAATACCTAGACAACCAAGCTAGCTAGCTAGCTAGCACAAGACGATGCATGCACTTGCCTCAATACCATTCCATCCATTATTACTAGCAGCCCCCCGAGCGCAAGAGAGGCAGGCTACACAGAACCCACTGCAAAAAAACAACAAACCGCCCCCGCCACCAGTTCCTCAATCCCCCAACACCGCGCAGCTGCGCCCACATACCATTACTCCTAACCACCAACTCAACCACCTAACCCAAGCTTCAAATCCATCAAGACCGCGTCCAAGGCCAAGGCCGCGTCCAAGCCCTAACAAAGCGCAGGCAGGCTATGCTATATATGTATGTATGTATGCATGTATGTATGTATGTGTGTATGTATGCTATGTTAATACTAAGTTGCTACTGAGTGGCTGCGTGTGCGCGTACGCACCCATCTTGCGTGTGCTCGTGCTTGTCTGTGCCTTCGTTTTTTGACGTGTATGTGTGTGCGTAATGACGAACGGGGTGCGTGCTGAGAAGGTACACGTGCGTGCTGAGGCCGGCCGGTAGGTTTGTCCATGACCCAGGACCCCTCGCCCGTTGACCGTCGCCTAAGCCCGACACGCACCGCACCGCACCGCACCCTAAAGGGGAAGGGGGATTAAAGACGCAGAACCAGCCAGCCAGACAGCCAGACAGCCAGACAGCCAGAACCCTTGGAAAACGAAAAGCAAAACGAAAAGCAAAGCCAAGCAAAACAAGAGCAACAAGAAAACGTCTTATACAATCAGTTAACCCATCATCGCCATCGCCCATCGCCATCACCATCATCACCACCACCAACAGCAGACGGCAACAGCAACGCACCATCGCCCCGACCAAACTAAAAAAAACTAATAAATAAATAAATTAAAAGAAAGAAAGAAAGAAAAACAAAAAGGCCACGCAACGCAGGGTAGGTATTTAAGCGCAGAGCAGTGCAGAACAGTGCAGAGTAAAGGCAAGTACCGGAAACGGGTAACGGGAAACGCAACAACGAAAGAAGAAAGTAAAGTAAAGAAAAGAGACGAAAAGCAGCTGCGCTCTTTGCTCGCCCACGCTTCCCCGGGCAACATTGGTGTGGTCTGTGGGGGGTATGTGCTAGGTATGATGGTTATGCCTGTCAATGGACTCCGAACGCCGTAGTTGGTAGTTTGGTTGGTTGTCTGCTTGCTTGCCCTTGCCGTGCCGCGCCTGCGATGGATGTGCTGTGCTGTGATTATGTGCTGTGCTGTGATTATGTGCTGTGCTGTGCTGTGCTGCGTGGTGGAAGTTTCTCCTTGCTCGCGCGCTATCTCGGGAGGAGTGGGAACGGGGGAGGGATGAGATGTATGTGTTAGTGAGGAAGAGAAGAAGAGGAAGCAGGAAAAGAAGAGGAAGCAGGAAAAGAAGAGGAAGAAGGCAGATAATAAGTGCATGGTGGAAGAGCCGCGCCGTCCAGAGCGCCCTGCCGCCGTAGGTAGGTATGGTTGGTTGGCCGTTTTCTGCTCTCTCTCTCTCTCTTGCGCTTTCGGGCTCTCGGGCTCCCGCTCTGTCTTCTTTTATTTTCGTTTCTTTTCTTTTGTGGGGTTTGCTGGTTGCTGCTTTGGTTTGCGTGGGCCCGCAAGCTCGCTCGTAAACAGGCCCGCAAACTCGCAAGCAGCACCCGGCTGCGATTCTTTCTCCCTCCATCTCTCTCTTCACGCAGCGCGCGCAGACTGCCTGCCCAAGCCAGCGCACTCCAAACACGCAATCCGCAGCCAGCACAACAGAGCACTCTCTCCCCGCCTCAACCGCACAACACGCACCTCTCACGCATGCACCCATTCGGCCACAAACCACCGCAACGCAACAAGCAGGGCGGCTCTCTCCGTCCCTCCCTCGCTCAAAAGGCAAGCAACAAGAAGCGCGCGCCCTCCCCGCGCCTACAAAATCACGCAGCGACAGCGCGCCGTCTGCTCGTTGTCGTCGTGGTCGCGCGACCCGCCTTTGGCCGTCTTGGCGTCCTCCTCGTCCACCACCTCCTGCGGCTTCACCGTCATGTGCACCACGTTGGGCGACTCGGCCTGGAAGCGGCAGTCGCGCAGGGGCTGCTTGTCGTCGAGCATGCGGCCGAACGAGATGAGCCGGATTGCGCTGGGCGACGACGGCCGTGGCTCCCATTCTGGTGTGCCCGAAAGGTGGTTAGCTTGCTGCTGTTTTGTGTGTATATGTTGGGGTTGGACTTGGGGTGCGTGGAGGCGAGGAGTGGGGGCTAGGGTTCGAGGTGAGGTACGCCGTTCGCCCGCTCGGCCCAAAGGGGCAAAGGGGAGGCAAGGGCACGGAAACGTCTCTCTTCGAAAAGAAGAAGAAGAAGAAGAAGAAGAAGAAGTCCACATACCTTCACGCCAGTCCCGCCATATCAGCTCCTTGAGCGTGTACACGCTGATGTTGAAGGGATCCATGTTCTCGACGTCGACGCCGCGCTTCTTGAGGTACTTTTCGTCAATCTTGTAGGGATGCCGCGCGCCGCTCGTCAGCAGCAGCGTGATGACCACGACGGGGCCCGCCGTCGTGTCTGGCTTCGCGGCCGGGTTGTCTGACGCAGGCCCAATGGCCTCGGTCTCGGCGCGCGTCAGCTCGGCCTTGGGCGACGAGGGCGGCGCCGGCGCGTCGTCGTCTGCCATGGCCGCGGCGGTTTTTGCTGCGGCGGTTGCGGTTGCGGTCGTGGCGGTGGCGGCGTCGTCGTTGTCGTTGGCGCTGGCCGTGTCTGCTACTGCGGGAGCGGGTTCGGGAGCGGGTACCGGTGCGGGAGCGGGTGCGGAGGTGGGGACTTGGGTGTCTTGGCTCGATGCCATGGTTGCCGTGTTCGTGGTGGTGGTGGTTGTTGTGTCGTCTCCTCCTTCTGCCGGTATGGCGGTGTCGGGTGTGGCAGTGGCAGTGGCAGTGGTGGTCGTGGTCGTAGTCGTGTCGGCGGTGGCGGCGGCGGCTTGGTCTTGGGGTGCGAGGGCGCTCATCTCAACGTGTCGTTCATGGGCGGGGGCGTTGGCGTTGGAGGCAGGCGAGTCTTGGTGCATGGCGATGGCCCAAGCAAGCCAAGCAAAAGGCACAAGCAAACAACCAGGGGGTATTTGTGGGAGCACGGGAGATGAGGCTGCGCTGGCTGTAGAGCGGGACCTGCGCCCGCTCGCCTCATGATTCGGCAATTGGGAGTGGATTGATTGTGCCTATTGGAAGCGTCGCAAACACCCGTCGATCCTCCGCTGCTACTGCTGCACCCACGGCCCGTACCCCGACGCCTCCTCCGCCCGCACGCCCGCCATCTCCTCACGCACCCCCAGCATGCTCACCCTGCCCGCTCCACCCTTCTTCCACCCCCGAAGCAGCCCTTGCACCTCCTCCACCACCCCGCTCCGCTCCTCGATAAGCAGGGCCACCGCGTCGTAGCCCCCGGCCCCCGGCACGACCCCCCCGATGACCCCTGCCACCTTGGAGCATGCGTCCAGCAGCTCCGTCTGCTCCGCCGGCTCAATCGGCACCCCCGAGAGCTCCGACATCTCGCGGATCAACCTCCGAATGTCGTCGAGCCGGGCCCGAAGCTGCCCGTAGTCGCGACTCTTGCTCTCGCCGAGCTGCACCAGCTCCGCCGCAAGCGCTTCGTTACTCTTCTGCAGCCGCCCCCACAGCTCGTTGGCCTGCGCCGCATTCTCCTGCCGCCACGCCAGCACCTTCTTGACCATGCCCGGCGTCTGCGAGCCGCAGTCCACGTCGCACATGACCAGGCGGATGCCTTCAGGCACCGCCACGGCCGACTTGGTGATCATCGTATCCCATTTCTTGGAGGGATCCGAATCCTCGACCAGGGCTCGCAGAGTTTTGGCAAAGTCCTTGGAGCCCGGTTCGCCGTGTGACGAGAGCAGCGAGGGGGAGAAGCGGCGGTACAGGCAGGATCCGAAGACCGCCGACGCAACGTCGAATCCGGAGCCGACCTTCCCCTGAGCGGCGCAGTGGGCGGCTTGCGCGAGGTTGTGCAACCGGGCCTTACCGGCATCGGTGGCCACTGAAAACGAACTTTCAGGGAGATAGTGAGACAGCACTGCGCCGGTAAAGGCCGTGACAAGGGCAGCGGACGACCCAAGGCCCGTCTTGTGCGCCTCCCAGATGGGGACCTTGAAGTCTCTAAAGCGCTCGGCGGACTGTTGCTGATCAGAGCCAGATGAGTAGTAGTCATTGTCGGCAAGAATGGTAATCGAGGCCGGCTCGATGCGCTCTGCGGTTAGGGCTGAGACATAACTGAGGGCATAGGTGAGGGCCGTCTCGACGAAGACGTTGCGATGGAGGGCCTCTGTGGCGCGACTAGACCAAGGAATGGAATGAGCGCCGTGAGCATGATAGCGAGCAAAGTCATGGCAATCGATGGCATTGATGCGAGTTTTTCTACCAGAAGTCTGACTCCCGACAGCCCCGGACTCTTCGTCCCCCCCAAACACTGGAGATAGATGATGGTGATGGAGATGGAAGGAAGAGGGGGGGAGAAATGGATGACGTGCAAGACTTACGCTCTGAGCTGGGTGAGCTCGATGCCTCCGCCACTCTCGGCCAGCCGGTAGCCGTACTCCCAGTGGGCGCCCTGGAACTGGGGGGACTTCACAATGATCTCGGAAAGACTGACGCCCGAGCTGGTGGCCAGGGGACGCACGATGACATGGATGCGGGCGCTGAGGCCGAAGACAAGGCCGGTGTAGTCACGATCGAGGACAAGGTAGCCACCCGCAAGCAGGACTTTGCCTGGGGCGGAAACAGACACAACAGCCATGACGGGTGGTGTCGGGATGGAGCCTGCACTGTGAGGGAATTTTAATTCTTCTTTGGCGGAAAGGCGGGGTGCAGCTGGTCGTCGATGAGTCACTTTGGGGGAACGGGGGGGCGGTGCACGAAGCCAGAAGCTGAGAGAAGGCGGTGGTCACAGGGCAGCGTACGCGTGGGCGATCCGTCCGGCGCGCCAAAGCAGCCTAGCTCTCCCTCGGCTTTAGGGATGCGCCGGAACGCTCCACCTGTCGCACCCCGTCACCATCTTTTTGCCTTTGCCTTTTTGTAAGCTCGAGGCCGCGACCTGGGAGAGGCCTTGCTTGTTTCCTTGTTCTTCTGCTTTGCACGCGTGTGGCAATTCTCTCTCACTCTCCCTCTCTCGATCTCTATCTCAATTTTCTTCTCTACGCGTCGAAACTACCTACATACATCCACTACCACATACCCGCGCGCGTTCCTTTGGCGACCCCGGACGTCGTCAAATGAACCTGCACCCCCCCACCATCTTGAGCTCATAGGTAAGTCTACACACACCCTCACTCATTGCCCTTCCTCCCGTGCTGACGCGCCATACCCTAGTCTCGCCTTCCGTCCTGGAAGGTCGTCCCGCTTCCTAAATGGTCTTCAAGACCCTCAATCTCCGAAGCCTTAGTCTCGCGAAGACTTTTACCCACGGTTACGCCCAATCCGTCGTAGCCGCCTCGCAGAGCTCTTACGCCTCGCAAAACAACCCCCGCAGCAGCAAAAAGTCCATTGCCGGCCGCCTCACGAAGCACCATGCCTACTCAACTTCGTCGCAGCCTGGCGCCAAGGCCAATGCCGACCACCACGATTCCGGCTTAGCGGCATACTACGACGCATGGCACAAGCACCAAAAACTCGAAGGGAAGGAATGGCAACAATTCCAATTTGCCAAGCGCCTCGAATGGAAGCCTCCGTCGACCATCCCCGAGGGCAAGACCGCTGATGGCAAGGAATCTGAGGTGATTGAAGAGGGCGACGTGAGGGAAATCCCTACCCGCAGTGGACTTGATCGCGCGTACAGCACTAGCGCTGTGGACGACTTTAGGCATGTCGTCGACCACGAAGCAGAAACCGAGGCCCTTGCGCGCATCGATGAAGCTATCAACCGGGAAATTGAGAGACGCAAGAATGCTCCGGAAGAAGACGTGTTGGACCGCGAATCCGTAGCTGCCGATATCCAGGAAGCTCGTTCTGCGGCTCTCTCCCGAGGTTCTCCCAGGTCTTCTACCGCTCCCACTTCCGTCTCCGAGGCCGATGGCTATGCAGCGCAACTCGAAAGGCTGGTTGATGGCCGCCACTATGCTGAGGTTCCCGCTCTGTTCGAGTCTATGCTTGTGGGTGGCGTCAGGCCGACGGCTCCCGCCTACAATGCTCTTCTCGCCGCCGCTATTCACCTTCCCCGCATCAGGAATCAGGTTGTTCCCAAGGCATTGGATGTCTACTCGGACATGCTCCGTCGCCGTGTATTGCCCAACTCCGAGACCTACGCTATCCTCATAGAGTTGTTGTCGGTTCGCGCCATGGAGGTACTTTCCTCCAAGCAAATTCTCGAGGAAAAGCGCACTAGGTTCGGAGGTATGGAAGAGGAAGGTCAATTTATGCTCCACTCACACGAGGCTGATTTTGCCATCCTCCTTGAAGATGACTCTCTTAGCATTGCTGTGAAGCTTTTTGACACTGCCTCTGCGATTCAATCGAAGTCTGCTTTCTCGGAAAAGACCTACCGTAAGCTGATCACTGCCTGTGCCGAGCTTGGTAAGGTCGAAGAAATGGTTCGTATCTACACGCACATGGAGTCCAACAAGGTCCTTCCTCGTGCGGAGATGTTTGTTCCTATGATCCAGGCTTTTGCTTCCTCCGGTGACCTTCGATCTTCAGTCGAGTGCTACGATGAGTACAAGGCCCTGGCAATTGCAAACGACAAGGGTGAAAACGCACTCGTCCGCAAGGACGACGATGTTTACGCGGCAGTGATCAAGGCCTACATCATCTGCGGTCGCGTGGAGGGTGGTCGTAAGTTCCTCGAGAAGCTCGCGGAGGCAACTCAGGCCCCGAAGCGCGTTGAATCTCTCCGTGACATCGTTGGTCTGAAGGCTTTCATCCCGGTCTGGCTGAAGAACGGCGCTTTCAAGGATGCCGTGGACCACGCCCGTGAGGAACTCAGCGCCGATGCACGCAATGTAGCCATGGCGGCCATTTGCGTCCGGGCCGCTGACAAGAACGCTCTGGATGTGGCAACCAACGCCTTCGAATCGCTCCCCAAGTCTATGGAAACATCTCTCCCGGCAACGGCAATGATCGCTATGCACGTTCGTAACGGTAACATCGACGCCGCGCAACACTTCTGGGAACTACTGGAGTTGGCGAACGCTAAGCCGCAGTTCATTGAGCCCAGCGCCATGTACGCCATTGCCCTGATCGGTAGCGGACATGCCGAGCGTGGCCTGCAGCAGAACCGCCGCATGTTCGCTCGTGTTCGCGATTCGCAAAGCGCAAACGGAAAATCCAAGGCTGAAGCGGTTGAACAAATCGACGAGGCCATCGAAGTCATCGGGCATTTCATGAGCAAGAGGGGCGTCATTGTCTCGGCTAAGGCCTCTATGGAGCTTTTCTGGACGATGATTGAGAATGGCGGCCTCGTGCCCAGTGTTGCCACTCATCTGCTCGCGGGTCTTGGTCCGGACGGTGTTGCTCAGCTTGTTTTGGAAGACCTCAACCTCTTGATGCAGGTTCAGGCAGGTATGATTCTCAAGGGCTTAGCTGCCGACATTGCCGACCAGGCACGTTTCGGGCACGTTCTCGAGGTCATGACGGCTTTCGGCACGCCCATCGACAAGCAGACCTCTAGCTTGATCGAGAAGGTGCTTATGAAGCTGGATCGCCCTGACCTGGCCCACCGTTGGAACGCTTTCCGTTACCCTGTCGCTGGAACCATGTTTGCTCCCGTCCCGTATCCTGTCTTCGGTCATGCTGCTCCGCTGGCACCCACTGCTGCCCCTGAAGACACTTTCGATCCGTACGCTGCGACTACCGACAACAAGGGCTCCGTCATCATCACCGATCTACTGGAAAAGACTCATGGACGTTCCTCGACTCATCTTAACGAAGCCCTAGCTAAGTTCAAGAACATTCGGAGAGCCGGCAGACACCCTCGCTACTTCACCTACGCCAAGCTCATTTCGGCTGCCGCGAAGGAGGGTCGTCTCAACCTCGCTCAGGACATTTTCGGACTAGCAAAGCAGGACGTTCCTCTGCTGTCTCAGCACCGCATTGTCAGGTACGGATGGGTCACGATTCTCGACGCAATGGTCTCGGCTTGTCTCACGACTGGCGACCGCCAGTTAGCCGCTCGCTACCACCAAGAGCTGCTGGACATGGGTGCCGCTCCCTCTGCTAACACCTTCGGTCTCTACATTACTACGCTCAAGGAGTCGACCAAGACATTCGATGAAGCTACCGAGGCCGTCAAGATCTTCCACCGCGCCAAGTCTGAGGGTGTTGAGCCATCGTCTTTCCTGTACAACGCTCTGATCGGAAAGCTCGGCAAGGCTAGGCGCATTGACGACTGTCTGTTCTACTTCCAGGAAATGCGCAACCTCGGTATTCGTCCTACCAGTGTCACCTACGGTACCATCGTCAACGCTCTCTGCCGTGTCAGTGATGAGAAGTTTGCCGAGGAGCTGTTCGAGGAGATGGAGAGCATGCCCAACTACAAGCCTCGTCCCGCGCCCTACCACAGCCTGATGCAGTTCTTCTTGACCACGAAGCGTGATCGCAGCAAGGTTCTTTCCTACTACGAGCGGATGCGGTCGAGGGGCATCGAGCCCACCGCCCACACGTACAAGCTTCTGATCGACACGCACGCGACGCTCGAGCCCGTCGACATGTCCGCTGCGGAGGCCGTGCTCGAGCAGATCCGCAGCGCGGGGCAGTCACCCGAGGCGGTCCACTTCGCGTCGCTGATCCACGCCAAGGGCTGCGTGCAACACGACATGGCCGGCGCGCAGGCGCTGTTCGACAGCGTGGTGGCCGACACCTCCGTGCGGCCGCAAGCCTGCATCTACCAAGCACTGTTCGAGTCCATGGTGGCTAACCACCAGATTGACTCCACGCAGACTTATGTCGCCGACATGGCCAAGCGCGGCGTCGCCATGACGCCATACATTGCCAACTCGCTCATCCACGGCTGGGCTCTCGCCAAGAACATTGACCGCGCGTGCGCCATCTACGACTCGGTGCCGGTGGACCGTCGCGAGCCCAGCACCTACGAGGCCATGACGCGCGCGTTCATGGCCGTCGAGGACCGCGCTGGCGCCGCGGCCGTGGTGCAGGAGGGCCTGTCCCGCGGGTACCCCGTCGCCGTCGCGAACAAGATCCGCGAGCTCCTGGGCGGTGGCTGGCCTGCTGCTGAGGCTACGGCTACGGCTACGGCTTCGGCTACTGCTTAAGCCGTGCCGTGCCTCTTTATTTCTTTTTCCAATTCTTCACTTTTCACGTTTTCTTCTTTCTCTTTTCGATACCTTTGGTTCTCGGGCTTGTAGAGGGGGAGGTATTTGCGGATTACGGACAGGGAACCAGGCCGCTGAAGATGATATCCACTTCGGCTGCCGTTACACTAGCGAGGGTGGGATTTTTCTTTTCTTCCCTACCCTCGCTCTTTTAACTTGATTTCTTGTTCAGAGCGTGGGCGTTTGGCGCACTTGGACCGGCTGATAGACCGGCGGGACTGGCGGGACCGCCCCGCTTTGCCCCGGTCGCGGCCGCGGGGCTTTTGAATTTTGCACCTTCTTCTTCTTCTTTTTCTTCGGTTTCTTCTTTATTTTGGCCTTTTAGGGACACGCGCACGGTCGTGCTGCGTTGGTAGCCGTGGAGACGGCTGGCCGGATGGGTTGCTGGACGGATGGATGGATGGACGGAGGAACGGACGGATCTCACTAAACCTGGCAGGGGTGCCAGGACGGGAACTTCAACAACAAAAAAAATTGTAAGGGGATGAGGGCGCGGCATCTCGGCAAGGCGCGGTGGATGGGGCGAGCTGGCGAGCTGGCAGGCAGACGGCGTCGACTTCGTCTTGTCTCTGCTTCTTTTTCGCTCTTCTTCATCGCTCTTCTTCTGCTGCTTCACGCCAACCTAATTCCGGACGAGGCCTGCACTGCACCGCACGCAATGTTTCGCTTTGCTTGGTCGCTACTGCCGCTACCACCGCCGCCGCCGACGCCAACGCCGACGCCCTTTGTATCACTACCCTAGAGAGCGGAGGGAGAAAAAACAAAAGAGAAGGCGAGAGATCGATCGTGAGCGGGCATCGGGGAAGGAACGTCGAAAGACTTCCTCCTCCCTCGCCCCTCCTGCTCCATCTTTCTCTCTTCTCCTCCCCATCATCATCTCCTTAGACGACGACAAGCCAGCAGAGGAGGAGGAAAAGGAGGACACGGCCCCTCCATCTCCTCCTCCTCGTCACACAGTTTCTTACTTGCTTGCTTGGCCTTGCTTCATATTTCTGCTTCTTCATACTTCTTCGCGTTAGACCATCTCCCCTCGAATTAATCCCACACGCCTCATGTCATGGCATGGCATGGTAGGTGGCTGTGGGCGGATATATGTTACCCGTTGTGTCCACGTCTTGTTGTTGTCGGCTTTGGCTTTGTATGTATGCTGGTGTTGTGTTGTGTATGTGTGTGTATGTGTGAGAGGCTGGGCTGGAACTCAACTCGACTCCACTTGACTCGATTCTGTCTGCTGGTGTTGACGTGCGTGTCTTGTCTTGGTGCTGTCGGTGATGATGATGTAGCTGCGTGTGGTGCTTGCGCTGGTATATCTGTCTAGTGAAGCATGGATTCGTTTGTTCGGTCGGTCGAGCAATCCTGCACCTCATGCACACACGCAAGCACAGCCCAAAAACAGCGTCATCATTGCCCAAAGCGTGCGTGTATAACGCGGCAGCGTGCATGCTTGCCCATTTATGCCCGTCCCATCACTCCAGCATCTAGGTACATACCACGCCCCTCCAGCTCCCAATCCCTCATCACCATCACCATCATCATCATCACCATCGTCGGCAGCATCTATATATGCACAAGCCCGTATTTACAGACACGACAGCACCGCCCTGGGCTCCAACAATCCAATCCAATCCAATCCTACTACACTCAGTCCAAAGCAATCCAAAGCAGTTCCGTCGCACATCCATCAATCCATTCAAGCGTAACACGAAAAACGAGAGAGACAGAGAGAGAGAAAACGAGACTAGAGGTAAGAAGAAGAACAAGAACACCACACCAATCCACACCAATCCACAATCCAGTCAAACACACGCAAAGCCAGAACTCAGACTAAGCTACGGCAAAAAAAGCCGGCAGCGCACCCCACCTAGGTGCTCGTTACCAATAGGTAGCCGCTCACCCACCCACCTACCCACTCTATTCTAGACAAAGGCAGCGGAACAGACTGACAGACAAAACAGACAGCAGACAGAAAGACAAGCAACGGGCAACGGCGCCCGCTCCCGCCCAACCAGCTCGGTCGGAGCCGCTCCGGTCGGTCGGGGACAGTCGTCAGCCAAAGGCCCTAAGCATTCAATGGTTCGGTCGGCCAACCGCCGGCGCGGGCAGCAGCCCGGACCGAGCGCAACCAGAGTTTGGTCTAACGGGCAGCGCGCCAGGCATCCTTCGCGCGCGGCGGAGGAACCAACGACGAAAAGAGGAAGGAAAAAAAAAAAAAAGAAGAAAAAAGTGCGATTCCTTTCCTTGCACGCTGACATCGGCGGCGCTTTTCTTTTTCTTTTTCTTTTCTGCTCGGGCGCCAGAGCGCGCGCGCCAATGGCACGTTCCGGGCCGCGGCCAACCGGCTAACGACACGATATGGTCTGGGGACCTGGACCTGACCAACACCTTTGCATTCATCCATCAATCAATCAATCACTACGCAACCCCAGTGAGCCCAAACAATTCCTTTCCTTTCCAAAAAACAAAAAAAAAAAAAAAAAAAAAAAAAAAAAAAACGTCGATGCGATAACAAAGCATGTGACCATGCAAGAAGAAACCAAAAAAGCGCGCGCTGCGGTTGTTAGGCGCGCTGGGGGTATAGAACAAGCGCTTTCCAAAACGGCGCAAAAGGTTGCGGAATGCGGAACCGGGGTTCCATGCAAGAAAGAAAGAAAGAGAGAAAGAGCGCGCAGCGTGGTTTGCGCCCAACATTCAAGATTATATATATGCATGCAGCAAGAAGGCGTACAGGACTGGCGGATGCGATGCGATGGTTGGCGGCAAGGTGGCGGATGTGCGTGTGCGTGAACGAAGAAGGGATGAGAATCCTATTATTGTTGCCAGCGCGGCAGACAGGTGTGGCGTCGGCCGCGGCAGGCGAGAATTAAAAAACGTGAATTCGGTCGTCGTCGTAGCGGCGTGAAGTCGAAAATTTGTACGTTGCGGCCGATTTGTATGCGCTGGCCGTGAGTGGGCTCAAGGACTGTTAAGCATGGCGGCGTCGGGGGAATCGCCCTCAATGGTCTTCCTCCAGTGCTGGGGAAGGCACACGCAAACAAGCGGGAAGGCCTTGATCTCCCCATTCAGTGCTGCGTTGGGGTGTCGGCTTCCGCTAGACATCCCGCTGTCCCTTTGCCACTTCCTGCTCTCGTCCCAATCATCTGCCGTCTCTTGAAGCTTTACACCCGTCGCCCAACCATCGTCCCAGATACCAACCACCTTGATCATGTCACCACGCTCAAGCTCAAACTCGTCGTTTGCGCGCGGTTGATAGGCCCAGAGTGTTGCTACGATGTCGTTCGGCTTGATCTCATCCTGAGAGTAGTAATCCTTGAAGAACGGCAGTTGCTCTGATTGCCCACTGTTCACGCCATCGGGTGAATAGTGTTCCTCGTTGCTCGTAGACTCAGGTGATGAGGGATCATTACCGATGGCTAGTCTGGAGGCGCTTGACAAAGATCCTTCACGTTTAGGCAGACGACCGGCAGCCACGACGGCGCTGCGTCCGGTTCTGGACCGAGGGCTATCTGTGGATCCATCCGAGCCATGATGGTGGTAAGTGCCTACTCCAACAGGGCCGTCGTAATGGTCAGAGCTCGACGTGTCTTCAAGCGCAGACATACGGGCCACACGACCAGTGGGTGGTGGCATTGGAGGGGGAACGTCGGCGTAAGACATTGGAGCAACTGCAGTGCCGCGGGAAGGCGAAGGGCGATTGAAGATGCTCTCGGCTTGTTGATTGCGCCTACGGCGCATAAGCAAACAAGCGAAGATAATCAAGCTGAGGAGAAGCGCAGCGCCCAAGATAGATCCGATGACGATTCCGGCAATTTGACCAGCCGACAGGCCATGACCTGCCTCACCGTCTTTCGAATCGCCAGTAGCAGAAGACCCGCTGCTTGATGTCGAACTAGGGAAAAGCGGGGCCATGGTGCTCGTCGTTGGAAGAGTGACATCTTCACACCGCGAATCGACTTCCGAATTGATGCAGCAAGAGTCCGTGGAGTTAGGAGAGCTCGAGGCGCAGTAGCTGCAGAGTCCGACAAGATTCGAGGAATACCCGCAGTTGTCCGGCTCGTTTACAATGCCGTGGATGCAAGAACCAGTTAAAGAGTCGGCCGGAAGCGCGCAGTTTGTAAAGTCGGCACGGATTTGCGTGTTAATATTAGAGCTGTTGGCCCCACAGAGTTCGGAGCTGGCGACAATCTTTTGCTCACTGATCGCATAGTCGGCCTGTCATGCATTAGCTTCTAGTTTATGGCAGTGAGACAGAGGACGTACGCAAGTATCGGCGCATAGTGGCTTTGACGCGTCGGACGTCAGATTACATGCGTCTATAGAATTCTGTACAATGGCATTACACAATACGCTAGTGGTGTATCTTGCATAGACGTCTGTCGTGTTATCGAGGTTGATGTTTGTGCAACCCAAGAGGTTTTCGTATCTGCTAAGTTTCAGTATTCGGCATCCCCATTTTGATCTCAGCATTCACCACCTACCTCTGTTGGACAAAGCTGCCGGAGACGTAATCCTCCAAGTGTTGGTCGAATGATGCCGTGTCCGATACGTCAGCAAGGAATGGGCTGCGCGGCCACACTGTCAGCCGTAGCACGTCCGTGCGAGTTCCGAGAATACGTACAACAAGCCGGTCAGAGTGGAATCGGTGGATATTGAGGATGCATTAAAGGCAGAACACTGAGTGGAAGTGGCCAGCGATACGCAGCTCTGCGCCATAGCTGCGGGCGCCTGTGCGATAGCTACGGACAAGACCAAGGCTTTCTTGACAACGGACCGCGAATGCCGGGACACACTGATCGGACGAGCGGACGCCATACTGGATGGGTTGCGCGTACTGGCTGCGGGCTGGCTGCTCGGTGTTCGCGGTACCTTGGCACGGTGTCGGCTGCGAGATGGGTCGTCGGGGCCAGTAGATGCGGAAGTGGACGTGGGAACAGCTCAGGCAAGGTCCATTACGCGGCTGAAGGGACACGGGCGCGTTTCCAGGACTCTTCCAAGAAAGACGACCAGACGGGAAGGAAGAGGAGGGGTCCAGAAGGAGCGGGACAGCGGACGGGCGAGCGAGTGACTAGGCGGGAGGGGGCCGACGTTGGCCGGCAGCGGACGAGCTGAGAGGTGAGAGGAGGAAAGAGTAAGCCTGCCAGCGAGAGAGTGAGAGAGCGAGAGAGAGCGACGGGCAGGGCGCACGGATTGGCTGGGGAATCACGGCCCCCTGTCGGCGAGGGAAATTGCGCCCGTCGCTCAGAGCTCCAGCGAAGCGCTGCCTGTGCAGAGCCGCAGGGCCCCGTGCATGATGCATCCGTCTTTGTGCGATTCAAGACATCTTTAGGTCTTTTCCTTGCGCCGCCGCCGACGCTACGGCGCCCTTGGAGCGCCGGCTTAGCCGGCTCCTCCCTGCCACCACTCACCAACGGCGCGGCCAGAAACCCTTACTACTTGGCTATAACATCACTCGCCGTTGCTACGCCATTCTTGTTTGATCCGCACTGATAGACGATAAGCATCACGAAGCTTAAGTTATCGGGTTTCAGATAGCCACGGGCCAAGGTCATAGCATTGCGTTGTATTCTGCGGCGTCGAACGAAACCCCAAACGAAACCGAAACCAAAGCCGCTCATCCTTCCCTTACCACCGCTTGCCCGAGTCCTCCCTGTCCCCCCCGTTCCTCTCCCTGTCGACTTGGGCATCGAACTCCCTCTGTGCCTGAGCTTTGGCCAACTGCTTTTCCTCGTCCGTTCGAGAGAAAGTAAAGCTATCGCCAAGGCTTGAACCCTGTTGTTGTTCTTTTTGAACAGGTCGGCTGAACCCGCCTGATGCGGTCCGTCCAGCAGCGGGTGATTGTCCAGAAGCTGCTTGCTGCCTGATACGGTCCCAAGCTGACCCTCCGGACACACTCGAGTCCATGGGTCCCATACCTCCCGTCGGCGACGCGTCATCGAAAGCATCTGATTGCCTCGTGGCATCCTCCCTCGGAAATGCGTGATCGCGGCTTTCCGTCTGGCTGCGGTATGGTCCAGGTGACTGGCGAATTTCTCGGGCACGCATCTGGCTATCGGAAAAAACAGACGTATCTGAAGGAGAATCTTGCCAGGCCCCGGAGGTTGGCGACATATCATCTGTGTCTTGCGTTGCCACCTGTGGTACCTGCTGACCTGGGCGCCTTTGCATCGCCGTTTCTTGACCTGGGTGTCTTTGCGTCCCATTTTGCATCGCATCTTGCCTTTCCTGTCTACGCCTAACAATTGCTGCTTTTACTTCGACAAGCCGCTTGTCGATACTGGCCAGCCGCGCTGACACAATCTTCGCATAAAGGTCCATCACGAATCCACCTATAAATGTGCCAAGGAACCAATAGGGCGGTATTCTGAGTAAATGAAGACCGGCACGCATCATGTTCCCCCTGAACGGACCAACGGATGCCGGTGGCCAACCCTGAACTGGAGGGGTCCAGAATGGAAATTTGTAGGTGCTCCTTGTCTTGTAGCATTGTCGCAAGGCTATAGCCGCCCCCGTGGCGGCACCGTAAGAAGCCCAAGATTCGATAGCTGCTGCATGTTCTGCAACGGCGGTAGCCTCGTCCATGGTTAATGGCCTCTGCACCAAATTGGACGCATACTGAACATGTTTGGCCACTTCTCTTGCGACCCTAGCCATTGGATATCCCACAAGACTGCCGACAATAGGAATTGGCTTCGACATCTTGGTGAGGTCAAGTGTTATGGGATCTCGAGGCTGTCCATCGGGTCCGAATGAGTCTGTCGATTGAGTAGCATAAGGGTCGTTGTCGGAGGAGAACGGGCGGTCCGTAAAGCTGTCCGAGGAGCTTGCTGCCTCCTCGAGGACCATTGTTACGATCCTCAGGCAATGGGTTTTGAGTGGGGCCTATGACCCGACTATGTAGGGTGAACCGAGTCTGTGGGTGGAAGTGCTTGTACAGCACAGGATTTCGTATCAGCAGCGCAAGTGAAATGATGAACGGATCATTGAAGCTCAAGCTCAGTGACGCGCGACATTCGCAACGTTTCTTGGCGGCGGGCGATCCCGCGTCATCCCGGTGCTTAGCCGGACATTTGCCGAGAACCTAGTTTGCCCGAAATGGCAAGTCATGACCGCTTGTTAGTGCACAGACAGCTGCCAGGCTGACTTTGACGGTTGTGCATGAGGTCTTTCCCAGTACCTAGTAACTGACTTCTGTACATCCGATTCAATTCTGGCCTTGACACTCTCATGGGCCACTGAGATATGGCCCCGGATAATTTTCCTACCCCACGTGATAACGCAACCATACGAATACATGATTTCGTTCTACTCTTAAATATTTTCTACCCCTATCCCTTTATAGATACCTTTATATCATCCGAATAGTTTTCTTTTCGTACCCTTATTAGATACCCTAGTACCTTATAAATATTCATGTCTTCATGTGTTTTTAGAAACTCTTATATATATTATCTTTTTACCTTTGTATAACTACCTAGCGCTTGCTAGCCGTAGCGAGATAGTTTTTTCTCTAAAACTATCTAAGAAGTACTCTATAGGTATAATATATTTTATTCGAAGTGTAGTTGAGAGGTGGGCAGCGTATCTTGAAAGATGGGCAAATTATCCGAGAACAAAATTTATTCTTCTGATGAGAACTACTTAACCTCGCGAATAACTCGATGTGCCTGAGTCCAATTCACCAACTACCCCGGATGTAGCTACACCACTTCGTCAGGCATCCAACGCATAGCTTTTCTTCTTGGAGTTGGCCTCCCGAAGACGCAGCACAGTATCTACATACCCAAAGTCCAGAGCAGCCTCCTTCTTTGTGGCTAGAAGCTGCGCTGTCTTGAGAATGTTCTTTATCTGACGCCCGTTGAGCTGCTTCTCAGCCAGGCTGTCCAACTGCTCTGCCGAGAACTCTGCGACATTGGATGACCGGGACAAAAAGGATGTCCACACATGACGCCGAGATGAGACGTCAAGATCATCGTACTCCAAGGAAAGATGGATGCGGGATTCAAAAGCAGCATCAAGGTTGTCGACGCGGTTCGTTGTCAGGAACAGTATTCCTTCCTGTAATAGTGTCAGTAGTGAAGCAAACCAACACAATGCATACTCTGGCAATTTGACTTACATAGTACTCCAGCAACCGAAGGAAGATCGAAACCAACTTGTTTCTTTCGAGGTCGTGGGTGCTACGAGCTTCCAGGAACACATCTGCCTCATCGAGAAGGAGAATAGCGTTCCACTTCGTGCTCATTTCCAAGATATTGGAAAGAGCAGCCTCCACACCCGATGGCATGGTGCCAAGATCGCCAGCACTCATAGTATACAGCGGAACCTTCATGACTTCAGCAACAGACTCAGCAGTAAGTGTTTTTCCAACTCCTGGAGGTCCACTCAAGAGCATGATGATTCCTTTGCCCTTTCCTTGAATGACATCATCAAAGGTGTCTTTGCTCTTAGCTTGAGACTGAGCAAAAGCAAGGATGAGTTCTTTCTGCTCAACTGGCGCGACAAGAGAGTCGAACGCGCGTTTGTTCCAGACGATTTCTTTGACCTCGCGAAGTGGAAACATCATCCATTTCTTATCCTTCAGAGAGTAACCATGCAGCCTATCTGTACAGATCATGAGCTGCTTTTCGCTCAAATCAGTAGTTTGAATGTCCGATGGAGGAGTCTGTGATGGTGTCGCACGCCCGGAATCATCGTCTTCTTCTGAATCGTACTCGTCGTCTGAAGAGTGGAGTATGCTGATGTCCGTACCAGCCGGTTTGATGCGACTGACTCTTACTCTCTGATTCGGATTGAAGCGATTCCATCCATAGGTGTCGATGATGATGCGGCTGTTAACAGTATACCGCACAATTCCCCACGGGCCATAACCGAACGCAATGCCCTCATAGGCTTTGAAGTGATATCCTTTGTAAGCCTCGAAGAGCTGACCTCTTGACACCATGTTTTTCTTCACTAGTTCGGGCTCAGGATGGAATGCCAAAGGGAATGCCGACAGACGAGTGATTTGAGTAGTACCAGCAAATGCTGGGATCCGCAGAGAGGATGTGACGTGACCGAACTGTTCGCCGTCGAAATCGATGGACTGAACGTTCAACACGTAGGCCGGACAATTCCCGCAGACGTAGTCTCCGTTTTGGAGGAAATATGCGCGATCGACCCCATCATCGTTGTGGTAAATGAGAGCGCCAGGTTCAAAGATGGTCCAGCAGGCCTTGTAGGTCACGACCCCATGAGCAAGCAAGTCTTGCTTCTCCGAAATGGTGTCCCTCAGTTCCTTTTCAAGCACCTCCCAGAGCAGTTCGACGTGTTCTTTAGTCTCAGGATCAGACTCCTTTGCCCTCGCTTCACCTAGTGCTTCCCACCGATGCACAAAAGGTGTGAAGGGCGCTGTGAACTCAAGTCGATCTAAGCTAGTCGTTACTCCGGGATAGTTTTGCAGGACCTTTCCTAAAACCTTCTTGAGCAGCGGGCTCTGAACCACGATGGACTGGATCTGAAGTTGCTTCCGCCCATCGTAGCATTTCTGGTGCCGTATGACCAATGCGTATTGAGCAGATTCAAGATTTTCAGCTGGCTCTTCAAGGTCGTCGGGATAATCGGTAGTCCAAGAAGTACGGCCATGCTTGTCAGGCTTGCTTTGGTACAGGTCTCTGACAGTACACTTCATGCCCTTGGAAGCGTACTGGATGCCGGACTGGTTTTCCATAGCCTGGGCAACAGCTTCCATGGTTTCATCGATCCCTTCTTCTTCGGTGAGCGATCCGTTGCTGAAGTCTTCGTTGTCTTCGGTAATGATGAGACCCATGAAATTGGATGGGATAGAAAAGATTGTAGATGTAGAGCCTCGAAGACAGCATATCCGGCAGGATTAAGTACCTCACGCAGACTCGTCACCCCTGGCTAGTACCTACTGTTGCCTTGATGGTGTGCAACAACAAACACTCACTGGTGAGTCAAAGAAACCCGAATTGACGGATGGTTCCATTGTTGGTTCCATTCTGTCCAGTCACGGACGGCGCTGGGCCTTGGGCAAGGCAACCACGCGGGCAAGACAATATATTGTTCAAGCCACGGAAAATCCATCATGGTATATGGTGAAGACAGCAAGGATGGCTTGACAGAGAGAGGCCAAAAACGGACGGGTGCCTGGTAGTTACCTATTCTGGATCTACCGACCAACCGCCGGCCGCCGTCGAACCTATGCCGGGCCGCGATAAATTCCGAGGAGATAACGATAAGATTCGTCCGACTATCCCGGACTCGTGCGCATCCAGAAGTTACATTGCTGTCCTCAATGCAGCAATGCCCGTCTATATTGCCGTTCAGGCTCTCTTCGATGGCGTCTCGAGCATACCATATGCCTGGCCTGTCATCAAAGCTGTGCCATGGCTTGCTCTACTATATTTCCTGAAAATCTACTTTGGCGGCGCCACGAACACCTCCGAACGAAAGATGCACTCGAAGGTGGTCATGATCACGGTAGGTTTTGTAAGCCTCTCATCTGTGGTAGTAACTTTACTAATAACTCATGTACAGGGTGGCACCGCTGGTGTTGGCGCGCAAGTCGCTCGTGAATTGGCAATCCGCGGAGCTCAGCTAGTCCTCCTGACCCAGCATGAGCTCTCCGATCCTTTCCTCGTCGACTATATTATGGACATGCGAGCCCAAACCAAGAACCATCTTATCACCGCCGAACATTGCGACCTCTCTTCTCTGCATAGTATCCGCCTGTTCGCTACCAAATGGGTAGACAATGCTCCCCCTCGCCGCCTGGACATGATCGTATTATGCGCCAACACCCTGACTCCCCCAGGGGGTAAGGCAACCACAACGAAGGATGGGCTCGAGTCAAGCTGGGGACTGAATTACATGGCCAACTTCCACCTCCTCAGTATACTTAGTCCCGCCATCCGAGCACAACCTGCCGACCGAGACGTCCGGATTCTTTTCAGCACTTGCAGCTCGTACATGGGAGGCCAACTACCAGGACTTGAGGCGGCCAACAAGGATGACAAGAAGACTGTGAAGCCAAAACCGAAGAAGGGCGGTCGGGCTCCTGAGCCTGTCAAATTTGCGGCCTCCTCCGCATTTGCGACATCGAAACTCGCTATCATGACCTTCGCCTCAGCGTTCCAGAAACATCTCTCGACATATGTGCGCTCCGACAAGATGCCAATGAATGCGCGTGTGTTCGTTATCGATCCAGGCTTCAGTCGGACGCCTGGTATGCGCCGGTACCTTACCTTCGGCAGTCTTTGGGGCTTAGCGTTGTACTTGGTGATGTGGCCGCTGTGGTGGTTGCTCCTGAAAAGTCCTCAACAAGGTGCACAGACTTACCTCTGGGCAGCCATGGATGTTCAACTCGGACGTACAGAGGGTGGTAAGTTCCTGAAAGAATGTCGAGAGGTTAAATTCATGAGGTCGGATGTACAAGACGAAAAAGTGCAAAAGGATCTATGGGAAGCTACCGAGAAGACCATAGAGGCTTTGGAAAAGAAAGGCGCAATGGAGCGCGCAAAACAGAAGAAAGAAAAGGAGGAAGCGGAGAAGACCAAAAAGGCTGCCGAAAAGAGCTCCGAGAAGGAAGGCGAGGCACTCAACGGAGATAATGAGGCGAAGAAGCCTGGTTCTAGGCGAAGCAGAAAAGCAGCTTGAGAGAGCTACGCGCTATCTGTAGTCCGATTTAATTCGACCCCTTCCTATCGAGCTACCATAGGACATATGATAGTCCCCAATAGCCTTTTATACATCATTTCACTGTGTATTAATTGGCTTCCGTCCTAGATTTCGGCTTGCGATTCTTCTACAAGCCTGCACTGCTCCCAGGAGACTGTTGACCATGCGAATCTACTTCGTCCGCATCCAGCCCCCGCCTTCTTCAACCGGCCAATGGGTTGGCATGGATGGTGACGCTTTTAATAACCACCTTTTCCTTAGGGCGGTTCTTCTTGTCTACCTCAAGACCCTCCAGCTGGTCGAGCACATCCAATCCCTCAATGACACGGCCGAAAACGGTATTCTTCCCGTCCAAGTGAGGAGCCGAGGCCAAGCAAATGAAGAACTGGCTGCCGTTGGTGTTGGGGCCCTTGTTTGCCATGCTGACCATGCCGCGCGCGTTGTGTCGAAGAGCAGGACGGATCTCGTCTTCGAAAAGACGGTCCGGCGTCTCGAAGATGGAAGTGGAAGTCTTGGACTTGGGGTCGGAGGCAGGACTGCCGGTTTGGACCATGAAGGAGGGTATCAGGCGGTGGAAGGGCGAGCCATCGTAGAAGGACGAGGCGCAGAGGGCGAGGAAGTTCTAGCGGGGCGGTTAGCGGGCGGTCGAAGGTAGCGGAGTCGAGGGCGCTCTCACCTCTGCGGTCTGAGGAACGCTTTCGCAGAAGATCTCAATTTTCAAATCACCGAGATCGGTGTGCAGCTGAAGAGCGGGGTTAGCGGGCACTGAGGAGAGATGAGAGATGAGAGATTAGAGATGGAACGCACGCGCGGCGCAGGGAGCTTACCGTTACGGACATGGTGCAGGAGCAGACAGAGGCATCCCGGCTGACGCTTCAGCTGCTGACAGAGAAGTATGTGTCGTCACTGGGTTTGATGGCGTCCAGGTAGAAAAGTCGCAGAGTGGCCGCTGCTGCGGCTGATGATCGCCCAAGCGGATCCCCCGAGCCCTGCGAAACAGCGAAACAGCCCGCCGACCAGCAGCGCATCGTGACACGCTCATCCCGACGGCCAGCCGATTTCCACGGCTCCACGCTCGCTCGCCGCCTCTCGAGCATTGCCCATTGCTGCCGTCGTCGTCCCCGTCGCCGCCCATCGCCGTCCATCGCCTCGTCCGCCCGTGAGCCCAGCCCGCCGATGAATGGACCCCGCCGTGTAGCTTACCGCGAGCTATAAGCATCAAGCATACGGACATACACTTGATCTCCTCCGCCCCCGGTCCAGCCTTGCGCACGCTTGCACCCGCATCACCGCATCCTCCTCGCATCGCACACGCTACCCGGGGCCGTTGAATTGTCACCCAAGTCCTCGAGCCCGCGTCGAGAGAGCTGTTGGGCAGCCGGGCGCAGAGGGTGAACTCTCATGCAGTCCCCACCGCTGGCCAGCGCCCTGCATTCACGAACGAACCGCAACCATGACGGCATTTGTGCGCGTCTCCGGACCGCCCAACAGCAATTTCCTGGTGGGCTATCCGGGCATATCTGCGACGCTGGTATGTCGCCCTCCTCCGCGCTTGTCCCTCCTGCCTGTCCCCCTCCGCTCACTTCTCTAGCCGCGCATAGAGGGTAAAGTCGAGATCCGCCCGTTAATAGGCGTCTCCGCCCCGGTGGCCGTTTCCCTCGTCACAATCGCCCTGCAGCGTCGAGAGACGATTCACCCCTCCGCTGACTCGGTTACCAAGAAGCACCTTGCTGCGCCGCGCAAGGAAATTACAGATATTGTCGGCAAGGAGATGCTGCTCTACCGCTCCCCACTCGGCCGAGAAGCGGAGAACATCCTTTCAATGGACCTTCCCTTTGTAATATTTATTCCATACGGCCGTGGGGGCGAAGAGGTTGCGCGAAGGGTGCCGCCTGCAAGCCTACAGCTTCCCAGCCGCACGGCCGAGACGTTCTATGAATTAGTTGTTACGGTGCAACAAGGTGCATCAGAACAGAAGAAATATGCTTTCCCGGTTCCGATATCCCGTTATGATACCCTTTCCACCTTCGGTATGTACAACAGACCAGAGTCTGCCGAGCGCGTCTCAGACCACCTCGTCACGCTTGGCATTTCTCTCCCTCGCTGGTCTTACGGACCTCTCGATCCCGTCAGCGTCTACATCAAACTTTCTCCCAATCCGGACTGGATGTCTAAGGCCAAAAAGGTCACGATACAAAAGATTACAGTCGGGATAGACGAGGAGATCATATACAACCATGAGGGTGATGAACCGAGTAGGAAGGTGAAGACATTGGCAAAAACTACGCAGGCTGTTGGCGTCAAGATGCCGGAAGCTGGCTATTTTACGAACCTGGGCCTTGTCTTTCCAGCAAAAGATTTGAGGGATAGCGATGGGATCCTTCCTAGAGGAAATCAGAAGTTCCCTTCGTACGCAGTCAGCGGGTTCACGACGACTGCATCGCTCTACAAGATCGAATACTATTTAACGGTGAAGGTATGTTGCCTTTTAGAAGAAATAAATTCGGGTCCCTCTTTGCTGACCACCGCCAGGCACAAATGTCAGCGGCAAAGGATATTCTTCTCAGACAACCGATTGTTGTCTGCCCCTTTGACCATGCAGGTTGTAAAGAAGAGATGGAAGCTATTGAGCATGCGGCTAGAGAGGCGGCGAGGGTTAGCCCGGAAAACCCGATGCTTCCAGCAGCCCACATCGTCAAGGCTAGCGAACCAAATGGGCTGGCAGCTCTGGGAATGGCCATGGTGGGAGGTGTTCGGAAGCCACTGATCGATTGAAGAGAATCGAATAATTTCATGATGCCCTTGGGCAGCGTTACGCCGCCATCCGAATGTACGACCGAGAGTACGTCACGACGACTGCAGGCAGCACATCGCATCCGGGTTATGGGCGGAACAATTGCACCAACGAAATGCGGCGGGACGCATACAGCAATTGCTAATATCGATGCTTCCCAGATCCACGCGGAGGCGCAGCCTGGAATAAAAACGCGCCAGGCCAAGTGCGCGTAGGATCGTGAGAGAGATAGGAGCTCTATCACAAGAGGGAAGGCAGTTGGCACTTGGAAGCACGTGTTCTCAGTTGGGCGTTTGGCTGGGAATTTTGGAGAATCCGTTGCTTGTCCGGAGTGATACCTGCATTGCGACGGAGTTTTTGATCTGTTTCTTGCTCTCTCACTACTACCCCCCTTTCGAAGGCCTGGAGTCCGGCGTGATTGTCCAAATCTTTGAAAGTTCTGTCCTCGATACCTTGCCTCGATACCTCGAAGAGGCCACCACCATCGCAACTCTTCCGTTAGCGGACCGCGTGAAAGCGCGCTTTAATAAAAATGTCTCTCCAAGTCTCTGCTTCAACCCATGCGAGGACGGAAAGCCAGATTGAAGAAGTGCTGCGGTTGCGCCTGCTCCTGCTGGGGAGGCGCATTCGAGGGTTTGGAATCCTTGGATTCTAACGTCACTGCCGACGCCGAGATGTGCTCATCGACCATGGCCTTCATCTCCTGGTACTGGTTGCTGTCTTCGCCAAATGTTGCTTTCGTGTTGCGGAGATTCGTCAAAAGCTTCCTCGGGAGTCAGCCGAACGGAAGCTTCCAAAGGAAGCACCCCCTCCCTTCATGGGAAAGGTCTAAGGCGGACACATACGGCAGCCAGAAGATCCAAATCGTCTTGGGAAGACATGATGCAGAGATCAAAGACCCGCGGTAGCTGCAAGAAGGCAGTGCACAGGAACTGGCAAAATCGGAGAAGAGAGGCGCAGTGGCGGAGCTTGTGCCGCGCAGAGACAGAGTGTCTAGCTCGAGGTTGTTGAAGGTGCGACGTTCGTGTGGCCACGACTAAACCTATCAACCCCTTGTTGTAAAATGCCGTTAATTAGCGGATATCGAGTCACGTGCTTTTCGCTCACGGGGAAGCCGCGCCTGTTAATGCCTGGAACTAACCCGAATCGGGTCGTCTCTGCCTTATGCTTCTGAGGACGTGGGCTCTCTTTACTCCAATTCCTCCTTCCATATCAATTGAAGTCGGTCGTCCAAATCCTTCGTTCTCGAAGCACTTGTCACACCATTTCTCTTACATCGACAGCTTCATCACTGCATAATTTCAATTACAGCAACATCAAGAGTCAATCATTACTCTGCTCAACATCTGCTTATCCCAACGGAACCGCTCTTTGCTTACGCACCTCTACATCTATCGTTCCACTCAATCATGCAGCCTTTCAGTGCTTCCAAGGAAATGCCCATCCCCCCATTTGACATGGGGATGGGGGCTGGTCGTGACCCAAGGCAAAAGTTCATCTACGTCGTTGTCTTGTTAAGAATGTTGAACTTCTACGACAACAAAGAAGAGGCCGAGAGACAAGCTGAGAAAGAAAATGCTCTCAGCCCGCTCAGTAACTGGCAGGCAAGCGTCCAAAAGCTCGATATACAAACCAGCGAGTACATCCAGGCCAGCGATATGGCGGTACAGAACCAAATGGGAGAAGATGTATCAGGCATTACACTTTCAGAGGGGCCGAACGATCTTCCTAAGGGGTGCGTCAAAGAGGATTCACTCAAAGGTTACACGGTCGGCTTTCGTGGCAATATGCCGACCTACAACTCTGCGATATTAAAGGTTTTGGCCAAGGAGGCTGGTGCTAGAATTGAGGGGGATCGAGATCTTCCGTTGACCCACACCCTGATCGTGATGGGTCCCAATGCTCCCCGACTGACAATTGATTCGGTTATGAGAAGAGGCATTAGACCGATCAGCGAAAAGAAGTTCCTCGAGATAATTAGCAAAGAAAGCCCTCGGAATTCAGGAGAAGAGGAGAACAAGGATGACAAGAATACGGATGACAAGAATACGGATGACAAGAATACGGATGACAAGAATACGGATGACAAGGACAAGGATGCTGGAGTGGAGGAATTCTTTAGTATGTCGTTCACTGGCTAGAGGAGGTCTGAGAAGTGAAGGGATTTCGTGTCCAGTCTTCCCAGTTCCCTGAACTGGAGTTCGGATATTGACGATACCCTCATTCGAAAAGCGGGGTGGGTGCATCTGCTGTCTTTTCCTTCGCAGTCACATTCACGAGAAGAACACACGTGTATCAGGGTCACGTCGTTTGGTGTTAATTGCAACACACGTCTTTATTGCTTTGTTGTACAGCAGGCATGAGGGCGAGCACTCTCAGAGCTTGTCACTTGACAATCCAGTTATTAGCTTCACAACAATTCAGTACTCATTGGCTCTCTTTATTAGTCTTTCCTTAGTCATTGCCTTTCGCCTTGTGCATGGTGGCCAATCCCAATCACGCTGTCCAGTAACTCCTCATTAGCTAGCTATCATGTATATTCCATGACATTGGCAACCGAGTTGACGGGAAAGAGGTACCATCCTGTACGTCGAGAGTATATACCTAGTAGCGGTAGGCGCAGTCACTGCTATGACCTGCAGCCGTACGAGCGATTAATATAGGGTGTTACCTTATGACAGGAATTGTGCTCGCTTGGTGAAGTAGTGCTTGAAGTTAACATAGTTGCTCTCCTGTCCAGGCTGCTGCTATCGCCATTCAGAGAGTCAGATGTTGCAAGCAAAGCCTTCAGGATAGTTCACAGTGGATAAAGAGTGGAGACAAGCATCGTCCACTTTAAACCATGCCTCCGAAGCCAATGCTCACCGGCATGCTTCCAGTCCTTTCACGCTCAACCAGCAAACCACATCACCACCACCCCAACATCACCAGCAACATCGTACACAGTCATACCAAACTCATTAATCCATAAATAGCCCCAACACTCCTTCCCAAGTCTACACGCATCTATTGCTTCTTCTCCTTGGACGCCGCACCCTCGCGCTCCATGCCCTCGCACCCAGCGACCTTGCCCGCAAGCTCCTCGGCGCGCCCATACCCACTGGTAGCGGGGTCGCGGTTCTCGCTCGCGGCCTTCATTGCGTCGACCGCGTGCGCCTTGTCCTGCTCGCCCGAGGTGCTCCAGGCTTGGTTGCCGGTTAGGCCGCCGATGGTGCTCTGTGGGTGGGGGGTTAGCTGCTGCGTTGCTGCTGAGGCAAGGAGGGAGTGGTGGAGGAATGGGGTTAGGGTGTATGGTGTAGGGTTGTAGGGTGTAGGGAGGAAGTGACGAACCTCTGCGGCGCCCTTGATGTACTCGGCGTGGCTGGCGACGAGGCCGGGCTGCTGGTTGGTGTTGGCGTTGCTGGCGGACATGGTTACAGCGATTTATGTGGTCGGGTGGTTGTGTGCGGGTGTTGGTTTCGTGGATGGTCAATTGGAGGCTTGGTGGTTTGGTAAGAGGTAATTGGCAGGTTGTGGTTGGAGGTTGATGAAGATTGATTTTATGAGCGCCCGAGAGGAGAGACGGATCCAAGGTGAGCTGCTCGCTGACGTTCGTGACGTCATTGATGCTCCTGGAATGTCCCGTCGCCTGATCAACCGCTTGACCGCCTTCCTTTTTGGGCCAGCATTGTGGACTCGGATACAAGCAGACATTCTGGCAACCGTGACGCTGGCAATTTGATGGCTTCTTGTGCCTTATTTTGACGGCTGTGTGGCGTCTTCCGATATGCTGAGCTCTGAGATCTTGTCCGCAGCCGCCTGGTCGATCGCCGCGCTCGCAGATACAGGCGTTGAAGGATCCTCGCCTTCGTCTGCGCCCTTGAAGCCTTGGAAGTACTGAAGACTATTAGTTCGAGTCCTGAGTGTTATTTCAATTTTGCCTCAACTTACTCTTCTCCTGAACGAGTTGAGCTCATCCGCATGGACGCCGTTGCCAAACTCCCGCTTCGTCCACGATGCCGTCTTGTCCACCAGCGCGTCCGGGATCCGGCGATACGTCAAGAGGCGCCGAGACCACTTGTTGAAAGGCTGGATGCAGACGCTGATGATTTCGAGGTAGGGGTGTGTCGGGATGGCGAGCTCGATGTCTTCATCGTTTGCGGTTGGCATCCACATGGATAGGCGGCCCTCGTCGACGAGCATGTCGGTTGCGAATTCCATGATGTCGTCCAGCATGGCTTCGAAGCTGTAGGGCTTCTTCGGTGGGATAAAGCCCTCGCGTCTGCGTGCTGTTAACATGCCTGCTTCCGTAGTGCATTGGGGCTTAGTTGAGTCACTTACAGATGCGCATATTGGCCATCAATGATCACGGCCTCCTTGCCTCCTTCATCCTTTCTTCCTAGCACCTTCAGACCTTCTCTTACGCCGTATGGCGGGTCGCAGATAATACCATCAAGCCACCTCGCCTTCCTCAAAGGCGTGTTCGTGAGGTCCGAGATACAGTTATCTAGACACTTATCCATCAGACCATACTGCTTGAAGTTGCTAAGTACGTCCTTCCCTGCCTTTCCCCTGATACTCCGCCCGTCGATGTCTGCACCAAGCGCCATAGCGCCAAAATGCGCACAAGCAACAGGAAAACTGCCGGTGCCGGCAAAGGGGTCGAAGAACAGCTTTCCAGGCCCTGCGAGGGCCATGTTAGCGCTCACGAGAGCAAGCTCCGAGTCCATGCTTGTGGTACTGATGTAGCAACGCTTCTTGAGATCGTATTTGACGATTGCTCGGCGTCCAGAGTCTGCAATATGGCGGCCAAGGTAGATTGCGTGTGGCTCTGGCGTGTGCATCTCGAAATGTTCGAAGATGGTCAGGTGGAGGTCTGGATCCTTCATGCGGATCGGGCCCTCGAAGCCCATGTACCGGAACGTGTCAATGATTTCGCGTTGTTGCGAGTTGCTGCGTTTCCCCTGGAAAGAATCGACGGAGAAGCGGAAGGAATCGTTTTTGTATGCCGGCCATCTTGATTGCGTGCGTTCGGTAATTGAGGTATGCAAGTCCTCGTACGTGCTCCCACTTCCCCAGAGTTCGTAGATAGCTGCACTCAAGACCGAACGGGATATCAGGGCGCGAGCGGCATCGTCGGACGGGAGCCGTACAATGCAGAAGGGGGACTATGATAATGATGAGTCATGTGACAAGATTGAAGATAGGGAAAATAAGATGTTTGGGCTGAGAGCTAAACATCTCAGGCTGCTCTGACTCTTGTTTGGAGAAAAGTAACCTACAGCCAAACCTGGCTACAACGGTTGATTTGGTCATCAAATCCCGACCTTTAAAGGTGTTCATCGATATATCCGGCTAGAGTTTGCGTATCCTTTCGCATACCTTTGCCATTATAACGAGAAAGACTTTGTAAACACACCAGGCTTATGTTAACAGTCTGAAACTGCTGACCAGCCCAAACGTCGTAACCAGGGTTGACTGTATTGATAAAGGCACCAGGAAAGAGGAAAACATGCATGAAGAGTGTCTTACAACAACATAAATACGAGAAACAGAAAGAAACCTACATCTTCACTATAAGCAACGAACTCGATCTCAATGCCAGCATACGTAGCCAGAGCCTCTAGTTCCGCCTTGCGGAAACTCGGGTGCACTTGCACGACCCGAATCAGATATTCCTGCATCTGAGCGTAGTGAAGTTGTCGAACAAAAGGCGTCTAGAATTTTAGCTTGACAGGAGCGAAGGAAGTCGGTCTTGGCTAGATCCTATCCATGCAAACAGGAAGGTAAGGTAGTAATGTTTCTGAAGTATGAGCGGACGGGGACGAGACAAGGTTGGATGGTTCAGCTCATGGCTCATGGGCGCGAAAACCAGACGCGAAAATCTGCCGGCATTTCTCCACGGGCATTCCTCCAATGGTCGGTTTTGGGCTGTCTTCATAATTCACATACGCACATACAGATAAGTAGTACTTTCCACAACTCCATTCATGGTCATCCTTACTGTCCAGCCAGCAAGCAAGTAGAAATACCTAATGTCATCACCGTCCATCCTCAATTTCAGCGGCCCGCATCCACATGCGCTTCCACTCCATTGCACCTGAGTGCGCGGGTATCGAACGTATGAGGTTGAAATATTGCCAAAGCGAATGCAGAAAAAAGAGGTGGATGATGCCAAAGCAAAAGAAACATAACGACCAACCAAGGTCGAAAGGAAACGCCGTCGCAAAATCGGAATTTCACGTTGTACAAAGGAACCCAGCCATCCCTTTAGGTTCTCCCAGTTCTTCTCTCCCAAACTCCGTGTCCTATGAATGTCTGTATGTCGCACACAATACCGGTGCGACCCGCCATTTCATCCATGCATTATGCGAATCTTCACTCGTATCGGTGATGCAAATCCGAAATACCCCCTCTTCCTCGTACACGTGATGCAAAACAAAACTCGGTTGTCCTAATTGAACCAGGGAACCCATCCGATGAGTCAGTCAATGAGTCTTTCCATGTTTTTCGGCACGGAACCAGGCGAAATCGTCCCGGAATGCCTCATCTTCACCGTCTCGATCGGCCCAGTCAATTCAATTTTGATTCTGCCAATACCAGTGTCCAAAGGGTCAGTACCAGCGGAGTCCTTCTTGTCAGGCTCGGCATAGGGAGGGCTTGTATTGTTGCGCGCCTCCTGCGGTGATACGGGTGCCATGGGCTCCTTCTCAGGCTCGGCTCTCCTACTTCTTGACTGGGCCCTGGTCTTTAATTTCGTGATCATCTTGGTTTCTTGGGCAGCGGGCTTTGAGGCTGTGAAAGTCTTCGTGATCTTCTCGGCGGGCTTCGGAGCTACTGGTTTCGTGGTCGCCTTCTTCTTTGGCGCGGCCTTCTTCTGAGGTGCCGCCTTTGCATTGCTAGCTTTCCCCTTAGGCGCAGGTTTGGGTTCACCCACTACTAAAGTCTTCCTCTTGTTTGTTGCAGCAAACTTCTTGTTTTTCGTCGGCGTTGTGGGTCGAACAACGGAAATGGTATCAGGCTGCGGCTTCAACTTAGGGCTTGCGGACGGCGTCAAGATACCCTTATCCTTGGAGACATGTCTGTTCTTGCGCGGTGATGGAACCGCCACAATTGGGCTGGGCTTCTCCTTTGCTGCGCGTACTTGTTCGTCTGTGACCTCCGCGAACTCGTACCGGTCATGCCAAAACCGAAGGCGAGCTTTTTCCGCGACGGCATCGCAAGGCCCCTTAACCACCAAATCCCAACAGTCTTCCAAGCCTTGAACCTTTGGCGCAGGTTCGTTGTTGATCCAGATAGTGCAACCACCCCTCCGGTCTCTCACAGTGTTGGCCATTTCACGGGCAATGCGTTTCACGCCAGGAACCTTGAGCGTGGTACCAACGACGATAAGGGCATCCGGCCGAGTTCTTAAATCAGCGTTAGTGACGGAACCAATTGCTTCTTCATCCGGGCCGTTTTCGTTGTAGAGCACCATTCGCGGCCGCAATCTTCCGATTCCATGGCTTCTTTTTCCTGCGTGTTGTGTCCGGACTTGGTCTGTTTGGACGCATGCCGGGCATGCAGGGGGGATTGGGCCGTCGAAAATATCTGGGTTGAAATCCGTTAAGTCGTTACACTTCGCACAGACCATCTTATCTAGCCCACCGTGGAGCAACACCGTCTTGGGCCACGGTGCCCTCTGCGGAAGCGGGATCTGTGTGTTCAAAGGCGGAAGGGATGTCTCGATTCCATCGACATTCTGGGAATAGAGGCGCAACAGTCGTCCTTCGTCCGCGAGAGTCGCGATCAGGTGGTGAAACAAAGTCGGCTTCGCCGACTTGGCTTGTTGTGATAACGATCGCACCATGTCGTGAAACGACGCAGTCGTAGAGGGATCCCGGTACACGGACGCGTCAAACAAATCCTTTCCAGATGAAATATGATTGTGTTGCTGACGCAATGTGTTGAAGAGACCTTTGGCAGAACGGAAATCGGGAACTGGAACATCGTCAGTCAATTGAGGTTGGCGTTGCGACCGGGAAGGGGGATCTCACTTCCAGCTGAGACGGATATCCCTGCGCCCACAATCATGACGATTTTCCTACTCGAGTAAAGGACCTTGAGCAATAGATCGAGAGCCTCCTTCTGGCTCTCATCGTTCTCATCGAGCTCTGCAGTGAGGTCCAAATGACGCGTCGTGCGCGTGTCGGGTTTGGTGGTACGTCTCTTCTTGCGTGGAGGGCCGTCATCGCCAGCGGTAGCGGGATCCATGCTCTCTGGCAGCGGCGAGCCTTTGGTGGAAGGGTCTTGCGACAGAGGTGGAGAGGGGTAGCGTCCAACGTCGTCTTTAGGCGGCGGCGAGGGTGTGCGAGAGCCGAGCGTGCTCAGGTCGCTCTGGTCGGAAAAGTCGACGAAAGACATGGTGAAGAAGGGAGGGTTTGAGCCGCGGTCGGCAGAGGGGAATGCGGCAAGACACAGGCGGGGCGTCTAAAACATGGGAAACAGGTAGAGGGCAGTCGCTAAATGGCAGAAGATCGGGTCGCGAAAGGGCCGCGACCGCGTCGGCAGGGGCAGGCGCGGTGGGGGAAGAGGTGAAGTGGGCACGGGCGAGCGTGGATTGTGAAGGACGAGAGGTTGGGGAACGATGAGGTCTCTCGCGACGTGGGAGCTCGGAGCTGATTCGCTTGGCGCGAGAGCAGTGACGGCTGTTTATTTTGATGCTCGCGCGGCCTCCACCATGAGGACGAGGGGGATTTCTGGGGGGATTCCGAGCGTCCGCCGGCCTCTCTGGCTTTGTTCTGCCGCGAAGTTTGGTTCTACCAGCGTCCAGCTCCTGGCCTTGTGCCGGTCGCGGTCCCTAGTCTTGGCTATGTACGAAGTACGAGGGGGGCCTCCGCATCAGATTCATCCACGTCTGGCCGCACAGTCAGACAAGCAAATGCACGCGTGACCGGCAGCGGGCAGGGGGTGCTGACGGGACAACATCGAGCGTGCTTTAGTCGCGATGGAGTCGTGCGTCGGTCGCGAGAGAGCCTTGACACGCCTCGACTTAGCCGAAAAGAGGGCTAGTGCCGCCTTGGCGCGACGCCTTCCAGCCCTGCATGGCGATCTCGCGTGCCCGAGTCTCATCGTGACTGCATTCTGTATCGAGCATAATAGCGCGCGCCTGTCTTTCACCCTCTTGTCCCCCGCTTGATGTCTAGTTGTGCTCTTTCGCCAGTAATGAAGTCAATCCGTGTTTGAGATCCCCTACAAGAGCCTTGTCGCCGCGTGGACATGCCTCTGATCATGGACGACGACCAATACATGGAAGATCTCTTCAACGAGTCAGGCCCCATACCCATCTCCGTCGCCCCTTCGCCCTTGAGAGGCCTCTCGCAGCGTCTGAATGAGCTGCAGGAGAGCGGATGTTGTCAGTAAGCTCTCCCCTGTATAACTCGCCCATCTCTTCTATATGTTGACGGCAAGCAGGTCTATCTCTTGGTCCAGGAGTGGCTGCATAGCATCAATTACCCGCGATGGCCATGGCGTAAACCTCCGCGCATTTCAGCGGAATCCCTCTGACGGGAAGTGGGCTTTGGGGGACGAAGTTCCCCTCCCAATCCATACCGTCCATGACGAGTTTCCTATCGTCCACGTGTCCTGGGGCCACCTGGGTGTTGACTTGGCTGTCATAGACGCAGCTGGTAGAATACTAATCTTCACTGCTGAGCCAGCATTGGACAGAATGCGGCTGTCTAGAGACAACTTTACCGACCAGGAGACCGAAACGGGGGCTATTGTCGGCTTACACTGGCTGCCCGTCTATCCACAGCAACACAGAGTATGTTTGTTTTTTTTTAACACCGGGGGTGCTATTGCTGACTAGATGTAGTATCATATGCTGTGGTCGGCTGACCGTGATGAAGGCAAGTGGCAGTATCGTATGACGAGCCACCAATGGAAAGAGCCCCATAATCCTATTGAAGGTGGCAGCAAAGCAGCATTCTTGTGCTTAACTCGCGGTGGAACGATTCGTCTTCTTTTTCAAGCTGAAGGAAATCATTGGCTCGACGCGACTGCAGAACTAGAGGCCTCAAACTCAGCTAAAGATGCTTTTACTCATGCCTCGTTCGCATCCGACCAAGGTACTTAGCGCCATCCACGATGAAAAGAACCCTGCTAATTGCTCTCGAGAAAACTCACTGCTTCTTGTTGCCCACAGTGAATCGGGCACATTGCACGTATTTCGAGTAAAGATCAATTGGAATATACCCCCTAACCGACAGCGCATTGATCCACCACCAACACCAATCCTTGAGGTGACAGCCTTAAAGTCTGAAGAAAATTGCTTGCCATTGAGCACCGGTTTCGATGCGGGCGGTGGCTCCCTCGAACCCAACCATAGACTTTCTCAACCTGCGCAGCTCACACATCTCATGTTTGTTCCTACTGGCCCTGAACCAGGTCCGCATACTGGAATTTCTCATCCAACGGTCATGGCAGTCTTTTGTCACACGCCAGCTGCTGCAACGTCCCTGATGGATCAAGCGCAACAATCACAGCAGCCGTTCAGTATATTAGCAAGATGGGAACTCAGAGAGACTAGAAATAGTCTTCACCCGGCCTTTGAGCAGCTTACGGCCAAGAAGCGATCGTCAAACACGGGTGGGCAGCGCGTAAGTTACGATAGTCATGCTTAATGAATCATGCTGATCCTTGCCTGTAGCAAAGTCTGGAGTTCCAGCGCCAACCCGATATTGTCATGAACTCAGTAACGCTTGGTATATGGTCCCTTGACTTCCATACCAAGTTTGCTATTTTCCAGAGTAATGGCACAACGGAGTTTAGAGATCGGTACACCATGGAGAGGATGGTGGCAGATTTCAATGAAGAGAAAGTGTCTTCCCTGATCCAGGCTGGGTTCGATTTCTCCAAACATGAACCCGGTGAGTACTAGAACATGCCCGACTGACTCGACTACCACTGACAATCACCGTAAGCTTTACACTTGGCTTTATCACCTAGCGCCTGCATTGCAGCATTGGTACAACACGACGGCACGATTACGCTGAAGAATATGGAATATGGTTTAGGCCCTCTTACCAGCAAGGAAAACGATCGTAAGTAAATGTCAATGGCTAAAAAAAAGTGCCTTATTGACGCCAGCCAGCGAAAATATCCGCAGCTATGTCAGCACTCGTCTTGCAATACAGCTCGGCATCCCTTCAGTACAGCAGTACGGACGATCTGTTCGCGATCATGCCTCCAGACATTGATCTAGGTAAGTCAAATTGTTTATTAGGAAAAGAAAGACCCCATCTAATTCGAAGTAGACTTGGCGCGTGCTTTCCTAATTGGCACTCATTACTCAACAAATGTGACAGCCGATTACACGGCGGAAGAACTCCCTCAAAAAACACTCCAACAAATCTTCAGCAACAGCTTGCTGCGAGGATCTTTGAGCGCACAAAACCTTATCGGAACAGGCACAGACGGGAAGAGAAACCTCTCAGCAAAACTTGCTTGGATAGCTCTTAATCTACGACTCACTTCTTGGAACCTTGCCATGGCCGTAAGGACGAAGCCAGAAGCTCTTTCCCAAGGTATGTTCAAACTCAGCAGACATACATTATGCTTTCGCGAGACTTACTTCGAGTACAGAAGCTGCAAAGGCTATCACCGGTCCAGTCAAATGGACAACCGATGTTATGGTCTATATACTCGATGAGCTGATCGAGTTGTCGAAGCGATGTAAGGGGCACGAGGGTGACAGAGAGTTCATCCAACAAAAGCGTATGTCATCCTTTGGAAAATCAATATTGTCGCTGGCACTAATCCGCTACCATCTATACAGTCCAAGAAATGAATTCTCCAGCCATTTTTCTTCTCCTTTGCAGTTACCCACGGGCTCTTTTCCGTGTCTCACGCGGACCTTTACAAGCTTTGCTCAGTGCTAGCCAAATGCAGGTGCGTTTCGCGCCGACAGTTTTGCATCGAGCCACCTTCAATGCACTGCTCGCCACTGTCATCAACTCGCCTGTACAGCCGCCGCCGATGGCATTCATGGTGCAAGAAACAGACCAGGCAGTGCGCAAAGTCTACGCAGCCACCCAACTTAGCATTGAGCAGCGCAAAGCTATCGAGCGCGAAATGCTGATCAAGGCCGAGATCCCTGGTCTCCTGATGCCAGTCGTGACGGGCTTGCTGACGACTGTCGTCGACAAAGTGCTCGACATGGTGAACCCCGCGAACGTCATGTTTCATGATTTGCGTTGGTTGTGCTTGCACGAGGATGGCAGGTCGATAAGGTGGGCGCAGGAGAACACAGTCGATGTGCTCAGGAAAGCCGTCCTCTCCGAAAAGGAGGGCAAGCGTAGGCGCTGTACGAGATGTGGGAACATCATGGAGGATCTGGATTCTTGGCTCGGAATGCCGCAGAACAAGTGTGCTTGTGCGGGCGCATGGAGCCAAATGACGAGGAAGGTCTAAGAGATGAAGGAAGTAGCGACCTCGTTGATCGAGTATTCTGAGAACCAAGTTCATGATACTTTGAGATGGTATACTACTACAATTCTACTGACCAGTCACGGGATGTATCGAAAACAAAATCAATTGTAGCAGCAGTTTGCACTTGAATACTTCAGTGTTGGTTCCTACGTGATGAGCGTCGTCTCTAAACTCTAAGCGCGAACATTTTGTAATGGCATGTGCCCGATTGAAATATGAGATGCCCGTTTACCTTAATTGGGACCAAACGCCTCCTTGACAGCCTTCCGATGCATAGCTCTGCAAGCCCTTTCGTTCACCGAATTCCTTACATGATGAGGAAGGTCTATGAAATGCCAGGTTGTATTGCGAGAGTATAAGCATCAGTACCAGATGCTCCTAGTCCGGTGGTGGGGTATCTGCTCTTTCCCAGCCTTTTCCAGCTCTTTCATGGTGTCGTAAAGGAAGAAGTCAATCAAGATGGCATTGACCTTGGCCTCCGGATGATGCTTCAATATCTCGCGTCTGATCAGCTCAACGGCCCAGATACTGCAACCTGTTTTCTAGTTAGAGAAGCGCACATGAGGAACATGGATGAACTGATGCCAACATACCTCGGAGCTCGATTTCCCAGCTATGTCCAGACTCGATCTCCTGAAGGCTCCGGATGCGAGCCTCGAGCGGTGGACTATAAGATATAACACCAAGTGTGTGCAACATCTGCGGGATACGATAATCTAGAACGTTGTTAGTAGCGTTCTCCGGGTCGCAAATGTATGGATTGGCAACCTACCGGCAAACATGGTTATCTTATCAATGTCATAGAACTCGCCGTAGCTGTCACCGTCGAAGGCGGCCCATAGATCGGCCACGAATATCTGGGCCCGCTTCATGATGCGCACTTTCTTGTGCTCGAAAGTGGCTTCGTCGCGGAAGCAGGGGAAGTTGTCTGCTAGTAGATTCACCAATGCGGCAGCAGAGTTGCGGGCGTCAGAGATGAGGGTCGTGACACTGCCATCGAACTCCTGAAGGCAGTTTTGAATGAGCACTTGCTAGTTTAGGTATTGATTTGGACATAAGGGAACTAACCTCTTGCAGAACATGTCCGGCTTCTCTTAGACATGCCATCCGTTCTTTGAATAAAGGAGCTTCCTCGTCTGTCGCTGATTGGAAAACAGTACGAAGTACTTCCTCTGTGCATGCTTCTTCGTCGACCCAGAACGACGGAGTCGTGATAGGGATTCCTGATTGGAATTAGTATCAGAGCGGATGTCATGCATCAGGCAGCCACGAACCTCCTTCAAGAGCGCGCTGCAGGACAGCGACTAAACCCCAGTAGCCAGTCCATTTCCTTCCCTTGTACGCGACAGCAAATCTTTCTTCCGGGCCTTTCTCCGACCAAAAACAAAAATTCAGGAGGTCCATGGTGAAAATAAAATTCACAGTGCTCTCGTCCTTGCTCTTGGGATGCAGCTCGTGTTCAGACCACGTACCAGTGCTGTAGCCTCGCTGCTCCATTTGCTTCCAGATAGTCTCAGCGGCGGCTTGAGTACCGCGCATGTCCAGGGCGACATCAATGCTGTTGTTGCAGATGAAGGATGCATTGTCTAGGACTTTGGTCTCCGGAGGCGCGTTGGTCTTGTTGCCGTCCAGGCCCAAGTGGGCACGCAGAAGAGCGACGAGCTCGGGATCGGCCTCGTCGTCAGACATGGCTGCAATTGTGCATGTACCTTCACATGTACCTGCGCTGCCGTCGTCCACTCAGGACCCCTGTTGGTGCTGCTGGGCTGAGCACGTGACGAGCACCGCCACAGCGCCGGCTACTTATCGCCGCCGTCGCCACCTCCAGTTCCTCTTGTCTCCCCACCTCATCACTCCACTCCGCCTTACGAGGCATCTTCGACCAAACCCATCATGGCGCCCTCTGTTGGTCACCTGCATAAGCTGGTGGCCAGAAACTCCAGGCTTCTAAAGTGAGCAACTTTCCACCGCCCCTGTGCTCCGGGTAACACCATTGCTAACGTGCGTCTGACTCAAAGAGAAGCTTGGAAGAAGACCAAACAGCTTATAGAGAACAAATTACCTCCTTCGATTCGTCCTACCGAGGCTGAACTCGCCCCCGTCTATGCCCGCAATGCTCCGAAGCAGCACCCGCTCCACCGCATTGCCGCCCTCAAACAGAGCAAGGGCCGCTGGTACACGACTCACAGCACCATCAATGCCGCTGTCCGTCGCTTTACCACCCAGGCTACGCAATCCGCCAAGTATGACCGCGCGAGCTTCCCTAGCTCTCGCGTGCGTACTGCCATCAACCTGTCAACCGGACGCGCTCCGTTCGCATCCACGCTGCGGCCGAACCTTACCGGTGGTACGCTAGGCAGGACGGCCGGAGGTTACACGCTTGGTGGCGGAAGAGTCGGCGGTGCCAGATACTTCTCGCACTCGCCCGCCGCGCCGGCGCAGGTCGTTCAGAATGTCTCGCAGGCCGTCCGTGCCTTTCTGATCGGCGGCAAGAAGGCGCAGTATGATGGCGTCAACCCGCGCAACGGCGAGAAGCGGTTCAAGACTGTCAGCGCTCTCCAGGACCAGGTCGAGCGCAAGATGAACACCGTGCCCAAGGCCACTCCTGGCTCGTTCATCAACTTCAACCTCAACCCCTCCGTCACAGCGCTCACCCCCCTCAGCGCCGTGTCTGGTTTCTCCAGCCAGACCGAGAAGATGAACCTCAACTCCGAAGGTCTCCTTGACGTCCTCACCGTCGACTTCTCCCGCCAGCTGAAGGAGCTTGCCATCGTGCTTAACGACCTGAACCGTCTGGCAGGCCTTGGCGACCTCCCAATCACGTACCAGGGCTCGACCCTGCGCGTGCACTTCCCCGGCTGCGACGCTGAGTCAGTCGAAAGACTGTGCGACGAGATGGGCGTGCAGCGCGGTCTCATTGAGCAAGACGAGGACTTTGACGCCTTCGTCGGCACCGAGATCGCGCTCATGTTCCCCTTCGCGCCGAGCAAGACGCCCTCAGAGTCGTCGTTCCTGGCCCGCCCCGCGGACGAGCGCCTCGCCTACCAGGAGGAGGAGCCCATCGACTGGCGCGGGATGCTGACGCCTCAAACACCGGAGATCGAGCGTCTCTCGACGCCAGCGTTGTCGTCGCACTCGGACTTGAGCGAGGCAAACTTCGAGGATATTGTCTGCGAGGAGAACCCTTGGGTCTCGTCACCGACGCCGTCGGGCTATGAGAGCATTCACTCAAGCCACCTTGAGGAGTCGCTCCCGTCCGACCCGCTTGAGTACCAGGGCATTGAGGGCATTTACCGCTTCATCGAGCAGTGCGACGCCGCTGCTGCACGTCGCTAGACCTGCTTGTCGCATTTAATTTCCTTTGTCGATTTTTCTGATGCTGTTGTTGCTACTGCCTTAAGCACTCTCTCTTGGTTCAGAGTGATTGATACTCCCCTCTCGTAATGTACGGATACATACTTTGCGGCGTTGGATTGCGCCGCTTGACATTTCTGGTTGCTGCTACTGCTGCAGTTTGCTTGCTTTCTTGAAGGCAGATGGATGGGTCGTCGTCTGCAGCTGGTGATAGGCTGCAGACGGCACGACACTACACTGCGCTTGCATGCATGCATAGGTACTTGCTTAGACTCTTTTGATCGCTCGTTGTAGTAGCGCCGGAATGCGAGCTGTTTTGCTTGATTTGACTTTTGTGCTTGTTGGGTGCTTCGCTCGCTGCGTATGTACAGTACTCTATATGGTAGCTCACGAATACCACTGAGTTGCTTAACTAGGGGTGTTATCCGATATCTGGACGAGAAGATTCCCTCGCATCTCATCCCTAACTTTGTCTCCCCTCAAGACCCTTGCTTGCCCCTCCCCCTCTGCGTACGCCCCGCAATCCTCGCCACCTCGCCATTTTGCGGCCTTTGCCATAGTTTGAATCGCCCGCTCTAACTTCATGAAGTTGATTCTCATCCTCACTCGTACTTTACATTACAGACCCTAGAGCCTTGTCAATAACCTCATCATCGTAGAATATGTCTGACGAGGTGGGGTGACGGTAAAGTGCTGGGCAGAATCGCCCAAGCTAGTCCCAAAAAGGTGACCGCCCGGGTTAGTGGGCTGGGTGACGTGCTTTGCTTGCGACTAGCAAACCTCATTCCAGTGAATCATCCAACTTGCCACTGGCTCCCAACGAAACGGCAGACTCGAGCTCCGTTTTACGAAGACCTCGACAGCTTCCCGCCCGGAAGACGCATCGCCGCATCTGCACGCGCAACCCTCACTCACCCACCCTCCAAAGAGCACCGCCACAGCAACCACACACATTCCAAAATGGCCACCGTCACGGAAATCACGAGCGACGCCGACTTCGCAGCACACGTGGCGAGCGTGCCGTCAGACGCGCTGCTCGTAGTGTACTTCCACGCGCCATGGGCCGCGCCCTGCAAGCAGATGACGACGGTGCTGACGGCGCTCGCGAGCACGTACCCAGCGAGCACGCCGGCCGCGGTCGTGTTCGTGGCCGTCAACGCCGAGGAGCTGCCCGACGTGTCCGAAGCCTACGACGTCACGGCCGTGCCGTACATAGTGCTGCAGCGCGGCGGGCAGACGGTGGAGACGGTGTCCGGGTCGGACGCGGGCAAGGTGCGCGCCGCGGTCGAGAAGCACGCGGGCAAGGCGGGCAACCCGGGCAAGCTGGGGCTGCCGCCGCCACAGGCCGTGACCAAGCCCGCGGGGACGCAGCAGGACGCCAACGGCGACGCTGCTGCTGCGGGGCAGAGTGCTGGTGCGGCGAAGAACCTCAGCGCCTACGCGCCTGCCGAGGGCGACCCCGCTACCGCGCCCGAGTTTAGCGCCGGCGAGCAGCAGGCTAGCAAGGAGGAGCTGTTTGCGCGGCTGGACGGGCTCGTCAAGGCCGCCCCCGTCATGCTGTTCATGAAGGGCACGCCCAGCGCGCCCCAATGCGGCTTCTCGCGGCAGACGGTCAGCATGCTGCGCGAGAAGGGCATCCGCTACGGCTTCTTCAACATCCTCGCCGACGACGAGGTCCGCCAGGGCCTCAAGGAGTTTGCCGACTGGCCGACGTTCCCGCAGCTGTGGGCCGGCGGCGAGCTCGTGGGCGGCCTCGACATCGTAAGTCCTCCTGGACGCTGCGTAGTGACGCCAGCAGTAAAGTATAAAGATCACCTGGCTAACAAAACTACAACCCCCTAGGTCCGCGAGGAGTTCGAAAACGACCCCGACTTCCTCAAAGACTACGCCGTGAGCGCCGCGCGCAACTCGGGCGGCCCCGCCTCTGCAGACCAGCAGGCCGCGCCCTCATAAACTGCCACGGCTTTTAACCCACTACCACAGTCGGACAACAACAACGGGGAGACATTATTAAGCCGGAATGGTGGATTGGGCCGAAAATACCGCAAAGGTCGAAAGAAAGAAAGAGAGAGAGAGAGAGAGCGAGCGAGAGAGCGAGAGCGAGAAAGGGGCAATAACGACGTTTATGATGCCACACAGCAGAGTATCTAATAGCACCGCGGTTGTAGGCGCATTACGGTGGAGCGGGGGGCCGTTGAGTGTGTAGTGAGCAATGCCAACACCGCACCAAAAAAAACTCGGGGCTTCTTTTCTGTGCTTGGGCGGAGACAACGAGCCCAATATGTACGCCGCAGAAGCCCAAATTTGAGACTCCGACGGAACTCCATCCCAGTGCGCCTGCGCCTGTGCTGCTCCTGTGCAGCGTGATTGGGCGATACTACATACATAGCAGACACCGAAGTCGTGGCAGAGTGAGATGCCGAGGCACTGTTGACCGCGGTGTTGTTTTGTGGACGCGTGCGTGTGTATGTAGGTAGGATTATGCTGCTCCTGTGCCGTCTGTACTACTGTACTTAAGAGGAAAACTATCCCGCATCAACCTCCACCATGCACCACGCACCTATCTAGGTACCTTACCTGCCCACCCAACCGCTCGAGGCCTCTGGACCCACCAGCTCACGCCCTGCTACCTACCCGTCTCCCTCTCTTCTCCCCCTTTTCCTGTCCTACACCAAAGTCCTCGCACGCACACGCACACGCACGCCCCCATCCTCGTCTAGGCACTGTAGCGTACGTTGTACGCACGCACTCAGTCGCCAGCAAGCCTGGCCGCGGCGCCCTTGGCTGCCTGCACGGCCGCGTGCACCGCCCCGCCCTTGGCCGCCGCAAGCGCCTCGCCGAAGAAGTGCGGGATGGCGAGGACGTCGGTCGCGATTGAGATCTGGGTGGGCGCAACAATGTCAGCATCAGCAGCAGCAGCAGCAGCAGCATCCCAAACCCTCCCCCCCACACCCAATCCTACTCTACCCAACACCTTCCCCCTCCCTTAACCAGCAGCACAGCCTCACCACGTAAAACAAGGACAGAGGGGGGGAGCAGACTCACCATGCCAAACCCACGATCCGCATACTCGCGCGCCTGCGCCCCAGACGTGCAATAGAAGCCCGCGCGCTTGCCGTGCGCGTCGCACGCGCCGCGGATGCGCTCGATGGCGTCGGCTAAGGGGGGTGCGAACGTCCCGTCGAGCACCGGGTGCCCGAGCGCGTTGCCTAGGTCGTAGGGGCCGATGAGGAGGACGTCGACGCCGGGGAGGGCGGCTATGGCATCGACCTTGAGGGGTTAGTGGTGGTGATGGGGTTTGGGATCTGTGGTCGAGGTGGGGGGCAAAGAGATGGTAGGGGACTTTAGGTAAGGCAGACATTTTCAAGCGCCTCCCTCGTCTCAATCTGCACAACAGTAACCAGCGCCTCGTTCGCCTCCTGCAGGTACTGGCCCAGACTGGCGATGCCAAACGCGGGCGGCGGGAACGGCGAGCCGAACCCACGCGTCCCTTGGGGTGGGAACTTGCACGCTGCGACGAGGCGGCGCGCGTCGTCGGGGGTGTGGATGAGTGGGACGACGACGCCGTGCGCGCCCGCGTCGAGCGCCCGCTTGACGAGATAGGCTTCGTTGGCGGCGATGCGCACGAGGGGGCTGACGCCCGTGGCGGCGATGGCGGCGACGGCTTCGTGCATTTGCCCGTCGTCGATGTTGCCGTGCTCCGTGTCGACGCAGATCCAGTCGACGTTGCTGCGCGCGATGGCCCGCGAGTGGTTGGTCCCCGGCAGCATTTGCCAGGCGCCGAAGGTAGGGTTGCGGGTTTTGAGGGCGCGTTGGAAGCGGTTCGCGGCTTGCATGGTTGTGGTTGCGTTGGTTGAGACGTTTGAAGGGAAGAAAGAAGAGAGAGATTGAGGTAGGTATTGGAGAGAAGACTGAGGACGCGTCGAAACAAGACTTGTGGACGTTGACGTAGGCTGTACACATATAGGTACATACATACGTACATGGCAGGCATGTAACCCCGCATGTCAGGTCCCCCGCGGCTCATCCCCGCGCATTAACCCTCTCAGGCCGGGGAATCCTTTTCCGCCTCGTCCATCAGCGCGCGCACCTGCTCTTCCTTGAAGCGGTGCATGAGCTTGCGCGCGGCCGTCGTCGTCTCGAGCCCGTCGGTTGCAGGGCGCCGCTCGACGTGGATCTAAGGGTTATGTACAATGCATGAGCTTACACATAGCCACTACTACTGCTGGCAAAAGACGACGTACCACGGGCGTGTCAAACTCGTAGACGTCCTTCCACTTTTGCTGGCCCGGCGCCATGACGTTGATCTCGGTGTACTCAAACGGCCGCTTGTCCCAGACGTTGGAGAGGACGGCGCGCGCGTTGTCGCACAGGGCGCAGTTGTCGCGCATGAAGTAGGTGATGCGGCAGACGCGCTGCAGCAGGCGCGCCGAGGGGAGGAACATTTTTGCTCTATAGTAGGTAGATAGAGGTGTTGCAGACGCGGGCGGTCAGAATTCAGCCCTAGCTGCTGCACGCTCGCCCGCCTTTTCCTTCTCGAAGATTCGCGTCATCCCGCCCGTGGCTGTCGCGCTACTCGCGGCTCCGCGCGCTGCCACCGCCCACGACCCCCCAGCCAGCCAGCCAGCGCGGGACAAAAGTCTCGCTCTTGCACTATTACCTCCTCCTCCTCCTTTCCCTTTCCAATTGCAACAATGGCCAAAAAGTGCGTGCACAAAGGCTGCGGCCAGAACTACGACGACGACACCGAGCCCTGCGTCTACCACCCGGGCCCGCCAGAGTTCCACGAGGGGCAGAAAGGTACGCACATCAGTTACATCACATCACATCCTCCTCGTCCCCACCGCCGTCACAAGTCGAGCGTGAGACAGACAGAGAGAGAGCAGCCTAACTGACACCTCCCCCACCACCCAGGTTGGAAATGCTGCAAGCCCCGCGTCCTGACCTTCGACGAATTCCTCGCCATCCCGCCCTGCACAACAGGCACGCACTCCGACGTAGACGACACACCCGCGGCGACGCCCAAAGCCGCGGAGCCGGCACCCGAGCCAGCAGCAACAGAGGCGCTGTCGGCGGCCACAGCGCCGCGACTGCCACAAGCGCAGGCCAGCGGCGCACCGACAGCGGCGGCCAAGTCGCCCGCGCCGCCCGAGGACGAGTCCGACGACGAGACGCTGCCCATCGCGGCGGGGCAGGCGTGCCGGCGGCGCGGCTGCTCGGCCACGTACGCCGCCGGCGCCGCCCGTGACGCCGAGCTCTGCGTGCACCACCCCGGCGTGGCCATCTTCCACGAGGGCAGCAAGGGCTGGAGCTGCTGCAAGCGGCGCGTGCTCGAGTTCGACCAGTTCATGAAGATCGAGGGCTGCGCGACCAAGACCCGGCACTTGTTTGTGGGGAAGAAGAAGGAGGAGGGCCAGGAGGACGTCGTCGATACCGTGAGGTGAGTGTGTGCCTACCTAGTCGTGAGTGAGTGCGGCGCCGTGGCGCGCTGCTGGCCTTACCTGCTTATGTGGGCCCCTGCTGCCTTCCCCGCGGAGTCGTGTGGAGTCCACTGTGCGAAAGGACATCATGGTGCCATCCCCGCGATTGCGGGGCCCCAGCCCCAGCCCTCTCTCCGCAGACCTCTCTCTCCAACCCAAACCCAGCACCCACCCCCCAACAACGAGCAAAGCGCACCTAACCACAGCCTTAGACACGACTTCTACCAAACCCCCACCAGCGTAATCGCGTCGCTGTTCCTCAAAAAAATCGACAAAGACACCAGCACCATCGCCTTCAGCACGCCCACCAGCATCACCCTCGACCTGCGCACCGCAGACCACAAGCGCTACCAGGCCGAGCTGCCGCTGTTCGCGCCCATCGACCCCGAAAAATCTGCGTACAAGGTCCTCGGCACCAAGCTCGAGCTTACGCTGGTCAAGGCGGATGGCGCGTCCTGGCCGGTGCTGCGCGTTGATGATCCGCGCACGGGCGAGATTATCCAGACGGGGAGGGCGGGGAGGGTCGGCTAGGGAAGGGTGGACTAGGTGTTGGGTTTGTGGGTGCGAGGGGTTGTGCGAGGAGGGTGGGGGGTACATAGGGAGCGCGCGAGCGAGCGGGCGATGATTGGCTTGGCTTGGCTTGGTTGCGGCGACGAGCGCGCTTTGAGCGGCGTTTTGGGTGCGGGTAGACCGTGTTGGAGATTGACTGGCTACTTAGGCGCTGGTCCGGAGATGTTGGTTACAGATACAGGACAGGATGGATAGCAGCGAGTGGTACGAGACGAGACGGTACGAGACGAGACGAGATGAGAGAGACGAGAGAGACGAGGCTTACGACGGACTGACCGACTGGATGGGCGGGCTCACTGCAGCAGCAGCAGCAGCAGCAGCAGCAGCAGAAGCAGGGCCACGCCCTGCCATGCCCTGAGGACGAGACACGTAAAACACATGACTGGATTTGATTTGCTTTGGTTTGCTATCAATCATCTTATTTGTATAGATCTCTCTCTCTCTCTCTCTTCGTGCTTTAGGAAGTGGCTGTAGATGCGGCATCCAATTGCCCCCCAACTTTATTCCCCCCTCACTCACTAGGTATACCTACCACCCAACCACCGACCCCCCAGTCCCGCGAACCCAATTCTTACCGGGGCATGGCCTGAACTCTATATGTATGGACCGCACACGCATGACTAGTCGGTTAGTAGCGCCTCCTGACCAACCATCCACCCAACCACCTACCTACCTACCTACTTTCCGTGCCGGCGGGGCGGGCATACTCCTAGGCACTATAGGAGAGCGAGGAAAGCCTCCTAGCATCCTACGCCACCACTCCACACTGCATTCAGTCGTCCTCGTCCTCATCATCGCTCCCGAAAACCGCCTTGAACAGATCAGCGCCCGCCTTCTGCGTCTCCAGCGCCTCGTTGCGCTCCACATCGACGACGGCACGCGCGCCCACGCGCTCAGCCCCGGCCCCAGGCCCAGCCCCACCCTCACCCGCAGACGCAGACGCAACAGTAGTGGCACCGGCACCACCACCACCACCACCACCACTACCGTAACTCCCCCGCAGCTGCCCCTCCCGCATCATCTCCTCCATCGCCGCCTTCTTCACCACCTCCAGATCCGGCGGCGTAGGCGCATCCGCCCCCCCAGCAGCACTACTGCGCGCCTCGTCGGGCCCGGGCCGCACATGCGCCGGCACAGGCACATTAAAGCGCTTGCACAGCAGCCTCGCCGGGAAGAAGGGAGCGCGCGAGCGCGTCAGCGGGCCGAACATGCCCAGAGCCGCGGCCTCCTCGGCAGGGGACTTTGGTTTCGGCGGCGCGGGCGTGGTGAGCGTGGCAGAGGCGGTGGTGGTGGGCGTGCTCTCGCCGGAACTAGCCGCGGGGTGCTGTGTTGACGCCGTCGTGAACCGCGACGCCATCATCCCCGTCACCGGCTTGAACACCTGCGCCGCGTGCGCAAACTCGCGCAGCTCCTGCGCCCACTCGGCGACGCGCATGCCGGGCGGCCGCTCCGGCAGGGCAGGGTCCTCGCGCGCCCCCGCCCGCAGCTCCAGGAAGCCGCGGTAGCGCGCCCGCTTGCCCGCGTCGTCGGCGTACGGCATCCAGCCCGAGGAGCCGCGGCGCAGCGCTTGCTCCGCCGTCGTGGCGTCCAGCGCTGGCACCATGTTCCACAGGTCTTGGTGGCGCGCGGCGTCGGTTTTGCGGAAGCCCTCCGGCGCGGCTTCGCCGAGCGCTTGGGGGAGGTTGGCGTTGCCTGTGGAGGCGACGAGGCGGGCGCGTGCGGCTGGGCTGACGAAGTCGAAGACGGATTTGCCGGGCAGGGCGGCCTCGCCGAGGAGGGCGGCGCGCGCCTTGGCGTCGAGCGTCGAGGCTTTGGCTGCGTCCGAGGTCGATTGGTAGGACGCTGCGGTTGGGGAAGTGACTGAGGCCGCCTTCTTGGAGCTGCTCCATCCTTCGGGGATGGAGGGCGGTGCCCACTTGGCGCCGTCGGAGATGCTCAGCGCCTGGGTTGCGAGGATAAAGCCGTCGAGTGGGAACCGGCCGTCGTGGCATTTGCGAAAGCCAGCTTCGGGTTTTCGCGCTTTCTTTGAGATGAACACGGGTTTTGCCCCCAGAAGGGGATTTGCAGAGCCCAAGGAGGGCTTGGTGGTTCCAACCTTCTTCTTTGTCTTTTTGTCGCCGCCAATAACCCGATTATAGGAGATCTTGGGGCCCATTTCATAGGGATCTTCCTCGTCAGAGCCCGTGTCATTCAACACGCCCACGCCGAAACCGCCTCGTTTCGCTGGCTTCGCCTTTGGCTTTCGCGGTGCGCCCAAGGAGCCGAAATCTCTTTCTCCATTGCTTTCTTCCTCCTCGGCGGCTTTGTCTGCTTTCGTGGGCTCTGACAGGCGGGCCTCGCCCTCGTATCCCAGACCCTTGTGGTCATTCTTGCGCCGAAACGTAATCATCTTGGAATTGTCAGGCGCGAAGAGGTGCATTTGTTGGCCTGCATCCTGGCCTGCTTCTTCGCCTGGGTCCAGTCGCGCTTTCCGCCGTATCCTCGGCCCTACGCCTTGGCCAGGTTTCCAGCCCATTTTCTGGAGAAGCTTCACGCCCATTGTCTCGCCAGTGGTCTTTATCATGCCCATAAGCACATTCTGGAGGGCAGCGGCCTCGCCAGCCGTGCCGAAGCCGGAGAAGGCGCCGGCGGTTTGTATCTTTTCGGCCTCGCGGGCGTCTGCGAGGTCCTCGTCGTCCATGTAGTCCTCGGGGCGGGCTTGAGCGGCATTATTTTGGTCCTTGTGGCGATTGGCGCGCGAGGACACAAAGGTCGAGGGCGTCCATCCTTCTTTGGAGCCGACCGTGTTGAAGTAGCTGCGCGGGGCTTTAGTTTCAGTAGACGGTTGCTTTGCAAAATGAAGACCTGATAGCTTATAGTCTCACCCTGCACTGAAGCCGCCGGTGAAGGCGCCGTGCAGACGCTTTCGGCCGCGGTCGTCAGTGACGTCCTGCTTCCAGACGGGCACGTAGGAGCCGTCGTCGCGGGCGTTGTCGTCGAGAGGAGGCAGCGGGGTGCCGAAAAGGGCATAGGGCGCGTGCAGGTCGGCCTCGAAGGCGGCGCGCGAGCGCTTGTGGGCCATGATGGGTGTGGACGTGTGGGTTGTTCGTCGAATAGTGGAAGCTGACACAACACGGCTACAAACCCACGGCGTTTTCGGGCGCCGGGCTGCGATGCCATCATTCTGTCGGCGTGCTCAGACCCTGTCAGTCTAGCCAGCCAACAAGTCGACGCCAACAACCTCCTAAACCCAAAACCTGCCGGCTCCCATCATATCTGCCTTTTCGCTCTCTCTGCTGCCATTTTCGGGGGCCAAGCGGGTGCGAGCTCTCATTTCACAGCCACGCTCTCACCAGAGCACACAACCACCGCCGCCGTTGCCCAAACGACGTGCGCGCTGCTCACCTAGCTTCCCCCCCAAATCTACTGGGGCCTCCAAGTCGCGCCCGCAGGCCCATGCGAAAGAGGACGACCGCCTACACCCTCCGACTCCCATCGCTCTCGCCTATCCTACCGGTGCCGTGCGTCAGTGGGCGCCTAATTACGGATACGCTCAGCCAGGACTGCCGTGCCGATCTGGCCCAGGCACCGTATTCAACCCTGCTTAACGCCTCAGCTTCCTACGACCGTCCTGCACCAAGTCCCTGAGTCCCAGCAACATGTCTGCGCCTGCCTCGGCCTCGCCCGCCGTCGTCCACAACGCGTCGTCCTCCAGCTCCCGGCCGCCGCATCGCTCCCAGTCGGTCAGGTCGTCAGCTGCCCCTCCTCCCTCGCCGCATCGCTCTCACTCGCAATCCCAACATGCGCGCTCCGCCTCCAGCCAGCAGGCGCATTTGACAACCGTAGCCAAGAGAGACTTCGAGCAGACCAACGTCGCCCGGCCCTCGTCCTCGCGCCGCAGCGAATCGCGCGAGCGCAGCACCCAGCAGCCGCCGGCCGCGTCACGCGCTGAGCCTAGTCGGACCAGCCGAGAGACGTCTCGGACTAGACACTCGCGCTATGTCTCCGACGCTGGCTCGGCGACAGCAAGCAGCGCACCTACCAACCCGCCGACTGGGGAAAGCACTCCCCGCCATGCGCCTACCACCAACAACACGTCCGGCCGCCGGAGGACTACCATAGGAGCTACAACCGGGCAGTGGTCTTTGGGGAAGACAATCGGTGCTGGTAGCATGGGCAAGGTCAAGTTGGCCAAGAATATCGAGACGAACGAACAGGTACGCGTATTGCCAAGCATTGCAAAAAAAGTCCGAGCTAGCTGACGTGGTGATTGCCTTAGTGTGCTGTCAAGATAGTGCCTAGACAGTCGACCGATGAGCACCGCAACCAAGCGGATCGTGAGAGGGCAGATCACTCCAAGGAGATCCGGACGGCCAGGGAGGCCGCCATTGTTACTCTGGTCAACCACCCTTACATTTGTGGCATGCGCGATGTTGTTCGGACGCATTATCACTGGTACATGCTCTTCGAGTACGTCAATGGTGGGCAGATGCTTGACTACATCATCTCCCATGGCCGCTTGAAGGAAAAGCAGGCGCGCAAGTTTGGCCGCCAGATTGCCAGCGCTCTCGACTACTGTCATCGCAACAGCATCGTCCACAGAGACCTCAAGATTGAAAACATCTTGATCAGCAAGACCGGTGACATTAAGATCATTGACTTTGGTCTCAGTAACCTGTTTTCCCCGCGGAGCACGCTCAAGACGTTCTGCGGTAGTTTGTATTTTGCTGCTCCCGAACTTCTGCAGGCTAAGCAGTACACCGGGCCTGAGGTTGATGTGTGGAGTTTTGGTATTGTTCTCTACGTTCTGGTCTGTGGTAAAGTCCCGTTCGACGATCAGAGCATGCCGCAGCTGCATGCCAAGATCAAAAAGGGGCATGTCGATTATCCACCATGGCTTACTGCAGGTACGTGTAATTCCCTCTGAACAATTGAACAAGTGACTAACAGTCCAAACAGAGTGCAAGAACCTCATTTCCAGGATGCTGGTCACCGACCCTCGGCAGCGTGCCAGTCTTGCCGAGATCATGGTCCATCCGTGGATTACCAAGGGCTTCAATGGCCCACCGGAGAACTTCCTTCCTCACAGAGAACCTCTTCAACTTCCATTGGATCCCCAGATCATCGAGAAAATGACTGGGTTTGACTTTGGTCCTCCGGAATACATCACTTCCCAGCTCACCAAGACCATCCAGTCTGAAGAGTACCAGAGTGCTGTTCGTGCTGCGGCGCAGAGGATGCAGAACCCGACACCGGAAGCCGAACGGAAGCGCGGAGTGTTTGACTTTTACAAGCGCCGTAACTCGATGAGCAGAGACACGCTCACCAACCCGTCGTCCGAGACCTTGCCGCTCGGCTCTGACCCTGTCAATGCTTTCAATCCTTTAGTCTCAGTGTATTACTTGGTTCGGGAGAAGCAGGAGCGCGAACGTGCTGAAGCGAACCCAGGTGCTCTCAGTATGCCCAAGGTGCCTGGCGAGAAGCCCTTCAAGATCCCAGACCTCCCGGCACCTGAGGCGGCCTACACCAACAGCAACTCCTACGAGATGGCTGGAGAGAGGCCGACTGGCGGTCGTTCCAGACCTAGGGCTCGGACGCATGGCGAGGAAGAGGTCACTGAGGGCTTGCAGAAGATGAACCTGAACCCTCCGCCTCCACCTCCGCCAGCTGTCATGACCCCGCCAAATGAGCCAGCTCCGACAAAGAAAGAAAGCACCACTACGGGTCTACTTCGTCGGTTCAGCACGCGGAAGCATGCCAAGTCTACAGGACGTGACAGGTCCAACCCTCCTCCTGCCATCAACGTGCCGCAAGGCGAAGAGAAGGAAAGCTCCGGCTTCCCTCTGCGAAGCTTCAGTATGCGCAGACCTAGGGACAGAAGCGCCCATTCGCCTTCGCATGCGCCGCCTACCGACCATCCCGATATGCTTACTCCATCAACTGCTGGTCTCAGTACTACTCAAAAGCTAAAGGGGCTCGGAAGGTCGACAAGCGTCAACTCTGCTGAACTCCGCCGACGGATGATGAAGAGAGGAGCATCTTCGGATGGAGCCCAGGAGCCACTTCCTCCGCCGACGAGTGGATCGGACAAGTCCAGTGTTGGCGGCCATCGCCCTGTTCCTAGAGATGTCAATACCTCTGAAGAATTTGCGCTGGCTAGCGGTGCTCGTAGTGCTCCTGCCTCCCGGACGAAGTCTCTTGGTCACGCGCGTAGGGAAAGCATGCAGATACGCCGCGCACGCCGCGAGCATGGAAGAGAGCAAAACGTCCCAGAAGAGACGGACCAGGAGGTTGCTGAAGCCGAGGCCAACGAGTCCGCTGAAGAGGCTCGGAGCCCCGAGACCATCAAGCCGGTCTACCTGAAGGGCTTGTTCAGTGTCTCCACTACTAGCAGCAAGCCTCTGTCGGTGATCCGCACGGATATCATACGTGTTCTCAAGCAACTGGGCGTGGAGTACTGGGAGAGTCGAAGCGGATTCAGCTGCCGTCATTCTCCTAGCATTGACCTCAACCAAGCCAACGACAATCCGTCCTCGCAATTGAGCCCTAACCAGGCTGCGTCTGGCGGGTCATCACACAAGCGGAGAATCAGCTTTGGAGGCCTGATGGGGGCTGAGCGTGAGCGCGACGAGGTCCGAGACAACGCACAAAGGACTCCTCAGACGCCTAGATCTGCTCGGCGCAACCGTCGCGCGGATCATAGTTACACGAACTCGGAGGATTCGGACGAGAGCGATGGCCGCGATGACCCGAGGTCAGGCCGCGCCAGGGCTGCTGGAGAGACGACGACGCATGTCCAGAGCGACCTTGGAGGCAGCATGGTCCTCAAGTTCGAGATTTACATTGTCAAGGTGCCGTTGCTGTCGCTGCACGGTATCCAATTCAAGAAGGTGGATGGTGGCACCTGGCAGTACAAGAGCCTGGCGCAGAAGATTCTGGACGAGCTGCGCCTGTAGAGAGATGCATGAGTTCGAGAGGCTGTGCCTGGACTCTTTCCTCACGCGCCACCAGACGCGGCCGGCGGGATGCTAGCCTCACGAATCTCCTTTGTCCATTGTTGCGGTAGTTTTTCCGAGTTGGGGCTTTCAAAACGAGCGGTGCCCGGCGGCATCGACATCGACTTCTTTTTTTAATGGGTGGAATTTGGTAGCTGTTCATTTTCTTTTCTTGGCCCGTGGCTTTGCTGAAGCGGTAGGGTAAAGGGTGCCTTAGTAGTTTTGCGCGTATACTTTTCGTGACGGACCGTCATTAGCGAGCGTGGAGTCTTCCCATTTGGCAACGAAGGTACTGGCTAGACGCGATGAAATGGAGAACAGGTGCTTTTCCCCGAGGACTCTATACCAACGTGAGACGCGTTCTAGGCCGCGCCGAGGTTAGCGCACGGCGACATGTATGCACGTGACCGGTGGCGCAGGAAGCGGGCTGTGACAACTCTCAGATCCTGGAGTTGGAGCTTCGAGTAGCACAGTCCCGCACGCACTTCACCCGCAGACCGCAGGACCGTCGACAATCAACACCCAACACCTGCGTCGCAAAACCAACCCCCGCCCCTCAGCGTACCCTCGACATCATTCATCATGCTGGGACAGCACGTCTACTCCCACCAGTATCACCAATCACCCGCTGATTGGCCTCACACCCACCATGCCGCCCAGCAGCATGCCCAGGCCCAGGCCGCTGCCGCCGCCGCCGCCGCCGCCCAGCAGCAGCACTACAACAGAATCGCCGCGAACAGCAATGCAAACGTAGCCGGCATGGCCGGCATGGGGGCTTCCGCCCACGACCCTACCCTTGCCGTGGCCGACCAAGGCGTCAGTGAGGAGAACCGCCGCGTGTTGGACTGGATCGCGCAGCTTATGCGCCCGGATACGAGGGAGACGGCCCTGCTGGAATTGAGCAAGAAGCGCGAACAGGTGCCCGAGCTCGCTCTGATTCTCTGGCATTCCTTTGGTGCGTGAATGCGTCGTCGAGTCCCCCGCGGGGCAAGTCTGGCTGACAACTGACACGGCGTTAGGCGTCATGAGCTCCCTGCTACAGGAGATCATCTCCGTCTATCCGCTGCTCAACCCATCGCAGCTCACTGCCGCCGCTTCGAACCGCGTCTGCAATGCGCTCGCCCTGCTGCAGTGCGTCGCGTCGCACACCGAGACTCGCGGTCTCTTCCTGAGCGGTACGCTGGATCCACAGTCGCTAGCGAATGCGCATCGCTGACAGCATTGCAGCCCACATCCCTCTATTCCTCTACCCCTTCCTGAACACAACCTCAAAGTCTCGTCCCTTCGAATACTTGCGGTTGACGTCGCTTGGTGTCATTGGTGCGCTGGTCAAGAACGACTCCTCGGATGTCATCAACTTCCTGTTGACCACGGAGATTATTCCGCTCTGCTTGCGCATAATGGAGACTGGTTCTGAGCTCAGCAAGACGGTCGCCATCTTCATTGTTCAAAAGATTCTCCTCGACGACCTCGGGCTTGCATACATATGCCAGACCTACGAGCGCTTCTACGCCGTCGGAACTGTCCTCTCGAATATGGTCAACCAGCTCGTCGAGCAACAGACGGTTCGCCTGCTGAAGCACGTCGTCCGCTGTTTCCTCCGGTAATATGTTACCTGCCTATACTGTAAATCTCGAGAGCTAATTGGTTGTGACCTTCAGATTGAGCGACAATGCTCGTGCCCGCGAGGCCCTCCGCCAGTGTCTCCCTGAGCCGCTGCGTGACGCTACCTTTTCGTCCGTTCTGCGCGACGACGCCGCCACAAAGCGCTGCCTCGCACAGCTCCTCATCAACCTGTCCGACAACGTCGTCGACACCAACAACCCCGGTTTGTTGCATTGAGGAGCCCCAGCGGCCCGTTACCACCCTCCATTCCAGTAATTAGTTGATTTTTCACTTTTCAGACACGAACCGTCTTGTTGGAGGCGGCGACCGGGAGCTTTCTTTTCTGAAGAAAGAGCTTTCGGACCTCTTGACCGCCTCCAACAGCCCCACACCGTCTCCCAACGAAACCTAAGGACGGCGTTCTTGGCATCGGATCTCCTTTATGACTTGCATACGGTGTTGTCGTCTGGAGAATATGCGACACGAACGATATTTTGACAGGGAGGCAGCAGATCTTCTTGGCCAGCAATCTTCCCTTTGTTCGGGTTTGACGAAGAACGAGGAGACGTTTTCCTTGCCGTTATCTCCACTGCGTTTCAGTTCCTCTCTGCGCAGGGCTCTCGGACTTGCTCCCCTACGGTACCCACACCATTCTCTCTACTTTGCGGAGGAGGGGGAGAGGGGGCGTTTATTCTGCTCTGGAAAACACGACAACACAAAAGAAAAAAAGCACGGACGGACGGATCATCAAACGGCGCTCGGGGCGGCGGCGCCATGTACATTATGAGCACAGGGCGGTGGGGCATCACATATAGCATCAGGAAGGAGTTTCTGCGTTTTTTTTTTTTTTTTTTTTCTCTTCTTTTTCTGGTTCTCTTCAAAAAATCTTCCACTCACGGCAAGCGGTTGGGCGGGCGTATAACGGTAGCACCTAGGCAGGCGGGCAGGCAGGCAGGCAGGCATGGGGGAGGGAGGCACTCGGGCTTTTCGCGGGCCATAGCACGCCTGCTGCCCCGTCATTTTTTACTTCTGCGCGTTTGAAGATACCTATACCTATACCTTACTCACACCTAACACCTCCAAATGTATGGATGGATGGATGGATGGACGGGACAGACGGGACAGACGGGACAGAGCGGATGGGAGTACTCCTAGGGGCATGGACATGGCGTGGCGTAGCGTGGCGTAGCATGGCTGCTCTTCCTCTTCATTCTTCATTCTCTCTCCACACATCTACACCCCCATCCCCCTCCCCATCACCCATTTCCTTTTCGATTGATTGATTGACCGAGAAAGAGAAAGCGCGCTTATTCTGTTTTGTTCTTTGCTTTTTCTATCAAGCCGCCGCAAGCGACACAGGCTTTTTCTTTTCTTTTCATCTCCCTCCCCCCGGTTTCCTAACTATTTATCTATCTACCCAACCCAACCTGCTGCCTTATTTTGCCTTTCTTTGATTTTGCGTTTTCTTTTTGCTTTTTCACTGCTTTTTCTTGCTGCTTTTCCCTTTTTATGCTCCTGCACTTTTTTTCTTGCTCGTGCTTCTATCCTAGTTATTTCCCCTTCATTAGACTATACCCCGGGTTAGTTCAGTCGGTCGGTCGCTGCTTGTCGTGTGTGGGGGGCTGGCAACTTCCCGCTTTTAAACTGCTGCTGCTTGCTGCTACTTGCTGTTGCTGTTGTTGCGTAAACGATACCGCGCTCTCCCCCCCCGCTCCCCTTTGCCTTTTTGGGGGGGTGTGGATTGTGTGTGGACTGTGTGCGGATTGTGTGCTGATGATGTTGTTGTTGCTGTTGTCGTCGTGGGTACCGTACCTATGGTTATTGCTGCTGCTGCTGTTGGTGACGCCGCTGCTACTACTGCCACTGCTACGGTATAAGGTAAGACGCTGAAACCAGTGTAGTGTGTCTTCATTTTCTTCCGCGTCGGGAAGGAGGCGACGGGGCGGGGCGCGCGCTTCACGTCCGTCGGGCGTCTCTGTCTGTAGGTAGGTACAGTATGTTCGAGAGTGAGTTCGTCCGTTTTGCGGAGTCCCAGAACCATCATCCTTCATGCTTGATTGGATTGATTGGATTGCGTCTTTCTTCGGCATCGTGGCGGCGGGTGGTTGTTGTTGTTGGTTGTGTTACTGCTGTTACTGTTGCTGCTGCCGCTACGCTGCCATCATCATTGCAGGTCCGTCGTGTACTACATAAGTAATCTTAGATGAAGTGGTGGAAGTTGACAAATGTCGCATTTCATTTCACATACATGCACGCACAAAAAGCAAACAGTCGATTCCCTAGGTGGGCGTGTGGCTGTAGAGCATATGTAGGTAGGTTAGGTGCTGTGTATTATACGATCTGTAAGCAACCCCGGCGACTTTTTTGCCCCCTGCACCCGCCCCCCATCAGCTTGAAGCCACCGATATCTATGTCACATGAACGCCAGCGAATTCGATCGGACTCCGAAGCCACCACAATGCATGTACCCGTCCTCCTTTGAAGCTACAAATTTTCGCCACCCGGTTATACCCAGTAGCCAGTCCCATCCGTCCGTCAACACCAGACTTCCGCAGCTCTCACCTAATACTCGAAGTCGTCGTCGGCGCTAGGCCCCTTGTTCTTGCTGACAGACTCCTGCTTACGATACATCTCAGCGACCTGGCGGGCGCCAGTAGCCTCGTCGGGCTTCTTGTCCTCGCGCTGCTGGATGAAACGGGGGAAGCGCAGACTGATGCCCTTGCCGAGCCCGAGCGTGTCCATGGCCGCCATGTAGCGCGGGCTGAGCGTCAGGTCCGCCGTCTTGACCTCCCACACAAAGCGCGGCTCGAACCACACGTCGGGCTGGTCCTTGTTGCCCTGGCTGTGCGCGTAAAATGGCTTCGGGCGCTCGATGATGTGCGGGCTCAGTTGCGCGTGCAGCGAGGCTAGCATCTCGTCGCTGAAGCCTGTGCCGATGTTGCAGATCGTCTCGTATGTTTCTGTGGCTGCGTTGTAGCATGCCAGCGTGAAGGCGCCGTAGACCGATGTGCGCTTGCCTTTGCCGAAGTAGGCGCCCAGCACCACCAGGTCCAAACTGTCTCCTACGCCCGACAGGTAGTCTTTCTTTACCTTGAGCCAGTTCTGCGATCGCTTCGACGGCTCGTACGACGATTCCGGACCGTCAAGCATTTTGACCATCAGACCTTCGCACGAGGCTTTAACGGACTCGTCGAGCAGGACTTGGATCGCGTCGAGGTCGTTGGCGTCGCCGTATGTGGCAAAGGCAAATTCGCCTTCGACCGGCTGGAAGGATTCGTGCAAGAGTTCACGACGCTCGCGGAAGGATTTGTTGACAAGAGGCTGAATGCTATGTTAGATGGAGTCTGTCATGAGAGACGAGAGAAGATGTGGCTTACCTCGCCGTTGAGGAACAGGAGATCGAAGGCGAAGACGCAGACCTTGATCTTGACATCTTCCACCTTCACGTCCTTCCTCTTCCGTGTCATAAGCGTCTGGAATGGCAGAACCCTCTTCTCATCTACGTCCCACCCCACAGTTTCGCAGTCCAGAACAAAGCTTTTCGTGCCTTCTTTGACCCAGGTGGGAAGTTTCGCAAGGATATCAGGGTACTTCTTGGATAGATCCTCCGAGTTTCGCGAAAAGATGTTGGAAATGCCTCTCTCAGTCTTGCCTGCCGACGGCGCAGCAGTCTTGAAATCTTGCTCGGCGTCGTGTGCAACAAAATGTATCTGCGCACGTTCGCCGTCATATTTGTACTCGCATGTAAAGTTCTTGCCTTCAAAACGGTCCAACACCTCAGTGATGGACTTGGTCGGCTTGGCAAGCATAGGCTTGAGTGGTACACCGGCCTGGAGCTTGCAGTGTTCGGGCAGCTTTTCCATGCCGTGCTCGATCATGGCCGGAACAATGACTTCGTAGCTGGGAAGCTCACTAAACAAACGTTAGCGAACAATTTTCTTGAGGCGGCACAAATTGCTTACCTATAGACCGACTTCAAAGTCCTCTCTCCCTTGGCCAACTGCTCGGTGCTGGGAACCTTTTTGCCGCTAGGGTCGACTTCATGCGAGACCATAGCATGGGCAAGGGCAACAAGCACAGACCTGTCTGCTAGGCCCAATCGAAGCTTACCTTCTAGAGTTCGGACAATGAACTTGGCCTCACTAGGGCCACCTTTGTCCTTTGTAATGTCAACACCCTTGCTGCCCTTGCCAGCCAGATGTGCATCAGCAGCAGACAAGAGCTTCTTGATACCAGCGACCTTCTTGGTTTGTGTACCCTGGCCCTCAATTGTTGCAATGGTCAGGAGCCCTTCATGGACACCGCGCACAGTTAATGGCTTTGGCTTGAACATAGTAGGCTGGTTGGACCTGCTCTTAGCAGCCACAAGTCCTAGGTCACCGATTTCATTCTGGTCTGTCTTGATGACTTGTAGGCTCCTGCCAGTAGTCTCACCAATTGCTTTCATGATGATTGACTCGCCGATACCAAGCTCAATACCAGCAAAGTCCGCGGCAAGCTTGTTGACCATGAGCAACACTGTTGGGAGAAGGTCGTTGGGTGTCAACCGCAGCACCTGTCGTAGAAATTTTGAACAATGCGCCGATATTTCCAGGCGCTTGGTCGTCATTTCAATCTTTGAAAAAGTAGCGCAAAGTGCGGCGTAGGGCACAGGGTCGCCCGCCTTCCAATCCGGGTAGGCATTTTCGCCAGCATCCTTCAGTGTAGATTGGACCTTCGCCCGAGCCTTCGCAGCAACTTCAGGCTTTTCTTCCTCAGACGAGACAACCTCTTCATTGTCTGGCTCAGGCGAGGCTTTTTCGGAAGACGCTTCCGACTTCACACCATCTTCAGCAGCCGCCTTAGCTGCCGTCTCGGCTTCATCTTCGGTGGACTTCGAGGCAGTCTTTCTTTTCCGTCCAGTAGTTGCCTTCGCCGTGGCTTTTAATTTCGACGAAGGAGACGGAGCCTCTTGTTGTTCGTCTTCTACTTCCTCCTGCTTCACCTTAGATTTGGTTTTCGTAGCCGGCTTCTCAGCTTTTGTCTGAGTGGCCTTCTTCTTAGGCTCGGCTTTAGCAGAGGGTTCAGGCTTCTTGCTCGCACGCGCCTTTTTCGACTTCCGCGTCGTAGAAACTGGACCGTCATCATCTTCATCCTCCTCAATGGTCTCTTCATGAACCCTTTTCTTTGCTGCTGTGATATTTTGGTTAGTGGATTTCTAAGCCCCGATTTCACTGGAGGAATAATGACTGGAATGTCGAAGGTGCTCAAGAATCGAAATCGAGGTTTTGGAAAGACAAAAGGTTCTCATGGCAATGTGTAATGGAAAAAACCCAAGGGCGAAATTGACGTAGAAGGCATGCGAAAGGGCGGCGACTTACGTGGGCTTGCTACCTTACTATCCTCATCGTCCTCATTCACAGCGGCGGCATCTTTGTCAAATGCGCCTTCGTCTTTCATGTCCACGTCCTCATCTTGCACCTCTTCGGAATGCCCATTCTCTTGCACCTTCTTTTTCGAGGCTTCCTTCTTCAATGGCGACTTGGCAGACTCGACTTCCTCCGCTTCTTCAGACTTAGCTGCCTTGCTTTTCGCCTTGGTAGAGAAGGAAAGTTTCGACTGTTGCGGCGCACTGGGTTTTCCGAAGAACTTGCTACTTAGAGTCAGCATGGGTCTCTCAATTGAACAGGCAGCATTGCAATTGTAGGGGCGGCAGAAAGTTGCGCACCCTATCGTCTGCTGGCTTGACTTGACATACCCCAAGGTAGCTTGCTTGGGAGGCATGCTGGTGGATTGAGCACGGCTTTGGTGCTGCTGCTTCAAGATCGATTCGTACAACACTGGTGGGCGACAGCGTGGTCTCAGGGTCAGAGGGAAGCTCAAGAAACGTGGTCGAAGCAGGAGCGACTTCTGTTCATATACAAAGTGGGACAATCGCATCGCATAGGAAGTCGTGTCAGCGGGCGTGGATGCCTTGAGCACGGCCGCGTTAATTGGAACGCGTGCATGACGCGACTAGCAATGTGACGCAAATGCCAAGCCTGGTCCGAGCTTGGGAACCTCAGGCGACAGCTCTGGATTCCGAGTCATGGCTCCGGAGCTCCGTTGTCTTGCTTTCCATCGCACAAGTGCTCATTGGCGGCAGATAGTATCTTTCCCTCCTTCCACTGTACATATCATCCAAAACGGCAGGCCTATTCTGGAAGAAATCGTCCGCCGCTCCAGCGGACAACAAGACCGAGCGGCCAGCTCCCGCACAGAACGACACCATGTCAAAGGCATACGATCGTCCTTCGCTGACGCCGCAGTTCTGCTTTAACCAAACAGCATTGAGAGGTATGTCATTCAAATACACCTGCTAGAACACAATTTCACAAGACCAACTTGCTTACCAACAACCAAACCAGACTTCCTCCGTCTCTCCCGCGCCACCATTGATGATTCCATAACGCAAAACCTAAACTCTCTCCTCACGCCTGCCTCGGCAGGCTTCGATCCCTCGTCGACTTCCGAACGGCAGACCCTCCCTCCAGGCACACGCCGTCAGATTCCCGCCTCGAGCTGTCAATACTTTAAAGAGAAGGTGCTCTTCCCGTCATGGCAAATGCGCTCAGACGTCATAAACTACTGTGCTAGCGTGGCGACTTCCCCAGATCCCGATGATCCCGATGCGATACTGCGAGAGGTGGAGAGCGCCCGAGCGAGAGAGCGGATTGTGGACGAGCGATTGGATCCTTACAGTGGAAGGTATTTTCCGAGAGAGGTACGGACCGAGATGTTGGCGAACACTATGAGGAACGAACGGAGTGTGGAGAGTATTATCAGGAGTAGGACTTGGAGTCTGGTCGGAGAAAGATGTGGGGAAGAGATGGGGAAGAGCGCCGATGAGGCTTTGGATCAGTGGAGGAGAAGACAGGATGCCCGGCGAGTGTAAAAGGTAAAGCAAAACAAGAAAACTTTCGCTTCTCCGCTCAATTTGGCATGAGCCTTACCTCAGTGCTCTCTTGGATTGTAAATGAGGTATGTTGGCGTTCTACAGTACTAAAAAGTTATTAACAACAACGCATATTTAGGCACTTTTCATTGATATGGTATATTGCACTATCCGCTAGTGCTGACGTGTGATTGTTTATGGGTAAAGTCAATAAATTCTGTTGTCTGCGGCAACCATGTCGCCAATCTCCATCTCTCGGCGCGTACTGGATATAGGTTTGTAACCTCATTTCATCAATCCAGGGCTATGGAGACCGTGCGATACTCTTCGTTGTACTTGTACACTTCGTCTTACTTGCATTTCGTACGCTTCATTTATTTCGTACGCTTCATTTATTTCGTACGCTTCATTTATTTCGTACGCTTCATTTCGTACGCTTCATCCGCTTTCTCCTTCGCCTTCGTACTCATCGTAGACTTCCGCGATAGTTGACAGCTGTGGTTGCCACTTAGGCTCTTTACGGCCTTCCGCAGTGGTTGACAGAGGTTGCCAATTAGATTCCGATGAATCTTCGTACTCTTCGTCGACTTCGATTGTAGTTGGCAACGGTGGTAGAGTTTCTCCTCCGTACTTTCCGTACTCTTCGTTGACTTCCACAATAGTTGACAGCGTTGGTTGCGACCTATGTTCCAACGAAGCTAGGCTCAGGTGATCGGATGTATCCTCCTCGGTACTGGCCTCGTCGCTGGCCTCAGTGCTGGCCTCGTCGCTGACCTCAGTGCTGGTCTCGTCGCTGGCCTCGTTGCTGTAACCGGAGTTGTGTTCTGTGGTGCCCTCATGGAAGCTGTGTTCGTGGTTGACCCAGAATCGGCGAACAAACCAGAGTGGCGAGGAGTTCGATGAACCAGAGCGAATGGGGGGGCTAGGTTTTTCGGAAACGTTGTCGTTCTCCATCATCCTGAAAGGTTCGTCGTTGTCATCGTCATGACCGCCACACATGAAAGTGCGAAGGAAAGCACTATAGAAGCTCATGATGTCAAGTAGCAGCGTTGATTAGTCGATGTGTATGAGTGGGTGCATGATGCGAGTGGGTGTTTTGGCAAGGCTCTGCTGGACTTATAAGGACTTGAGTAAGACGCGTGTTAAGGTATGTTGTCTATGTTCGTGGTAATCCTTTCCTAACATACCGTGCATATTATTTATACAATGCACCTTAAGCGTTCACACACTACATTCGCCGGCCTCATAGCCGTTTTTATGGAGAATGGCTTCAATCAAGCTAACTCTTTTTAATTTGGGCGGTAGCAATTGGCGTATGATCACTTAAGCACATCGAATAGTTCCCGTGGTAACCGGCAAGTCCCCCACCCGGGTTTGAAGCAACACTGACTACTGACGAGGAATGACGTCGAAGATGAAATCAAACACGGAAGAGCAAGCGGGGAAGGGTGTGTGTTAAGATGATTGAAAGCAATTACCGTGTCAGAATTCAGGAAGGGGACAATCTAGCTGATGTCGTTTTTAGGGTGTCTCTCTCGATCGCTATCCTTTTTCCCATGTTTCTGCTCCTTCCCTTCCTCGGAGCCACTACGCAGGATTACCCATTAGTTATCGCCCTTATCTTCCCCTTCTTCATCTTGTTGAGGGCGGATACCAGCAGTAGCCGGGGATGGCATAGCACTTCCGTTTGTCGCATTCGCCACGAGGTAGTAGACCACGACCGCGTCGCAAACCACCTGGGAACGTATGTGACTAACGTAGATACCATTTTGTAGTGACCAAGTATAATTCATTCTGCTAAAGGTGCGTGGCATTTCTATTTTTACTAATGACCATTCACGATTGAGTTGCTAGTATAAAATGCTACGAGTTCCATGATTGTGTACAACACCTGGTCTGTAGAAATACAATGGTATGCTGAAAAACTCCTTGAGCTTGTTCATTGGGTTAGTTGCCGTCTAGTCGCGATATAAATCATCAACTCACAAGAGAAAAGAAGCTAAGGAGCTCAAAGTCAGTCCGGTACATTATTTCATAGGGACTAGTAATTTTTAAGTAATTAAGGAACCATTGATGGAACTAATGGTTACCAATGTAAGAAACATCTACTTCCTGTCTTTTTTTGTTAATTCTATCATTCATTCAGCACTATCGAGGCGAGCAGGCTTGCTCCTTCATCATTATGCCGCGCCGTCCCTTCGTAGGGATCATCACTTAGTTGTAACCTCCCCAGTGGTACCTCAGGGTACTACTTAAGGAGGATCACGTCATACAGTCACTGCGGAGTACTTTTGGTACATTTCAAATACATTTTCTGGGTTTTCTATCTTTTTTTTTTTTTTTTTTGTGTTCTCGTGTTTTTGTCTTGTTGTCTTGTCAATTCAAGCCCGGGGTTCGGTACAAGTGGTTAGTGTTGTGCTCAGTGTAGGTGTGATTGGGGATTCGATAAAAACCAAGACCAGGAAATGAGTGGGACGACATCCGAGCCGCAAGACTCTTGGTAACCTCTCTAGTGATACCTCAGGGTACTACTTGGAGGGACTCAAGAAGTCACTCAAACAGAGTTGGGGGTACCAGACCTCAGCTTCTCTCTCCACTCCTCCCATTGACGGACGCAGCTCTTGGCATTCATAAAGATCTTGTAGTAGACACCACTGATCAAGTTTTCGAATCGGCTAGGTCGGTACGAAGGCGACTCGATCAGCAGGATGAAGGTCGAGACATGGAGGTCGAACCGCTCACAGACCTTCTCTACGATGTCGTCAACAACTGAAACACAGTGAGTGTTGAGTCCCCTGAGGAGCTCGTTGCGCGCCTCCTGATTTTGTCCAAGGACTTCGTTATGCAGCCGAACACTCTCATCGTGAACGCGCTGGGCGATATCTTGAGCGAGTACCTCCTCCTCATAGATACCGGTGTCCTCAGCGTGTTCCTCAAGGATGTCAGCATGGTTCTCGAGGATAGCAACGAACTCCTCGCGCAGGCGGTTGGCGATTTCCTCGAACATGGCTTGTCCAGTCTCCGTGTTCAGAGCATGCTCGTCGTTCTTGGCGGACGTGTCCTCGGCCGTAGAGTTCTGAATGTTTTCAAGCTCGGCTGTAACAGACTGTGGCATGCGAGCAGCTATCTCAGGGTGCGCCCGGACGATATGAACCATCTCGGCGTTGTTCATATCGGTGATTTCCTTAGTACTGTGTTCAGCAGGTATATCACGAGAGATGTCTGAATATTCGAGGCTGAGTTCTTTCATGATTCTTTCGATATGGTTGATTGCGTTCTGGATGGGCGTGAAAGACATTTTTGCTCTGTGCTGAAGATGTTTTTCTCTGGGTGTCCGTTCAGCAGTAAGCTTCCGCCCAGGAGGCTTTATACTAGCGTTCTCTAGTCTCCTTCACACGGGTTGTTTGTGTACATCTACCAGGTTAACACGCGGCACTCACACTGTTCCGGGGCTTTACAGGCAACACAGGTATATACCGAATCAAGTTAGCAGACAATGTGTCACATATCAAAACTAAACTCGATATTCTATGTAAGCCCCTTTGTGTGAACATACTGTGCAGGCTGCTGCAGTACTGTTTACTGTTACCAACATATGTAAATTCTATCATTCGTACTTTGCCATAACCGACTCCGCCCGTCAGACACTGACGAAACAAGGAACAACAACCCAAAAAACACCACCATGGATCTAAAGGACAACTTTCCGGCCCGTCCGGGATATCTCTACCGCTTGTTCAATGTGTTCTATTCCAAGTGGGATGCCGGCGAGGCTGCTCCCAAGACGCTAAGCAATGCATTTTCAGAGAGCTGTGCTTTCTGGAGACCATACACGAATGCTGACAAAGTTTAAGGCGTACTTAATACTCCCGAGGGCTTGCACAAGAGCCCGCGTGGTATGTTCACGACGGGCTATGCTCTGGGAGAATCTTGCTCCAGAGCAGTTGGCTAGGCCGATCGATGCTGTCGACTCCAACAGCTTGACCCAGTGGAACTCGGCCTAGAGCAAGTTCTTGTCAACGAGTTGAAGTGGTGGTCTCACGCCCTTCTCGAGATCGAGGGTCCTCTCCTAGGTGTTGATGAGGACGGTACTAAATGCAATCTCTCTCCCTATGATTTTGAGCAAGACGACGTTTAGTGGAGTTCTGAATGCAACCCGCTCAGACTCCGCCTTAAATACCTTCAGCTCTGCGCGGTCGAGGTCGTCCAGCCCGATGAGCCTCTCTGCAACAGGTCTCAGGCCAAGAAGACCTAGCCCGACGAGACTAAATCAGAGAACAAAGTTTTCAACACCACCCAGATCCAGAACGTCCGCATCATTGGCAGCATTCTCTACCTCCCCCTCAACCACGGACTCGACAACCACGGCGGACCTGAGTGGACGGAGTCAGGCTACTTCCTCGCCAGCAGCATCGGCGAAGATGGTACCACTAATAGCCAGTGGTCCGTCTCGCAAACTGCTATGTGGAGCGAGGACCTCTTGGATGAACTTGGAATTCTCGAGCAGCGCTTCAAGGCGGCCAAGTCTCCTGGTATGACGAAGCTCCGCGACTGTCACAAGGATGCCATTTTGGAGTGGAACAACTCCAAGGACCTCGTCGAGCTCATTCCTATTTCCATGCTAAGTCTAGGCCCTCGACGGCTGATAAGACTAGCGAGGGGGTTATAGTAAGGGTAAGTTGACCGGCCACCTAGATAAGTTCGGAATATTTTAAGTTTTGTGGTAGCCTACAGGCTTCTCTTTCTATCCTTTCTCTGCCTCTGCCGCTAAGTGAAAGAAACATGTTCCATACCGGTGGTACTGAATGAACTGTAGCTAGATGGATGTAACTATACATCCGTAGTGGCTCTACTAAGAAATTCGAACACAATGTCTCCAGGTGTATTCCAAACTCACATCATCAACATGAGCTGCCTCATTACTTGGAACCTGCCGGAATGCATAGAAAGCTGTAGCCGAACATTGAGCATTAACTAACACGCTACATCTATTCACTCGATCATTTACTCACTCACTCACTCACTGAAGAATAAGGAAGGACTTAAGAAACATTTTGTAAACAAATTATAATAAAAAAATAAATTAAATTAAATTAAATAAATAAAATTAGCTTCAGGACTTACGAGGCATAGGAGCAACCGCACTGGCAAGCACAGATGCATGCAGAAGCAGGCCTCTTTCCCAGGCCCCCTTTCCAGGCCCTCTTCCAATGACAATCTCATTATTCACCGCAACAGACCAGGACAGACATCCCGAGTGCCACAGACAACACACCAACAAGACAGAAAGAGAAAGAATGGAATCAGATTTGCAACTACACACGCACAATACGTGCACGGATTAGCACATCTCACAATCACATCGCAGTCTCATCGTCACTGGCATCATCTTGTCACGATCACTCAGTCAGTGGGTCAGTCAGGCAGGCACAGTCGTCACTTTCACCATTCAGGCACTCATCAGTGGGCATCACAATGGGTCGAGAGGCACTCAGAGAAATGGGCAGTGGGCGTCACAGGCATTGTCACCGCAGGGCAGAGGCAGGAGCCTGGGAGGCCTCCCGGGCTGGTGGCGGGGTGCTTGTATTGTAAAGCTTATATAGTGTCTTTCTTGCCAAACCCACTGCGATGTTCGCGCACAGAAAAGATGGCTTCACGCTTTGTGAGTGCCGAGTGGCGTGCTACCAAGGTACATACTCGTGCGGTAGTCTTTGTCCACGACAGGGCATCGCGAATCCTTCTTTGTATACGCACCAAAACAGCAACATTGTACGCACCCAACTCCGCTGTACAAATACATGCCTGTTCCACTGTAGCAAGACAACCCAGCGCACTCAACTCACGGAGCCACAGCTTCCCCTTACACACTCATCCACCTACTAACCAACTAACCCCACAACACTCTAGCAACACGCGCCCACGACCGCAGCAAAATGTGCCACTACAACGTGCTGACCTGCCCCGCCTGCGCCGACACGAAGCGCACGCTCCGCGTCTGTACCGAGGGCCTCTGGACCGCCACGCCGCCGACCTGTGCCGCCATGCCTGCTGCCGGCGACGATCCGCTGCCGACGCGCCCCGAGGACCAGCTCTGCGGGAAGTGTGCCTGGGAGGAGCAGGCGAGGGAGAGGGCGGTGCATGATGAGCTGAGGGAGATGCGGTTCGCTTCGGCTGCTTAGATGTTGAGAGGACAAGAGTTGGACAAGAGTTGAGAAGGGGAATCGAGATGCTGGGTAGGGGAAGAAGGTAAGTTTGTATATTAGAGGTCGCTGGACTGCGGGCCAGTCTGGTGCTGGGATGGAGTGTGTGATAGCAAATGGTAAGTAAGACTTTGTTTGTTGGAATTGTTAGAGGTAAGTACGCTTTTCCTTTCTTTGGCGAGCTCGCTGTAGTTTTCTCTCGTGGTCCAACGCCAATAGCATTGTCTTTTTGTGGGTTGACGTGCGTATGAAGTGAAGTGTGCTATGGCCAGGTCAAGGGATATGGGTCTATGGGGACTGTTGACTCGAATGGATGAAGTTGGAAAGTCCGAGCTATGCGGACGACTTGATTGAGGCTATGCTACCCACGTGTTCGTACACGACTGATCTGGCGAAGCTATGGAGTAACAGGAGAGGCAGGCAAATCGGAGGCGGGCGGAGAGCCGAACTGAGTGACGCCCTGTCTTAGATAGAAGCTGGCTTTCAGTGATAGGTCATACACACGGGATCTGTCATACGGCGCACCATACAATTTGGAACAGCTGTATCTGTGTAAGCAGCTAGACATTATTTGACTGATCGTCCGTCCTTCGTATATACCCGTGCCAGACGCAACGAAGTTTGAAATTGTGCCTTTATACCCCAACCCTGCCACTTGAGGAGCAACCAGGACAATCACATTCCGGTAGACAGTCCCAACTCTTTGCACTTGTCCGAGTAGTGAGGGCTGAAGGGCTTGACGCCGTCTCGGACAGAGCAGAACTTCCAACCGTCCCCGTGCCAGTAGCACTCGCACTTTGCCTCCTCTGGGGTTGGCACGTACGCCCACTCCATGCCGTGGAAAGTGTAGACTGTGCGGAGCGAGCGTATCCTGTTGAAGGCAGCGTCCTTAGCGCTTGTGAGCGTTTCCTTGGTTGACTCCATGACCTCTTCGGCGGCTCGCATGAGGCCTGAGATGGCCTTGCGCGCAACGTAGATGTCAATCTGCTCCTCTGCTTTGATCGCGCTGGCTTCGTGTTCGGTGATGTTTTCGAAGGGCTCATTTTGCGCGAAGACCTGGCGAGCATCCTTGGCTTCAAGCTCATGAATCTCCTCAAAGGGCTCGTTCGCGGCGGTGGGGTTGTCTGCACTATCAGTGCATCTTGGTGAGTGAAGTACGTGGTGTATCTCACCATCCTTCTTGTACTTCTTGGTGAGCGGCTTGAAGAGTCCAAAGGCATTGGTGAGAAAGCCCTTCTTAACGGACGAGAAGCTGGATGTCTTTGAGAGGATCCTCGAGAGGGTGATGAAGGAGATCTGGTCGTCATCTGTTATCTTCATGTCAAAGAAGCTACCTGCATCTGATTGGGTGTGGAGCGACTGGGATCCTGTGTCCGTACCATGACTCTGAGGAGGGCCAGTGAGCTCTTGGCCACAGAAGATGGGGGGCTCCATGACTGCGCCCAGCGAGGAAGACGCTGTGTTAGGGTGGCAGCTGTTAAGAGTGATGCGGAGGATGACGTAAGGTTGTCCCGACCAAGTATCTGGGTCCAGCTTCACTTCTAGGCGATTTGTGAGCTTATAAATGAGTGACTTGCATTGGCGTGTGTGAAGACAATGTTGCATCTTTTGGAGACGTTGCGCAGTCAAGCAGAGGTGATCGCAGACTTGGTCCAAGAAGAGAGGCTTCATAAGTGCGCGCACGATGAATGTTCCTTAACAGTGAAGCAAGGCCCAGGCAACAAGGCGGTGAGGCTGTGATGCCACACAAGAAGTGTGAAAGGGTTTCGTGTTAATTCTCAAGCTCTCGCGAAGGTGAGCCTACTAGTGAAAGTTGCTGTCCAAGTGCCTGGACCAAACGTGTTCCTGCAGCACAACCCAAGTCGCATACATCTAAGCGATTGCTTGAGTGACTGCCACGAGGGTTTTGCAATCCCTGAAACTAAAATTAGCGCAGCTTTCTTCTGTTCACATCTAGAGCTCCAACTGCGCTCACTGGAAATAACGGAGTACATACCAAAATGAAAGGCGACAAGGCAACACTTGACTGCGCTATAACAATAGACAGAAAATGTATGATGGAAAGGCTTGCAACGCAACGTGCTTCTCTGTACAGTTGTGGTATAGCACTCGGACGTGGAAAAGACTGAGATAAAAACAGGCGATGATAATGAGTACTTTGATGGAAGACTATTCTTTTGGCATTGCCGTTGAGGGCGGTTGTTGATGGGGAATCTTATGGATTGTGAGTTTTGGATTCTAACCCGGACATAAGATGGGAGGTCACTGACAGCATTTTGGGAAGCGACGAAGCTCCTGCCTAGAACGTTTTAGCTTCTTGAAAATCGCGACCACTGCACTTCCTCTTAGCGGTGCAGAGAGCAACACCGTTGGCACAGCCCGATTAGTGTTTTATTAGGTGAAAAGCAAATTAAAGCTCAGAGAATAGAAGCAAAAGATGGAGATGGATGAGCTGTTGCTATTAACAGTCAAAATGATTTCCAAGAATCGGCACTCTCGTCTAAGAGCAAATGAACACGCATCACTAACCGGTCGGTCCGAGAGCTAAGGTTTGTCTCTGTCAAAGACGCGACCTTGGTGTCATGATGAACGCGAACAAGAGATGCAGTAACTGCTGCGTCAGCACGCGGGAAGACGGTCTGAAGTCAGCTCTCTCTTAAGTTGGACACAAATGCAGGGGCCCTAACCAGCTAGGGCGTTGTCACCCAGAGCCGGGCCCAAACCAATACCCATGGCCGCCTCTGTTACATGGTAATCCCATGAACCGGAAGCCATCCCATTTCCCCGTAGACGTCCGACGTTCTTCTCAAAACGAGCACATGCAGCACCTTACCACAAACAACATGATGCCTTCCCAGATTGGTTACCACACAGCTTAGTGCTCAGCTGCAATTCAACGTGCTGGAGTTGGAAAGTTTCGGGGGGCGGTCCTGCTCCCCGTCGGTGTTCGAAGTTATACCTGCATCCTTCCTAAGGCCAGTGCAGCTTGGTCTGCTTGACATATGTGGTGGAATCCAGTCGCGGAGAAAACTCCGCCAGGGGGGTGACGAAAGAGGGAAGTAAATAAGAAGGGCGAGTCGCCTCCTGACCAATCACCGTCGACCGGGAATGTACCTCTGCAAACGCGACCCCTTCCAGCCACACGATGCCGGTCCACGTTATGACCTTGGTCGCAGGTCTTCGATATTTATCTAGGGTAATTTCGTATGGTTGCCTAAGAATAAAAACGAATGTGATTTAATGTACAGCGAGACTAAACTGTCAAATCAAATGACTACATCTTCAAGCCAAAACTAACCTTTCTTTTTGCATCAGCTGAAGACCTTGTTGAAAATCTTTTCTGCCGTGTTTCTAGTCGCGCATCGCGTCAGCCTTTGCATAAAAAACAAAAACAATCATTCGACTTACTTCGGAGGCATCTCGATGTAGTTTCTCTCATACTCCTCAATTTCGTCCAAGTCCTGGTGCAGATCGACCTCCATCGGGCTCCTGAACTTCGTCTTATGAACCAGCTTCCATCCTATGTAAAGCAGGGGGCAAGCACCGATCATGAAGTACGAGAACAAGAATGTCGGGACGTCCCACTTGCCCGGCAAAAACACCGTATACCCGCCCACAAACGTCATGACAAAACAGCCCATGAAGCCGTACCACGCGACATACGGCTGTCCAAAGCCCTTGTAAGGCAAATCATCCCTACTCAAGCCCTGTGCATCGCACGCCTTCTTGAATCGGATAAACGTGAAGCAGATGACGCTGAAGTTGATGAGCTGAGAGGCAGTAACAAGGTTAACGAACCAGCGCAGCACGACCGCCGCATTATTCGAGACCTGCAGGAACGACAGCAGCGCGATGACCAGCACGATCAACACACAGTAGATGGGCACGCCTTTCCTCGTGCATCGGGTCAGCACCTTGGGCGCCTTGCCCTCCAGCGCGAGCCCATACAGCGAGCGCGATGCGCAGTAGACGTAGCTATTGCCGGCAGAGAAGGCGGCCGTCAGGACCATTGCGTTGACGATATCCGGCAGGACTTTAATCCGCAGCCTGTTCATCGAGACGACGTATGGCGAGGCAGCAGCGCCAGGCTCGCTGTTTTCGAACGCAGCTGTCAAGTCCGGGTCATCGTAGGGCACGTTGATGCCGACGCAGAGCGAGCCGAGGACGAAGAAGGCCGTCAGCCGGTAGAAGACGGCGTTGTACGCACGCGGCATCACTTTCCGCGGGTTCTCGGCTTCTCCTGCGGCCATGGAGACGTAGTCTGGCCCGGCAATGGCGAAGGCGGCTTGGATGAGACACTGGAGAAACCCGAGGAAACGGCCTAGGTCACCGGTCTTGTACAGCTCTGCGAAAGCCCCTGGGTTGTTCCAGTATCTGTACAGAGAGGTGATTAGCATATCGGTAAACTAGGTTCACGGCCTATGTCTCTACATACCTGAAACCAAAGCGGTCACCGACCGGGTTTCCTCCTAGCATGACGATGAATGTATACATGACCAAACCGACGATCAGCAGCACTTTTCCCAGCGCGGCCCAAAATTCCGTTTCCCCATACCACTCGACGGCAAGCACGTTGATTAACCTAGGCAGAAGGTAAGCATTGCACAATTCAAGGACATATCACACCGGCACAAAGAAATAACGAACCCATAGAGAACAATGACGATTGCAATAATACCACCAGCTGGAACGGCATCGCTCCAGTAGTGTATGATTAGATTGCAAGCCACGACCTCAAACGGCACCAACGCCGCCTCGAAGATGAAGAAATTCCACCCGGCGGCAAAACCAAAGGCTTCGTCGACGTAACGGCCCGCGAAGCGGATAAAGGGCGAGGAAATCGGCAGATATGTCACCATTTCGGCAATGCCTGCGGTGGTCAGCACTCTTAAACTTTATCGCTTTTTGGCCAGTCATGCTCCGGGTCGGATAATGGCGCGCTGGGCTTCAACTGAAGGTGATGCTGCGTCGGGGCTCTCCAACAACGAAAGAGATCATGCTCACTGATTGTGATGGCCAGAATGAACGTGCACCTAAAGACACCTTGTGATGAGCCGAATGGTCAAACATCGAGCGCTGTCGAAATCGTTTACCATAGTGTAAAAGCCAAAAATAGACTTCCTGGGCCGCCATTGAGTAGCCCCTGCCCGATTTGGACATAAAGTGCAGTGCCTATTGTGCCTCCGATTCCTGTATAAAATCAGCCAATATAACTTGAAAGCTTAAAGTTTCTTCATTTACCAATCAACTGGATATGGCGAGGCTTGAGCCGCCTATGCGTATGATCGCCAGGCACCTGGACAGAGCCAGACTCCGGACTCTCATTGCCCAGATAAGGCTTCTTTTCCCCAAGTTCTTTGTCCTCTCTATGGGTGACAGGCGGGGCGGCGCCGACAAGGTCAATGCCAGTCGCAGACATGTTCTTAACAGAACAGTAGCCGGCAGTTGAAGAACACCTGCGAATCTAGTGAATTTGCTTGAGCAGAAGACAGAAAAATTCGATCACAAAGTCCATGGGCCAGCGAGTAGGACTGGAAGCAAAGGCGCGCGGGAAGTGTTGAGGATAAATAGGTATGGGCGTGGGCAAGGTAAGGCTCCACGGGCGATAAGCAGCTGTGGACCTGATAACTGACTGGCTAGCGGCAGGGTGCGCAAGTTGGAGAAACCTGACAAGACGTAGGTAGTAGGCCGTGGTGTCACAAAAGAAACGAGGACACGCGGAGAGCTGACTACGAAAATTCCGGATAACTGGGACTCGCCTCTTTTTTCTTCAAATTGTGCCGCGTGTAGTTAGAAGCTCCAAGAAATGCGCCTCGGCACCCGCACCCTTGACTCGGGGTCTCCGAGGATGCGGCCCCGGATTTGGGTTACTTATCCGCTCACGTCACCTCCGCTGCCCCTCCAAACCCCACACAACAACAGGGCACGGGCGTTGTTTGCTGATGGTTTCTCAGGAGCACTGGCCATTGCGGAAAAAGGGCCTACCTACTGTTGACGACACTACTTAAACACGGCAAGGCCCACGCTACCGTGCTCTCTATCTGTTGCCTCTCCGCATTGCGGGACTTGGCAGAAGAGCCTAAGCCCTTGGCGTCGCACTGCTTCTATAAGATCTAGCGTGAGATCAGGTTGGGGTGCTCCACCATGTCGTGTGCCCAGAGCGACAAACGGCTCGATCAGATCCAAGTGGCTGCCGTCCCGGCTAAGTGTGATTTTGCAGCTCCGTTGACCGTGCGATCAAACGACAGAAAACAGATACCCTTCCAGTCAGACTCGGTGTGGCTTCCAGCGTGCAACATACACTTGTTCTACCCTAGCGGTAGCCATTAATGCCTTCCTCGAGCTGGTCCAGCTCTGCCTTGCGAGCGCGGTATAGCTCTTGCGCCTCGCGTTCCCTCCGGCTAACGAATGTAACCTCGTCCCTGAGAGCCTCCAGACGCCTTGGGATCGCGGCTTCCTCTGAAATTTGGAGCGTGCGGAAAGAGTCCAGTTCAGTGGCCGTCTTCTCATAGGCCTCGTGCGCATCGACAATCTTTTGGCGCAACGTCTTGGCACGCTGCTGATAGCCGCCAAGATGCAAGGCGAGCTTCTTTTCGACCTTGTTGCCTTGCTCAGCGGTTGCCATGATTCTGTTTTGAACAGCCTAGAATCAGTGTTAGTAGCTGTGTGTTACTGGCACATCTGGGTTTGAGACTTACATCAAATGTTTCAGCCATCAACTGGTGCTCGTCAATCTCATCCTCTCCATAGCCTGCAAGCCCAGGTAACACTGAGGTTTGATGAAGCTCCTCCCAAGCTCTGCTGAACTCCTCGGTGTCCTTCCTTGCATCGTCTGCGGAAAGTTCCAAAGCGATCTCCATGCGTGCGCGTTGCAACGTTTCGTCGCCAAAATTTTCAAGTGGCTTCGAAGTTCCACTGACTCTGGCCTTGCCAAACTTAGTCGCATCGTTCACCATGAGAAGTGTCATCTCTTCCAAAATGCTTCTTTCGGCGGGATCCGCAACGCTCGATGCTTTTTCAAGCATGGCGTTGACATTAACCACAGATGGACGCGGCAAGCCCTTCTGGAAGGCCTGCGTTTGACGGGCAAACTCCACGCGTTCAGCTGCTTCGCGAATAGCCTTGTTCCTGGCATCACGAATAGCAGCATCCTCCGTTCCGGTTTCCGCCCTAATAGCTTCTTGCTGCTCCTCTGGCAACTCCAATTCCCATTCAGTTTCCTTTGGCTTTGGCAAAGCTACGAATTTGCTTTTGATGTCGCTGCGCATAGCGGATTCCCGCATTTTGATATCGCGGGGAGTTTGTCCAACTAATTGCATACCGTTTTCACGGTTCAAGTTGAAGTTGTCGCGCGGCGTCCGCAAAGGAGTCGCACCAGGACCCCGTGCAGGCGTAGCTCCCGCGCCGCCGCCCTGGCGGAAAGGCGTGGCCATGGGGTTCGGAGTTTGAATCTGCTGCTTGCTAGGTGCGGCGCCACCAAATCCGGTGGTCTCTCCTTCGTGCATAGGCGTGTTTTCCCCACCAAGGAGAGCCGATTGGGTATCTGTTCGGGCGCGGGCGTTGCGGATTTCGTTTGCAACACGGTCCTCTTCCTGGGGTGCACGCGGAGTGCGGATAGGAGTGTTGCCAATGATTCCAGTGTAGTTGCTAATGAGACCCCTAGTGGCCTCGTTGTCGCTGCTACCAGCCAGTTGGCTAGCCCTCTCGCCCATCATACCCATCTTGACAATGTCTTCAAGCTCCGCTTCGCTGACCTGAGGCGCAGGCAACGTAAGCGTCCTCCTCTTGCTGCTCTGCTCAGCTTCGCGGATCTTTTGCATTTGCGCAGCTCTCTTTGCGGCCGCCGAGACTGCCTCGGATCCACCCTTATCGTTCTTCCTTTTCTTCCTGTCTTCGCCATCCTCCTGCTGATCCGCTTTCCGCTTGTTTGCAAGCTGTTGTTTCCTGGGATCGAATGCCTCCCTTTGCCTTTCATTCTGTACCTCCTCATCTACCGTGTCGTAGAAACCGGGAGCGGGCGCTTTCTCAAATGGGATATCCGCGTTGTAATCCATCTGGCCCTTCTTGACCGTAGTGACCTTGATGTTGATACCGGCATTCTTGAGCTCGCGACGCTTCTGCAGCACTGCCAATCGCCGCGATTCTTCGAGCTGCCTTTCGCGAGCCTTGCGCTTCGCCTTCTTTCCCTGGGTATTGGCGAGACGAGCCCGCGCCTCGCTGAGCATTTCCTTTTCGTCCTCATCGAGGTCGACCGTATCCGGGCGCGCGGGCTTCGATTCGGGGTCTGGGTCGAGTTCGCCGGGCCTCAGCTTCCGGACATCATCAGCGCTCGGCGCCGCCGTCTCGCCGCCTTCTGGTCCTCCCAAACCAAGCTCATCGTTCTCCTTTGCCTCCGCTTCGTCGAGGAGTTTTTGATAGCGCTCGAGACACTGCGTAGCCGTACGTCCTACGATTGGCGCAATAGTTCTAGACAATGGTTAGTGTCTGTTGTTACCCTTGCTTCAGCAGCGACCCAGACATACCTCCATTGCGTGGGCATCAGCTTCGCCAGATGCAGGAGCTTCTCATCTTCCTCCTTCGACCACTCCACCTTGCGGATGCTCGGATCCAGCCATTCCGACCATCTTGCCTTGCACTGCTTCGGGGTCTTGCGAGCGAGGAGCGAGGAGACGCGCGCCCACTGGTTCAGGCCATATTTGGAGACGGCGACCTTGACGATTTCGTCCTCGATGTTCGTCCAGACTCCTCCTTTGACGACGGGCATTTTGACGCGTTGATTCGCGCGGCGGCGATCGGTTGGAGGTGATGTCGCGGAATTGTTCGAGGCCGACTTGCCGTGCTTGCATCGAACTCTGAATCTCGAGCTGAGGGCGGACCGCCGTCTTGGCGCGCTAGTCTTTTTTGGGAATAGCTAAATTTTGCTTGACATTGACGTAACGGGCATCATGACATGTGCTTTGCGCGCACGTCAAACATGTCTCCTGCACCTTTCAAATCACTTCATACAAAATGGCGATAACAAAGTTGCTCAAGCCTTCGACGACAAGACTATTCCCTCGGACGGCGGCCACAAGGATCGCCGTTCCGTCACGATTTGCCTCCTCCGACACGAGGTCAAGTACGGAGCAGGACGCCACCAAAAAGAAAGAGGTAGTTGGGTACGAGCCCGAGATTTAAGAAGATATGTCTAACTGTTCGACAGGAATCAAAGGCCACCCAGCCTCAGCAAAAGAAAAAGACTCAAGCCGAGCTCGATGAAGAGCTGAAGATGAAGATGGCTGGCCTTTCCGGCGACGGAGGGGAATCCGGAGTGGAATATGAGGACGGCCAACCTGCCTCAATGAAGAGAAGTGTGCGCAACAATATGTTCCGTTATATTTGAGGAACACGCAAAACGACATCCCACTGTAACGGACATGCCGGCTCCGACCGCATCACGGCGCTGTACCTTTAATACTCTCTTACCTACTACATACTTGTTGACACACGCACGTATGTACATATACCTAGTGATTCTTACCTGAGAAGCTTCTATAGATGAGATGTACGAACACTGGCAAGGACCTTGATCAAAGAGGCTCAAGTGTGAAGAACACAGAAAAAAGCAACAACAAAAAAGACCGGCTTGCGAGCCGCTAAATGGTATCCACCTACCGCCCTTTGCACTTTCACTTTTCAAAGCTGATTATTATCAGAAGACGGCGGAGAGGGAGGGCTATTATTCAGTCTGGTAGCATCTCGTTATGCCAAAGCAAACACTTCTCTCCAAAAAGCACCACCAACCAGATAAAACGATAAAATAAAATAAAAATATAGCCCCACACAATCTAATCCATCCATCCGTCTGTCCATCTGCCCGTCTGGTATACCGTATTCATCCCACAGTCTGCCCACCATGCCTCTTCAAGCACCAGCGCCTCCAACAGAACTGAACCGAAGTGAGCCGAAACCGCACCCATCTCCTGCCCTAACCCACTCCAGGCCATATCAGCAGGCACCACAACCACCCACCCCCACTCACACCCACAACCACAACCACACACACGCTCACGCGCGCGCGCAAACAAACAAACAAGCAAGCACACCACGCACCAGCAAAGCAAGAGTGAGACTGACTGACTTAGTGACCGACCAACCAACCAACCAATCGACTAATAGGGTAACTAAGTGCGCAAGAGAGTAAATTAAGTAAAGCCAAGCCAAGCCAAGCCAAGTAAAGAAAGAAGAAAAAGAAAAGAAAAAGAGAAGAAACAGCAGTCTTCATAAGGACGCAAGGCCCGAAAATAGAAAGAAAAAGAAACCGCCCCCTACCAAAACCAGCAGCAGAAAAGAAGAAAAAGAAAAGAAAAGAGAAGAAGAGTCGCTCCACACCGCTAGCATGTATGTGTCCCGTACCCCGTTGTAAAACGCGCGTGCTCGTGAGCCCGCTTCTTCATGTCATCAAGTCATGCCGTCGTTCGTCCGTTCGTCCGTTCGTTTCAGTTCATGATGGAAGTCAATGTAAAGCCAACGCAAAGAAAAGCAAAGCAAAGAAAAGCCGAAGCAATCAGTCAATCAATCAGCCATGGAAGAAGTCCTGGCTGGTACTCCTTGCCGTGCCGCCCCCTTTCCTTCCTTCCGCCATCGCCATCGCCGTCCGCCACTCACTCACTCGCTCATCAACCCCTTCAAGCCAACCAACTTCACGGCACGGCACGCCGCCATGGGCAGCGCATCCGCTCGTCCGCTCGTCTCCTCAGCTCGTTCGCTCGACGTACTAGACATACCGTCCCGAGGGCGCGCCCATGGGCGGAGGCGGCAAGTTGCCTGCCGAGTAGGGATTAGCATCGGCGTAGGTAGAAGCACCACCATACGGCGGATAAGCCACAGGCACAGCAGCAGCGACAGGGGGCAAGCCGCGACCAGGCTGCTCGCGGGCACGGCGCTCGCGCTCCTTGCGCTTCTTGCGCCGCCGCGTCTCCAGCTCGTGCACCGTGTGCCGCTGCTCGTTCATCTCCTTCCACTCGCTGAACGCGCTCTTGATCCCCAGCGCCGCGATGCCCACCGCCGCCGCGTCTTGCAGCATGTTCTTGCTCTTGCGCTTGCGCGCCTCTTCTGGCGACATGGACCCTTCCGACACCAGTTGGCGCCGATTCTCACTCGCCACCATCGAGCTGTACACACCGTGCGCTGCGTGGATCGTCGCCACTGTGGCTAGTCCGGCAGTGAGGAGTTCCTTACCTCGCATCTTCCGCCGCTGGTTCTCCATGTCCGTCGTCGACTCCGACGACACGCTGCTGCCACGTCGGGCCGCCCCCGCACCTGCGGCTACGCCTGGGCCTGCTGCTGAGTATCCACCATCCGAAGGGGCGCCCCGTGAGCGACCCCCTCCGTATCGACGTCCGCGTGACGGAACGAAGCTGTCGGCGCTCGAGCTGCTAGGAGATCGGCGACGACGGGATTTGGATCGCACGCGTTCGTAGAGGGCTTTGCCGGCAGCGGCGACGGCACCTGCACCAGCGAGGTTCTTCAGGGAGCTAAGGTCTCCGCCGCCTCCGCCGCCGCGGCTTGAGGAGCGGCCACGGGAACGACTGCGGCCGAAGAGCGAGCGGGCACGTGAACGAGAGCGCGAGCGAGAACGGCCCCGAGAGCCGCTGCGGTCTCTTGGACCGTTCGCGAGTCGGTTGGCGACGAGACCACCGATGACGGCTTCGGCCGTGTGGCGCTTGCTCTTCTTTTCCGGGTTGCGGTCGACAAGTCCATCGATACCAGCGGCACCAAGAGCTGCGGTCGCGATGCGAGTGCCCTTTTCGCCCGTCCATGGACCGGGGTCTTTGCGGCTACGGAAGGCCTCGACAGCACCGGCGACGAGGGCGGCCTGGGCTGCTTGCTGCCACTTGCGTTCGGACCTGCCGTGGCGGCTTCGGCTTCGGCTCCGTGAGTCATAGTAGGAATCGCGGCGATCATAGCGGTCGGACCTGTCGTCGTATCGGTCATCATATTTGTCGCGGCCGCGGTCTCTGCTCTTGCTCCGTGATTTGCCGAGCACGGCGCCTACGATGCCGCCCAGGCCGGCGTCTTCGATGAACTCGCCAACCTTGGACTTGCGGCGCTCGCGACGAGGCGGCTTGCCATAGTCGTCCGAGTAGTAGGAGTCGTCGCGGTATTGTCTGCCGCGGGGCGCGTAGCTGTACTCGGAATAGTCGTCATAGTCACGGCGGCCGACGGAGCGGGCACGACGAGGTGGGTCGTAGTTCTCGCGTACTCGGGTTCTGCGGTACTCAGCGCCTGGCGGAGGAAAGTCCCGCGGGATGTCCTCGATGCTCTCTTCGCGTGGGCGGTAGACGAGATCACGTTGAGGAGCAGATCCGCGCTGGACGTATGTGGTTTCTTCAACGTACTCTGGCGCCCTGGTGCGGCGCGAGCGGCGCGGCACGTCGTAGTCGTAGTCGGACATTTTTTCAGGCTTGCACGCGGTCCAGAGGTGGCTGGGGGACACTAAGGCGTGTGCGTTGCCGGATAGGAAGAATAGGTGTCTGAAGGAGAAAAGTGAGCAAGACTCGGGTGGCGGACAGTTAGGGGGCTTACCAGGGTGGAATGTGTGATGAAGACGAGGGTGGTGCAAGGGGAGCGACAAGGTTGGGCCAAAAGAAGGCGGGGTTGCAGTGGCAGGAAACAGGCAGGCGCGAGCGGCGGGCTGAAAGGGTATATATTGCGCGAGGAAGTCGGGCAGTGAGACACTAGCAGGCCGGTCAAGCGCCCGAGCAACTCAGTTGGCGTGAGAGTGGTGGGGGAGAAGGGCGAGGGCCAAAGGTGTTGGCTGGGCAAGATGTACCGTGACGCAATGCGACAACAACAGGGTCTCGGGCGAGGACGGCGGCGGCGGCTGGGGCCGCAACGAGCCGTGGTTCGGCTCTCCGTCAGGCGCCTATTTTTTACCTAGTATTTACTGCGCCTCTCTCCCGTCATCCATCATCAGAGTGATGTCCACCTATTTGAGGTTCCGGTGAGCAGCACGCATGACGTAGGTATGTAATTCCAGCACCATCAGAGTCACGTGCATCACGTGCGCAGCCCTACCGTCGGAGGTTGCCTTGGATTTTCGCCGACAGTGCCGGCTCGGCGCTTTATCAGATCATCTTCGATAATTTATTTACCGTGTCGACATCATCACTTTTCGGGGAAGTTGCCAGTCCTCTTGACACCTGCCGCCCTCAATGTCCCAGAACAACACCACTTCGGACATTCTGCTAGTGAGCCGCGCCTTCCACTACCCTGCGCCCGACTCCTCGTTCCTCTCCCGACCACCAGTGCTCCACTCCACTGCTAACCGCACCGTTCCTCCCAGGCCGGCGCCTTCGCTGCCTTTTCTGTCGACTTGCTCGTATACCCCCTCGACACGCTCAAGACGCGCTTGCAGTCGCCCGACTACAACCGCCTGTTCGTCAATGCCTCGACCAACACCATCAACCGCGCGGCTATGTTCCGCGGCCTGTACCAGGGCGTCGGCAGCGTCATCATAGCCACTCTGCCTTCCTGTAAACCCCGCCCCCGCACCCACGGCCCCCTACGCGAGCACGCCTCTACCGCCGTCGCCGCCCTTCCTGCTCGCCATTCCGTCTGACCCGGCCGTCTTTTTTCAGCAGGAGCCTTCTTTACGACGTACGAGGGCGTGAAATCGCTCCTCACGGAGCACAACCCCATGCTCGCGCACTCGCAGCGCCACCTACTGCCGCAGCCAGTGATCCACTCGCTGGCCTCCAGCGTCGGTGAACTCGTTTCGTGTGCAATCCTCACACCCGCCGAGGTCATTAAGCAGAACGCGCAGATGGTCGATACGTCGGCCGCGGGCACGCACAGCAACGCAACGGTCGAGACGCTGCGCAAGTTCCGGTCGAACCCGCTCGCCCTATGGCGCGGCTACTCGGCCCTCGCCATACGCAACCTGCCCTTCACTGCACTGCAGTTCCCCATGTTTGAGCGCATGAAGGAGAGCCTCAAGGCGTGGCGCGACCGCACCGGCCGCCGCACTGGCTCCCTCGCGGAGAGCGGCATTATCACCGCCGTGTCGGCCGGCTCAGCCGGCAGCATCGCCGCCATTGTTACCACGCCCATTGACGTGATCAAGACGCGCGTGATGCTGGCGGCGGCCGGCGAGGGCAAGCCCAGTAGCAACAGCAGTGGCGCGAAGCCCCATACCGGTGAGCTTGTCGATGCGTTTGGCAAGCCGGTCAAGGCGTCGAAGGACGCAATGACGGCAGCGGGGGGCATGGTCAAACAGGCGGCGCGCGGACGCCTCTCTTCCGCGGCCATTGTGCGCGAGATCCTGGCGCAAGAGGGTATGCGTGGGCTTTGGCGTGGCGGGGCTCTTCGCGCCGTCTGGACGCTCGTTGGTAGCGGGCTGTACCTGGGCGTGTATGAGAGCGGGCGTATTTGGCTGGCGAGGAGACGTGGAGATAATGTTAGCGAAGAGGAGCTGTTTTAGTGGTGTGTTTCCGTTCAGTGCGCAGGTGAGAAAGTGGGGAGCATGCATGTGAGTGAGTGCGCATGTGAGATATTGCATCTCTGTGATAGACGATGTACTGTGTGTTGTTTGCCTGTTCACTAGGCAGCCCATATTTAGGTCCCTTTTACCTGGACGTCCTCATACATCGGCCGACCCTTCCTAAACCCCTTCACAGTAGCTTATGCACTTGCCATACCAGTCCTCACTCCACGACACTGGATCAACACGCCACGAAAGGTCGGAACAACCAGCGAAGCACCGCCCAGCTAATTACCCCAATAAGTTAGCCCCTCGGCGGATTCCCAGCGGGCGGCCAGCATCACCGCTCCCGAACGCCGCACCCTTCCACCAGTAAACCACACACGCCCACATCGTGCACCGCATCCGCCCTCACTCCAAACGCACGCCGATTCTTAAACATACCCCACGAACGAACCCGACGAAAACCAACCCCCACCGAAACCCGCACGCGCGCGCGCGCCCCGCCACCACCATGCCCACGAGCGCCAGCGACGACGACGCATACTACACGGTGCCGCTGCGCGACCAGCGCGTCTTCGGCGCGGGCATCCGCCGCAAGCGCGTGCTGTTTGTGCCCGAGGAGGCGGCGGCGCCGGCGCCGGCGAAGCGGCTGCGCAGTGGTGGTGACGTTGCGGACTTGTATGCTGCTATTCTTGAGGGGAGGGGAGGGGGTGCTGATGCGGCTGGTTCTGGTTCTGCGAATGGTTCTGGTTCTGCATCTGGCTCCGCCGCACAACCGCAGGCACGAGAGGAGGAAGCAGGAGCAGAAGCAGGAAAAGCGCCCGAGCGCGCAGCGTCTGCGCCACCAGCGCCGACAGAGGAGCTTTGCGCGACGTGCAACTTGCCGCTCAGACCTGGGCACTCGGCGACGCTGGCGCACCAAGTCAGCCTAACGCACTCGCACCCGCCGTCGGCGATTGCGCGCGACCGCAAGGGGTTGGCGTTCCTGCGCGCGCACGGCTACGACCCGGATGCGCGGCGGGGGCTGGGCAAGGAGGGCGAAGGGATTCTGCATCCGATTAAGGTGCGCGAGAAGAAAGACACGGTGGGTTTGGGGGCGAGGCTGCCTGTAAAGAATGCGGCGCCGAAGAAGGTGCAGAAGTTGGGGGCGAAGGAGGTCAGGGAGAAGGAGGAGGAGGCGAGGAGAAGGCGGGAGGGCTTGCAGAGAATGTTTTATGAACGGGAGGAGGTGGTGAAGTATTTGGGGGAGTTGGGGTAGTGGCATGGGTGGGGGAGTGCTGCGATGGCTGTCCGCGTAGAGTGGGTGTGGGTTTGGGTGGATTCATAGCGATGGCGTTTGGGAATTGGGGTTCGTGCTGTATTCTTGAAGCTTGAGAAAGACATCGTGAAGGGAGAGACAAATATCAATCAAAGAGACTGCTAAAATTCCAAGTAGAGCACCAGAAAGGTAAACGCCGCAAAGTCCGCGCCGCAATGCAATGTCAACAACAACGGTGCTTCTGCGGAAGCTAGCTCTCAGCCCAGCCGCCTGACAGCTAACCACCGCGACAACTCCGACAACTCACTTCTCCCCCTTCTTTCACACTAAAGGATGAAGCCTATAATCGCCGTCCCCGCGATTGCCGCGCTGGTCTTCCGCGCATGGTCTAAGAAGTCGTTGACGCCCGCCGGCATCGTGGCCGCGCTGCTGACAGCCATCGCCCACGCCGTGCACCCATGGAACGCGCCATTCGCGCTGCTGTGCGTCTTCTTCCTCGCCGGCACCGGCGTCACCAAGGTTCGTTTCTGCTTTTTGCGCCCGCAGTCTGTGGGGGTTTGTCCGCTGCGACGTGGGAAAAAGAAAGAGGGTGGAAGAGTGAGCTAGGCTGACACCAACTCCAACCAGGTCAACCACGACGTCAAGGCCCGCCTCACGCACTCCTCCTCCGGCTCGCCGGGCGGCGAGGGCCCTCGCACCCATATCCAGGTCCTCGCGAACTCGGCTGTCGCTTCCGTCTTGATACTGCTGCACGCCTGGCAGCTGTCGCGCGAGCCCGACCCGGTCACGGCGGCGCAGTGCTGGCCGCGCGGCAGCGACGTGCTGATCGTGGGCATTGTAGCGTGAGCAATCACCTACTGGAACAAAACAAAAAAGAAACCCAGCTAACACTCCTCACGCAGCAACTACGCCGCCGTCGCAGCCGACACCTTCTCCAGCGAGCTCGGCATCCTCTCGCGCACGCCTCCGCGCCTCATCACCGCGCCGTGGCGCACCGTCCCGCGCGGCACCAACGGCGGTGTCAGCGACATCGGCTTCGCGACGGGGCTGATGGGCTCGCTGTTGCTGGCGGGGACGGCGACGCTGCTGTTGCCCTTCTGCTCGCCGGCCTGGGACCCCAAGGCGCGCTTCGGCTTCACGATGTTGATGACGTTTGCGGGGCTGTGCGGCACCGTCATCGACAGCCTGCTCGGCGCCGTGCTGCAGGCCAGCGTCGTCGACACGCGCACCGGCAAGGTCGTCGAGGGCGATGGCGGCCGCAAGGTCAAGGTCCACAGCGCGGGCTCTGCCCACTTGAAGCAGAGGGCTGTCGTGCGCGAGGCGTTGACCGGCGATGCCAAGGAAGGGGACGATCCCGTCGCCCAGTCGTCCGGCGTCGCGGCCCCTCGCACTGAGGCGGATGGCGCGCGTCACCGCGCTGCGGAGAAGGCGGGCAGCGTGCTGCCTGGCCCGGATGATGGCGAGAGCAGGCGCGTCGTTGTCGGGTGGGACGTGCTGAGCAACAATGGCGTTAATATCGTCATGGCGGCTTTGGTGAGCGGGGGGTCGATGGCGGCGGCGGCGTGGACGTGGGGTCTGCAGCCTGCTGATGTGTTGGCTGGGTTGTTGTAGGGGGGCATGGTCTTGATGGTGGGAGCACCGTCTTGCTGATGGTGATGCGGAGGGCTGATTTGCTCCGTTGCTCGACCCGGCTCGGTATGGTATGGTTGGTATGGCATGGTATGGGTTTTTCCAGGTAGACGAGTCTGACGGACGGACAGGCTTTCATGATGTCTCACGACTCAAAATGACAAAAAGTTAATTGTTCTACGTCCTTTTCTTTGTCATTCTCCCATTTTTCCTCTCTGGCCTCTTCTCTAAAGTCTCTTTCTTGCGTCTCGTTACTTGTTTTCCTCTCTTTCTTATCTCCCTCCCTCTTCCACTTACCCATATGCCTATCCATGTTTCGACACTGCAACCTCTCAGCTTCTTATACACAATTACAAGCAAACAAGCTCCCATGCTCCTCCATATCTGTCTATGCTTCGAGTAGTATAAATGGCGGGGCGTCGCGGCGTGCTTGTTGTTAGGCTGCTGAGTGCCGTCAAAAGGGTAGGTCCAGTCTATCCTAGTTAAGGCAACTACTGCCGACCCTTCCTCCAGACTACCAAAGCTGATCGATCGAATCTTACAGTAACTCGCTATTATCACCACTCCTAGCAGCCAAGCATCTAGCGCAGGGCTCACGTCAACGACGCTACTGTGGAGCAGCGGGTACCTTTCCTTCGTATATGCAGGTAAGCATTAACAAAGCCAGGTGTATTTTTCCAGCGCGCGATTCCTCTCCGCTTACTGAGCTATAAGAAAGAGCATTGGGAGACGCGTATATATAAAGCACCTGGGACCGTTCCGTGCAATCACAGGCACAGCATCTTCATATTTTCACACCAATACTCAAGCACCGCACCAAAACCAAGATATCGAGCAAGGTGGGCATGAACACAACATGAGCCAAGTGCCATACGAGCGTTAATAACAACGTCAGATGTTCAGCACCACCAAATCCGTGTCGATGGCGCTCCTCCTCGCAGCAGCGAGCCTCGTGCCAAGCAGTCTCGCAGCCAACGGCGTGTCCTGCCAAACGTCTCCCGGCAGCCCCGACACGGGGGCCGTGACGGGCGTGATCAACGCGCTGTACGGGCGCGGCGGGGACTGCAAGCACGGCAACATCATCGGCAGCAAGTGCACGACGTTGGCGAAGCACGACGCGGCTGCCGTCGCGCTCTGTGGCAACTCGGTGTTCTTCCTTTCGTGTGCGGATGTTGCGGCTGCGGCCAACGATGTCCAGCAGGCTTGTTTGAACGACGGGAGGGCTGGCGGCACGTTTAGTGCCAGTAGTCCGACCCTTGGCGATTATAAGATTGAGGTTATTCATTCGTGAGGGTGGGGTGGGGGGCTGGATGGATGAGGGAGTTGTTTGGTTGTTTGGTTGTTTGTTGGTGGGGTGGTGGAGCTGCACACTTATGTATATAAGCATTAATGATGCGCTTGGCTGCACCGTGTATGTGCAGCTATCTGCTTTTGTACGTAAGTGGAGTTGAGCTAAGTGGAGACCTGGATACTTACTCATACGTGATTAGACATTCTGGGGATCCGGCTGATGGCGAGGAAGTATACGTGGATAGCTAATTTGGATTATAGCTTGTACATAAGTGGAGTTTAGCGAGGGTTTTGACGAACGGGTGGGCCTTTGTGACGATGGGAGGTCGCAAGGTTGCCTGGATGCGGTTACGGGTAGAGCTCAGTTGCCTCTTGGGGGTTACTTAGCGCCAGAGTGTAGACCCCCTTCCCCGGTTTCTTCAGCAGTACAGCGCTCGTGCTTTCTAACAAGATGAGAGGTCATTCGTCGAGAAGAGGACCTCATCCAGGGTCTTATATGACTATTCCTTGTGGCCGCTGCCTAGTAACTGAGAAAAGCTTTTGGTCAATGCTCTCCTTAATGGAAGTCGTTAACCATCACCAAAGTTTGCAATGCAACTAGAAGGGAAGGGGTGAGGAGGAAACCATTACTTCCTGGAAAAGTACAAGACGAAGTGCCCCTTCCGAAATGGGCTGGGCCTTTCGAGGCGGCCAGCGATACAAAAGTCAATTCCACTCCCAGCACTCTCTCCTTAACACATCTTTTACATCCCGGATATCCAACATTGAAAGCTAGCAGCATCCATCCAGACTATCGTCAATCCGCTTGCTATCACACATCACCAGGCACAATCACTACACAGACCATGTCTGCACTCAATGTCTCAGATGACAACAACGCCAATCTGGCAGACACCACCAGGAAAGGAAACCAACCGCTCGCTCGGCCTCTAACCCCTTCCAATCTTTTAACTGATTCTCCATCCGGATCACCGCCCAGCGCCCCGTCTGGTAGTCCATACAGCACCTCATCCGACAGTTCACCCGGCGACAACAGGCCTAAAACTCGTCGAACGCGCCGAAAAGGCAAACATGTGAAGTTCCAATACGGTCCACCAGCCACGGTCTCATCACTGGACGGTCGACAGCAAGAACAGTCCACCCAGACAGAGCAGCAGCAGCTACAGTCTCAGCCGAACTATGCCTCTGAATCACAGCCACAACCCCAACAAGTAGAGAGTCAATCATCGACGCAGTCACGACTCTCGCGAGCATCCTTTGATGTGCTGAACACCCTTCCGATGCAATACGCACCTTTCACACCGGCCTCATCACCACCGCCATCGCCGAGGTCAGAGCCGCCCTACACGCCAGCCACGATTTACGTTTTTCCAATTCGTAGCGAGGATCAGAGAGTATTACTCGATGCGGAAAAAGATTCAGTGGAAGAGAAGGACAGTGAAAGAGGCGGTGCAGTGCTGAGAGGAGGTGCTAGCAATGCGGGATTGGACGTTATTCCTGAGGTAACGGAAGAAGATGACTCCGAATTAGAGAGGAGTAGCAGCAACGAGACAATAACGCCAGCTAGGTGGAGAGTATTGGAAATATTGCCTAGGTTGCAGGCTAGGTTGGGAATATTATCGAGTCCTTCGGAGACAGAATCGGACGAAAGCAATCCGCCACCGCCCTCATGGGCCATAACCAGATTCTTTCGCCGCATATCCAGACACTGTCGCACCGATCCCTTTGCTTTCACTATAGTGTTCCTTGCCTTATTCAACTTCCTCCTTTTGCTTGGTTATAGTATATATTCCATATTCAGACCATACCTGCCGCTCAACCATGACGTCGACGCTGGACCTCGACTAATAACGACTGACGCTGAACCTCTCATTTTGAGGCTGAGAGGAGGTGCTGGCGATGGGGCGGATGTTGTTTCTGAGGCAAGGGACGAAGACCTCGAAGCAGGACGGTCTCCTTCCAGGGGACGGCGTCATTCCAGGACACGACCGGAGGGCGAAATCAATCCACCAGCCCGTAGAATTTCTCCGCTCGAGATCGGGGTAACAGGGAACGAGAGATCATGGGCATGGCGTGATTACTCGCTCGAAAGTGGGGGGTATAGGCTCGTACCCGTCTTCAGAGCCATCGGCAGAACAGCGAGAGCAGCGGGCAATGGCATAGCCGGATTCTCTCGCCGCGCATGGCGAAGATTTTGGGACAATCACCCAATTGCCGTTATTATCGGCGCATTAATGGGGGCTGGGCTCATCGCCGTCTTGGTATGGGTTGTCTACCGTGAATTCAAACGCAAAAATAATCATGACTGCCTTGGACCTCCTATAACAACAACGACGACGACGACGACGATGACGATGACGAGTACCGCTGAACCTCTGCCGACGGCGACTTGGAAGTCGGCATGCGAGCTAAGGGAGGGGAACGGAATGGCACTGGCATGTAGAGGAAGAAACGCCACTGTCGACGTTTATAGTTCTACACTGTCATTCGCATAGGTAGGTGGCAGTAGTAGACAGTAGTAGACAGTAGTCAGATAGGAATTAAAGAGATTATATCCCCGCTGCGGCGGCTACAGCAGCACAGCCATCCCATGTACAAACTACCCGGAAGAAGAAGAAGAGAGGGCCAAACTGCACAGATACTACACGTACAAGGAGAAGATGTAGGTACCCACGTGGCCACTGTGGGCAGTAGAAATGGAAATGGAAACAGAAACAGAAACAACAACAGAGAAAACAAAGAGAATAACCATGCCCAGTCCTAGTCCAGTCCTACCGCACGCACGCATTACACCCTCCGCCCAATCAACCAACCAACTCCCAACTCCCAGCAGCGCCCAATGTAATTACGCCAAGTGAGTGAAATCCCCATCGCATTACACACACACACACACACACACACACAAACCAACTCAAACCCCCTCGCGCGGAACGACAGGCCTCGCATACGCGCACGCCTCGGCCTCTTGCTCGGCGTCGTCGTCGTCGTCGTCGTCGTCATTGCTGCTGCTGCTGTTGTTGTTGTTGGTGGTGGTGTTGTCGTTGTTGGCGCCAACGGCGGCGTGGCCTTCTTTGAGCGGCCAGGCTCGCTCGCTAGCGTCGGCGGCGGCGGCGGCGGCGGCGGTGCTGGTGGTGGTGGTGGTGGTGGTGGTGGTGGGTGCAGGCACGCTCACGTTGACACGCGCGCCAGCCGTGGGCGTCATGGCAGCCCCCTCTCCCTCTCCCTCTCCCTCTCCCTCTCCCTCTTGACGCCTCCCCCTCCCCCTCCCCCGTCCTCGCTCTTTTACTTGCGCCTCCATCTCCCAGCTCCCGGCCCGGCCCTCCCTTCCCGCTACACCAGCACCGGCAGCGACGTCGACGTCCATGTCCATGTCGCTGGCGCGCTTGGTGGCGGCTTGGAAGCCACTTCCTGCCCTGCCGGCCTTCGGTCTCGCGCAAAAGCAGCACCCTGCGCGCGCGAAAAGGCCTGTTGCCGCCGCCACCGCCGGGGTTGACGGTGATGAAGACGCAGACGCAGACGCAGACGCCCCATCGCAGCCGCAGTCGTGGTTATGGTGCCGATGCCGGCGGTGCACCCGCACGCCCGCGCAGGCCGCCGCGGCCGCGCCTACGAGGACGAGGGCCGCGAGGGAGGCGGCAGCGCCGATGGCGCCGGCTGTGCGGGGGGAGAGGGGGTGGGGTTGTGTTTGCGTATGCGCTTGCGCTTGAGAGACTGGCGGTGTGGTTGGTGGTGGCAAGGCAGTGGCGGGGGATGAGAAGGCGGCGCAGAAGAGGGGGGAAGAAGTGTTGGCATTGGCGTTGCACACGTCGCACCAGCTGGCGACGCCGTCGGGGAGGGCGAAGGCGCGCAGCGCGGCTGCAAAGGCGGGCCAGGGCGTGTCGGTGCCGGCGGAGGGGCCGTGACCGAAGAGCGGGAGGGGGGTCAGCGTAGTGGTAGTGGTGGTAGTGCCGTTGCGGAAGGAGAAGCGGACGCGGAGGTCGGTGGGGGAGGCGGGGAAGGAAGATGAAAACGAAGAGGAGTAGCTGAGGAGCTCGAAGACGGCGGTGCTGGCCCAGTCGGGGATGCCGTTGTTGCTGTTGCTGGTTAGGCCGACGAGGTTGAACAGGGCGACCAGTGGCTCGAGGTCCCCGAATAGCAGGGAGAGCTTGTTGTGCGTGCCGCGAGTGGCGACGTTGGCGGATAGGAGGTCGAGGATTTTGGTTGCGAGGGCGCGGCCGGCAATGGTGCGGGCTGTAGTGGTGTCGGGGTCCGAGTTGAGCGCTTGTTGCTGTCTAGGTAGGGAAATGTCAGTAAGAGAGAGAGAGAGAGAGACGTGGGACAAAACCCACCGGTCCGCAAACCAGCGCAGCCTTTCCAACGCCCCCTCCAGCTTCCCTCCCGCCCCCAGCATCGCCCGCGCCTGCGCATCATGCCCCGCCGCATACGCCACGGCGTCGAAGACGGCATACGCGTCCGCGCGCCGCCACATGCTGCGGGGCAGCACGCCCTCGAGCAACGCCCTCCCCACGGCCTGATACAGCTCGTCTGCGTCTGCGTCCCCCTCGGCGCCAACACCCGCCGCCCACGCCCGCGCCTCCCGCTCGTACGCCGCGCACCCGCTCGCCCCCGCCACCCACACGCTGCCGGGGTCCGAGGGCGACGCCGTGCGCACCCGCGCGTACTGGTACCCATCCAAAGGCGCGGCCCCACCCGCCCTCTCGTCGCCGTCGGCCTGGGCCCCCACCGGCGGATACAAGCCCTGCAGGAACGCCAGCGCCGTCGCGCCGCTGTACCCGTCGTCGGCCGCCAGCACGAGCAGCTGCTCGCTGCGCAGCACCGTGGCCGAGACGTTTGCGATGCGCGAGGTGGCTGCCGTGGTGCTGCTACCATCGTCGATGGATGAGGATGAGGACGCGGGGAAGTAGCGCGCCCGCAGCAGCGCGCCCTGCGCAAATGCCTGCGCCGCGCCGAGGGGCGTGAGGGCCGGCGCGGCGGCGTTGTTGTCGTCGTCGTTGCTGCTGCTGCCTAGACGCGGAGTGCGCTCGCCGGTGCGGGTGAAGATGACGGCGCCGTGGATCGTGTAGGCGCCTTTTGTTGTTGTTGAGGAGGAGGATGCTGGTGGGAAGGAAGAGGAAGAGGGCGCGGCGGACGTGAGTGTGTTTAGGAGGAAGAGGAGGATGAGGAGGATGAGGGGGAGGGGGTTGTTGAGCCAGGCCGGGACGAGGAGGGGGAGGGCCGCCATGGCTGGCTGCGTGTTGGATGGGTGGTCGAGAAGGGAGAGAGTGATAGAGATAGAGAAAGATAGAGAAAAGATAGTCGACTTGGACGAGTACGACAGACAGTACGACAAGCAAAGTCCTCAAACGAGCAAAGATCAGCTCCGAGCAGAGCAGAACAGAGCAAACCCGGACAGAACAGGCCAGGACAAAACGAGCGCGAGAGCAAGAGAGAGTAAGAGAGAGAGAGAGAGAGCAAGAGAGAGAGAGAGAGCAAGAGAGAGAGAGAGAGCAAGAGAGAGAGAGAGAGAGCAAGAGAGAGAGAGAGAGAGAGAGGGAGAGAGAGATAGAGAGGCAGTCGAGCGCAAAATCGCAAAAAGAGAGCCCCCAAAAATTTCCCCACCGTACGCGCGCGTATGTACGCAGGTAGTTATGTACGTAGGGCTCCGCGAACGGCCAGACCAACCAGACAGGCAGGCACGCCTCGATCGCTCTCGACCCTCGAGCCTATCCTAGGTACATTACCTATCTGCCGCTGCTTCATTCCTAGGTCTGATTACCTGCTCCCGCGCCCGCAACACACCACTCTGATGTAATGGCAGTGATGATGATGATGATAACAACAACAATAACAGCAGCTGGGTTCGCGAGATTGCGTGGAGCGGGAATGTGAGGCGGCGCTGCTTGCTTGACCTGGCTTAACACAACAACACTACACGACACAACACAGCATAACACGACCGACGGAGTGGGTGGGTGGGTGCTTGCTTACCGGCGTTTTTGCGTCTGCCTTTTTTTCTTTTTTTTCTTCTTTTTCTCCTCTCTTCTTTCGCAACTCAACTCAACTCACAGCCTCTCCACTCCTTACCCCGCCAGCAGCGTGTAGGTAGTATAAGGTAGGTAGGCAGCATATACACGTAGCCAGCAGCACGCACGCCGCCCGTCCCGCGCAGTCGTAGTCGTAGCTGTCGTCGTCGTGATAAATGCCCGTTGTAGGTATGACCCTGCCTACTACCATCAGCACCAAACCAACACTAAATGGACAGCAACAACAACCCCCTAACTTACCTGCCCAAACAATCAATCAGCAAACCACAACAAACAAACAACAACAAGAACCTCCGTACCACCCACCCGCCCGCCCGCGTACAAGTGACGTGACGTTGCTCGCCCACCCCTGCAGCACGTAGAGTACACCGGCGCAGTGACGCCAACAACCGCAACCCAACCCACACACACGCACACTTAGGTAGACAACCAAACCTACCATACCAAACCAAACCAAACCACCCGCATGCGTCCCACCCCACCACCACCCGACCAGCAGCCGACTCCGGCCACTTGCATGCATGCATACACGCACGCATCAGAGCAAGTGTGCGTGTGTGCAAGTGTGCGTGCAACCTACCACGCAGCCCGCTGCCCCGTCCCACGGCTAGCTAGGTACGGATCCGTACGGTAGGTACGGTACTCCCAGGCAACTAAACTTCCGTGCCGAGGACCTTGCATGCCGCGGGCGCGGCAACACAAGCATTCTTGGCAAGGAATGGATGGAATTGGTATGAATGACATGACGTGGATGGATGGATGGACGGCGCATGCCATGGCAAGGCTTGTTCCGACCAACCAATAACCAACAACCGATACTTAAACCATGTCCTGTCTGTCGCGTGGTGCTACGCAACACCACACTAGGTACAGTACCTTACCCACCTTAGCCCATGAGACATGAGATGAGCATCCCGCACAATGTGCACACACCCACCCACTCCACACACATAAACACACACACTCACACGCCACCACCACCTGTGAAAACGTGAACGTCGGCCATCACATTAAGTAAAATAGTCCTGAACCATACTGCTACAGAGACGTCGAGTCTAGAGGACGCCGAGGAGCAAATAGCAACTCCACCCAAAATCATTTCGTGCCCAATTGAACCATGCCCGCAATGCTGCTGCTCCTTTTTCGTACTTAAACCTGCACCTCGACGCGACCCTCGGAGCCCGGCGCGCCCTTGGCCATGTTGGGGAGGAGGTACTGTTGCCCAAAAGTTAGCTAAATGACCAGCAGGAACGGGGCAACAATGACAAAAACAAGCCGTGCCACGGAGATTTCCGGGTGAGATATCGGCGATCCAGAGATCCGATAACGGATATCTGATAAAATCTTGCAAGGGCTGTGCGGGGGGAAAACAAGGAAGTGGGGGAATTACGGTAATGTCGTCCCAGGGGTGGCCTGTGCCGTTTGTTAGCCTCGTGTTTTCGCAGATCATGTGGGACGTTCGGGTACTCACGGTAAAGACCGGTCCTCAGACGCTTCTGGTCGAGGAAGTGGGCAATCAGACCGATGGAACGGCCAAGGACGAAGAGACCGTTCAGGACACCCATCTTCAGGTAGTCCTCGGCCTCCTCGGCCGTGAAGGCACCGCAGTTGCGGAGCAGGTCGACGAAGCAGACGGCAACGCAGCCGTCGACGTTCAGGATCAGGTTGTCCTTCTTCGACGTGGTGACGCTCTCGACTGCCAGGGCGTAGTCGAGGAGCTTGTGGTTGGCAAAGTTCTTCTGGACGAACTCCTTGACGAGCTCGACACGCAGATCGGGGTTGTTCCTCGACTTGACCCTGTGGCCAATACCGGGGATGAGCTTGTTCTCCTTCCTCATCGTGTCAACAAAGTCACGGGGGCTGAGGCCCTTGTCGTAGGCCTTGGTGAACTCCTCGGCAGCGCCGTCCAGGGCACCACCGAAACGCGAACCGATGGTGAGCAGACCGGACACGAGCGCGGAGATCAGGTCCTTGCCGGCACGGGTGGTGATGATGGTGTTCATGGCACCGGACACGGCGGGGCCGTGGTCGGCAGTGAGCATGAGAACCATCTCCAAGAACCTGCTGGCGTAGTCGGGCAGGCGGCGACGGAACCACAGGAGGGACATGACACCGCCGATACCGATGTTGTCCTTGAAGACATCGGAAATGGGCATACCGGCGTACAGAAGCTCCTGGCCACGGTCATCGGAAATGGTGGAGATGAAAGCAGCGGGCTTACGGATGAGGCCAAGCTCCTGCGCCCAGTTGTAGTCCATGGGGATCTTAGGAACCATGGGCTCGGGCTTGACGGTGATGGTGCCGTCCTGGACAAGCTTCTGGTAGACCTCGGCGAGGACGGCAGGCAGGTCCTCGAAGGTCTCCGGGACGTGGAAGCCGGCCTCCTTCATGGCCTTGTTCTTGTTCGCGGCCGTCTCGAGCTGAGAGTTGGCGAACGAACCGGCGTGACCGAACTGAACCTCAGTTGTGAGCATGCCGGCAACGGTACCGATGGCCCAGGCAACAATGGGCTTGGTGATCTCGCCGCTCTTGACTGCCTCGATGACACGGTACTCCTCGACACCACCGACCTCACCAAGCAGCACAAGGATCTTGCACTCCGGGTCGGCCTGGTACCTCAGCATGTGGTCAATGAAAGTAGTACCGGGGTACCTGTCACCACCGATGGCAACACCCTCGTAGACACCGTTGGTGTTCTGGGCAATGATGTTGTTGAGCTCGTTGGACATACCACCGGACTTGGAGACGTAGGCAACCGAGCCGGGGCGGTACAGCTTGGAGGCGACAATGTTGTCCATCATACCACCGGTGTTACCGATCTTGAACGCGCCGGGCTTGATGCCACCGACCGTGGCAGGGCCGATGATCGTGATGCCCTTCTTCTTGGCGACGTGCAGAATCTCACGGGCACGGCGCTCGGGGACACCCTCAGCGATGATGGCAATGGACCTGATCTGAGGGAACTCCATGAGCTCCATGGTGGACTGGTAGACACTACGCGACGAGGCGAAGTTGACGACGGTGTCGACGTCGCTGTGCTTGGCCATGGCCTTCTCCACCGACTGGTAGACGGGGAGCAGAGTCTCGCTGGTGCCCCAGTACATCTTGCTGACGAACTGGCCACCGAAAGTGTAGATGATACCCGCGACCGAGGGCTGCTTGCGCTTGCAGATGAAGTCGAAGTCGAGCATGCCCTGGACGGCCTTGGGTTGCAGGCCGTAGACGAAGCATCGCGTCTTGTTGTGGAAGAGCATGTGCTGGGCAGGCGGGCTCAGCGGCCTGCTGGGAGCCTGGAAACGGCGAATGTTGTCATTTGCGGAGAGGGTCTCGCCGTTGGGCGTGCCGTCGACGGTGGCAGGCATGATTGCAGGTAAATGGAGGCGAAAAAGGGTCTACAATGGGGGGGAGAAAGAAGAAATCTGGACTGCGGGAGAAGTCAGCCGAGTGAGGTTCGGAGGGTTTATTGGCAATTGGCGGGCTGACAGCGATCGCGGAGCAATGTGGGCCGTTCGTTTTTCGCCCTTTGCCCTGGTGGGTGCACCGACCTTTTGTGAAATGTTCGCTGACGGCGCACGCGACAGACGAAGAGAGCAGGAGGGAAGTGGGCGACGGGGGAGTCGGAGGAGGCAATGGGCGAGGAGAAAAAGGGACCGGAGTGCGGAGAGAAAGCAAGATGACGGAGGAAGGCAGCGGATGTTGCTGAGGACCCCTTTGAGCCGTTGCAAGCCAGTGTGTTGAGGAGGCCGGAGGGCTGATTCGCAGGGATTGGCGTTGGGGTAAAGCGAAAGCCGGCTCTAGCGCACCTCAAGTCGCCGACGGCGCACCCACTGCATGGGGAGCCGACGGGGGGGCCAGCACCTTGACGTCCGACACGGCGCGGAACATGCAACGGCACCACATGAGCTGCTGACGTTTCTACCACGCCCCCGGACTTCAGCTCATGTTGACTGAGTCTGACTGATGAAAGTCGATAGACTCAGGTGGGAGGAGGGGGGGAGGGTGCGGTGAGCCGTCCGTGTGTGTCCGCCACTCCAGCAAGCCCGCATCGCGCCAAGCCGGTTGGTGCTCCGTGCGGCTGCCTTCCCAACTCCCCACAGCGCGCTCAACCGTCGCTTAGTCCGCGCTAGACGTGCCCCAGCAGACTCCGACTCAGGGCCCTCAAGAGCTGCCGCGCGACAACAATTTCGCTCCCCAGCTGCCCGCGCATTCCGCCGCATTCCCCCCTCGATCTTCAATTCCCACCTCTTCCTCTTCTTCAACTTCCCTGTGCTGTCTCTCTGCCCTCGTCGCTGCTCCTCTTCCGTCTCTTCACCAATTCCCTCTCACAGGTAAGCCCGCCCTTCAGCTCCCCCGCCGGTGCCCACTCCCCGAACCCGCCTCTCAGTCCACTGCGCTCCGACGGCCGGAGAGCCTCACTTTGCCCCGTTTCCGCGGTCCATACGCGTCTTCGCCGCTCTTCATCTTTCTCCATTCCTCTCGCTGACGCCGCCTCCAGCTCTCTTTAGCACTTTTTGATTCACCCTCCTCTTCCTCACAATGTCCGCCAAGTCCATCCTCGAGGCCGACGGCAAGGCCATCCTCAACTACCACCTCACCAGAGCCCCCGTCATCAAGCCCACTCCTCTCCCTCCCTCGGCCACCCACAATGCTGCCCCCAGGCTCGCCTCCATCTACTTCCCTGCCGACCAGGACGTCAAGGCCGTCCTCGACCAGGCTGAGGCGACCTACCCGTGGTTGCTGCAGGCCGACTCCAAGTTCGTCGCGAAGCCGGATCAGTTGATCAAGCGCCGTGGTAAGAGCGGCCTGCTTGCCCTCAACAAGTCGTGGGCGGACGCTCGCCAGTGGATCGAGGAGAGGGCAGGAAAGACGCAGCGTGTCGAGACCGTTGATGGCGTCCTGAGGCAATTCCTGGTTGAGCCTTTCGTCCCTCACCCGCAGGAGACCGAGTACTACATTAACATCAACTCCGTCCGTGAGGTGAGTCGATATCCTTTTTTGTTTTCCTTGGTTCCAATCATGCCGTTTTCCCTAGCTCTTTCTGAATTTTTGCATCTTTTTTCTTTTTTTTTTTTTTTAATAAATTTCGCGGAAGGGGTGTTGGTTGAGAAGTGTAGGCCCAGACACGTGTGTTGGGGTGGCCCTCCCGTTTTGTTCGCCTCGGACAGTCCGGGCGAAGGGAGACGCACCAAACACAGACACGGGGCCCACACCTATCTTCAGATTACCCGCCGCTAGCTGCACACCATTTGATCCGTACCTGCCTCTCTTATCTGCCACTAGCTGGTTTTTAGAAGGCATTCGACTCCACGTTGTGCATCCCTTACCATCTTGCGGCCTTGCCATCGCTTACTGCCGCACCACCCCTGCTGACCATCATGCTTTTTTAGGGTGACTGGATCCTCTTCACTCACGAGGGTGGTGTCGATGTCGGTGATGTCGATGAGAAGGCTGAGAAGCTCCTCATCCCCGTCGATCTCTCCGAGTACCCCTCGAACGAGCAGATTGCTGCCACTCTCCTGAAGAACGTCCCTGAGGGCGTCCACAACGTCCTCATCGACTTCATCTCCAGGTTATACGCGGTCTACGTCGACTGCCAGTTCACCTACCTCGAGATCAACCCCCTCGTTGTCATCCCCAACGAGGATGCCACCTCTGCTGAGGTTCACTTCCTCGACCTGGCGGCTAAGCTCGACCAGACTGCCGAGTTTGAGTGTGGTGCCAAGTGGGCCATTGCCCGCAGCGCTACTGCTCTCGGCCTGGCGACTCCTGTCTCCAAGGACAACAAGGTCACCATCGACGTTGGCCCGCCGATGGAGTTCCCTGCTCCTTTCGGCCGTGAGATGAGCAAGGAGGAGGCCTTCATCTCTGAGATGGACGCCAAGACTGGTGCTTCCCTCAAGCTCACCATCCTCAACTCTTCCGGTCGCGTCTGGACTCTCGTTGCCGGTGGTGGTGCTTCCGTCGTCTACGCCGACGCCATCGCCTCTGCTGGTTTCGCCAGTGAGCTCGCCAACTACGGTGAGTACTCTGGTGCTCCCACCGAGAACCAGACCTTCCAGTACGCCCGCACCGTCTTGGACCTCATGCTCCGTGCTCCCATGCACCCTGAGGGCAAAGTCCTGTTCATCGGTGGTGGTATTGCCAACTTCACCAACGTAAGTCTCCACTGAGCCCGTTCAAAAGAAACAAAATCTGACATACCACAGGTCGCATCCACCTTCAAGGGTGTCATCCGCGCTCTGCGCGAGGTCTCTCCCCTGCTCATTGAGCACAATGTGCAGATCTGGGTCCGTCGTGCCGGCCCCAACTACCAGGAGGGTCTTAAGAACATCAAGGGCGTCGCCACCGAGCTGGGCCTGGACATGCACGTCTTCGGTCCGGAGATGCACGTCTCTGGCATCGTGCCTCTTGCGCTCAACGGCAAGAAGACGGACGTCCCCGAGTTCGCTGGTTAAAGCGATGTAAGTAATGCAACACAAGCGGAGTCGTCGGAAAACGGCCGGCTATGTGTCGGTCAGCGGGGTTTTATCAAAACGTCTTTTTTTCATCTTTTTACTGTTCCTTTAACGAAAGACCACGGGTAGAGATGGGGGGGATGGGTGCAGGAAATAAATGCGAGAAGGCTCGCTCGAAAGAGCGGGGCAGAGCGGCCCTTTTTCTCTTACTCTTTGCATCGTTTTAAGCGTTGAGGTGAGAGGAACGCGGGGATGTATGATGCGAAGGGGAAGGAAGGAATGCGGGGCTCGCCTTTTTTTGCATTCAGATTTAATAGGCCGGTTAGGGTTGGTTGGTTGGTCGGGTGGCTCGACGATCGATCGACGAACGGCAATGGGCTACGCAAAGGGGGGCTACGCTGACGGGTAACTATGGACGTACGTACGGTTATAGAGGAATGAGATTTTGGAGGAATACGGGATGATATTTTTTATGTTTCTGTTTTTTCTCTCTTTTCGTTCTTCCGCTTGCTTGTCCCGTGCGGTGCCGGGTAAAATGACCGAGTGAGGAGTGAGTGATTACGCGGTCAGCTGGTCGGTTGGTCGGTTGGTTCGTCGGCTGTTGGTTGGTTGGTTGGATGGGTAAGTGAGTAGGTACCTACCTATGTAAGTGGGCAGTGGTGGCCTGCGGGCTCTCTCGTTCGCGACTGCTGCTGGTTGCGGAATGCGGGCAGGTTGGTCAGTGGGAAGGAAGGGGGGAGTGTGACTCGGGAGCGGATGAGGAAGGAGAGGGGAGAGAGGGGTTTATGTGCATTGTGTGCGTGCATGATGCGTGCGTGCGTTGTATGTGGCATGTGGCAATGAGGGTGCGCGCTTTTTTGGGACGGGCGGATGCGTGCAGCGGGGCGCCTGATGTGGATGGATGAGATAAATGGATGGATGGACGGGTGGGTGTGGCGTAGGCAGGCAGTTAGGTAGGCAGGCACATAGCTGGCTACGACTCCGCGGAGGTGTGGCACTGTTTCTTGTGTGGGGGGTGCGTGGTGTTGTGATGTGGTGCGGTGGTGTGGCGTGGTGTGGTGTGCTGTATGTATGTATGTGCGTGCGCTTGGGGATGAGTTGATACCTACCTAGGTGCCGTGGTGGATAGTGGGTGGGGCGTGGACGGGCGGATGGGCATGGTTGGTGGGGTTGGGTTGGGTTGGGTTGGGTTAGGGGAGGATGGGGTGGGGTGCGTGGGTTGACACTATTTGGTGATGATCTTCGTGGCGGTTTGGTCTGTGTGGAGGGGGTGTGTATGCGTGTGGATGTGTGTACGTTTGGACGGTCTTTTTGAGATAGTGGTGGGAGGAGCAATGCTTTGTAGATATGTTGTTTTGGATGCTGGTGGTGTTGGTCTGTGTGATCGGATCGGGAAGTGATGGGCCAGTTGACGGGTTGACTGACTGACTATAGTTTGTTTTCTACTCTTACAGATTTTATAGCCTTATACCTTTACAAGTGTCTTTATACCCTTTATAATTATTTATATTTGTACCATTAGAGACGCTCTAGTACTGTATGTATGGTAGAATATACTTGATATATAGTTAAGGCGGGCAAATTGTTCAGAGTTAGTTTAGAGGAGATGAATTAAATAGAAGAGAAACCCCACATATCTATTCCTAAACTTGATTAGAACACTTCTCGTGCTATCTGTCCACGTCTCTTTAAAGTCCCTACTACTTATTTTCTACATGTCTAATCCGCTCGCTGGCAGCATACTTAGAAATCTACTTTACTATACACTGCTATGCCACCGTTTCATCATGTCTTGTCCTGCTTGTTCTTCCAGCGTTAGACCTAATGTTAACACCTAGCTATATCTACTCGACAGTACCTAATAATGTCAGTCATACATTTCCTATACTTGATACCTACCTCAAATACTCAACGCTTCTAGAAGCAGAGCAAAATCATGTCTTATTTTCGCAAAGAAAGAAACAGTATACCTATTCCTCCTCTTCCTCTTCCTCTCCCCCGACATCATGCTCGTTAGATCGCACCGCTAAATCTCTTCTGGAGACACCTTTACTGCGTGGTGCTATTCTTCCAATCACAGACTCTGTTCATCCGCTTACTGAAGCATCAAACACGCATATGTAAAGTACGTCGTACTGAGCAAACTCAGGAGCAGGCCATCTCTGCCCACTGCAAACAAAACCCACAAAGAAAGGCTATGAACACAATCTGCGAACACAAGCTGCAAAAACAAACTACCGCCAAGGTGAGCATACGCAGCATACACTGAATGCCAGATGGCTATAAAGCACAGTCACTGTTAGCTGTTCGCCAACACCAAGTCCTACGCCATGACACTCCTCGCCACGAGCCTCCTTGGAATTCTTGCCGAGGAGGCGCAGTGCGAGACTCCATATGACAGCCCTCACACAGCTGATCTCACAGTTGCGATTAACAAGGTCGGCAATTGGGAATTTCCTCTTTGCGAGAACTACAGCACCGGTAGCAGCCGTTGCCAAACACTGGAATTCTACAAGACGGCCAAAGCCATTCTCTGCAGCAAACCGTCCCGTCCTACCTGTGTCGAGGTCTCTGGTTTGGCTGGAGCCATCCAGAATAAATGCGTGACGGCCGTCCAGGTCGGTGGCTGGATTTACGGCAGTTCTACCGACTGTTGGGTCGAAGGATTGTTCATGGTCCATAAGTAGGCATGTGCAGAGCGCAGTTCACTAATGCATGTAACTCGTGAAATGGTGCTCCCGATGTCTGGCCAACAATGGGAGGGTATATGTAAATAGCTCCTATAAGCCCCGGTTCAGACTCAACCACTCGTGAACAAAGCATATGTGCTATGGAGACTTTCTCGCTTTCCATGCAGCCGTCCTATGGGTGAAGACTGAAAGCGGTACGTGATACCGAAACATGAGTAGATGAAATGGGTCAATAGGAGAACAAGAGGAAGAAAGACGGACGAGAGAAGAGATAGCTAGAGAGAAAAGGGAGGGGAAGAAAGATTTGAAGAATAGGCAAAAGAGAAGTGAGAGAAGTGAATGAGCATCGCCATATCGCCCGTTTTACCTGGCTGTTTACCCCGCCTCTGATATCGTCGACATCCTTCGGCAAGCCCTCACAAAGACCCTCGATACCATCTCTCCCATGCCACCGCCAGCCAACAAGAATTGCGCCAGCCTCAGCGTTGGTACTAGCGTTAGCGCCGGTGCTCGGGCAAGCACTTCTGTGCTTGTCCGTGCCGTGCTGCGGCTGTGGGGGAGCAGGCGCCGCGGTGCGGTCCCTCGAAACAGCTGGGGATGATGACAGTACCGTGCTGTTTTCGGTCGCTAAAGTGACGAGGTCACCGTGGGTAGGAGGTGATAGTGGTGACAGCGATGTAGCGTGGCGGGACGTAGTGGCGCAGACAATGGCGCATCAAGGCCTAGTGAGACGTGTTGTGCTTGGTCGGTGTCTTCCATTCCCGACTGACGTTGTTGCTATGTTTCCGCTTTTGCTGCATGCACTTACTTGCATCGTCGTAGTGTTAGAACAAGTAAGACCTCTCAAAGCGAACATGTTCCCTATGGAGAGCCAATCCGAGCCAAGAATGAATTTCATTTCCTTTTTTTTTTTTTTTCCTATTTTGCGCAAAGTATCCAACAGGGCCGTCCCATGCATCTTTTTTCCAGGACCTTCGTTATCAGGCATGCCAACGCCGTTGATGCGCACTCGTCACCTCCGAAAACCGCCACGCCCGCCTTCTTCCAACCGCCTGATGATCGGCCAAACAGAGGAAAAATTTGGAAAGCAGGAATGGGTATCGTCGTTGAAGACATGCTAGGAAGAGTAGTTGGAAAGGAAAAGTGAGACGAGTGTAATGAAAATAAGAGCTCCGCTCAGTGTTATTAGTACTTTTGTTTTTTCAGGCAAGCCTCATCGTAGAACCGTAGCGAACGAGGCAGACAACCTCTTAACTCCGGCAAATGCCACTGGAGAACGAACGAAATCGAAATTAAACGAAGAATCATCCAGTAAGGAAATAGAAATCCCGATCGGAGCCAGAGTCGACAAAGTCGGGTAACCTGTGGAGAAGTGTGGTTGTTGAATCCGCACCTTTCGACTGGTCGGTGGAAATGGACAAAAAGCAAGGAATATAGGCAGGCGACAGGCATGCAGCCCGCTCATTCCTCGGCCCACCTCTTCTCTCTCAGCGATAGCTCACCTGACCTCGTACCCAGCAGCTCGTCCTTCCAGGCCCAGTATTCGCCAAGACGGATTTCGGCATAGCTGGCATAATCAAAGTCGATTTGGCTGATTTTGGCCTGAATAAGCGCCCAGATGCCCCAATAGAAGCCGGGCACGCCTCGGAAGCTGTCGACCTCGCGGAAAAGTTGCTCTGCGCTACGCTCCATCTCGGTTTCGGAAAGCGGCTGTGGCAGATGCGAGCTGTACGACAATACGTATTCGCGGAGGAATTCACGGCGCTCAGAGCGCGTCGGCATAGCGTTGTAGTCGCAGTCGAAACCACCCCACTCGGCAAAGTGGTTGCTGATGTCAAAAGCAGCAGGTGCCGGCGTGGCATATTCGTAGTCGATGAAGTCGACGCCGACGGCATCCGTGGAGGCATCAGTTGCGTTGGACTCGGTGGTAGATGTGGGCGACGCGCCGGAAGAGGGTTGTGGTTCGACGATCACGTTTCCGGACAGAAGGTCACAGTGGCTGAACACGAGAGGGTTTGAGCTGATCCCAGGCGTGTCGCCGAGACGGCCCAAGAGCCACTTCAATTCTGACTGTAGACTGGCCTTGCGCTTCTTCTCAATATCAGAGTCATGGGGCAGTTCATGGATCCATTTCTGCATCACGGTCCAGAGATTGGGTGAAGGCTTGTCCGGAGTGATGTTGTCAATCGCTACCAGCCAAGATGCCTTGCGTCCATGGCTGCGTCGAGCATCCATTTCCTGGTCAGCTGGGGGTATCTCCTGTATAATGCTCGCGATGGGGAGTGTCGCGTGCCATTGTGCGAGGCGCCGCGCGACTCCACGGTAGACTTCCTGGCGGCGTAGGTCAGAGGGCGCACAAACACTGCCCTCAATGAACTTGTATAGCAGACCATTCTCGAAGCGAGCGAAAAGTGGAGGGGCAAGGTTGTGCCTGGCGAGCAGGTTGTGTGACCGCGTTTCTCCTAATGCAAAAGTCAGCCATGGTGTCAAAAAATACGGCAGGGCGGGGGAGCACTGACTTTCCCTGTCTATTAAGACGTCTGTTCCCCGGCCATACGCTCGCATCAGCACGGCCTCGCGGTCGATCTGCTCCTCGGACCAGCCGGGCAGCTTGTTGATGGCCTTCAAGAGCTGTGGGCGGGCGCAATCAGCGGAATGTTCGTGTGGGAGACGCGTTGGGCGCTTGCCTTTGACGTACAGTGTTGGTGATTCCATCAGTGAAACGGACGAATTCAATCGTGTCTTGTGACTGCTCCCATTCGGGCCTGAGGGTGAGGATGAGGCGCAGAGCAGAATTGTGCGAGTCGGTGCTATCGTAGCAGAGAGGGATGTAGCGGAGAGAGTCGTGGTCCATGGCGAGAGTGGTGGTGGGGGGAAGAATTAGGCGGAGGCAGAGCAGGTGGGAGTGGTAAAAAAGTGCAATGCGGGTAGTGGTTGAGTGTTTGAGAAAGGGTCGCGCGCGGGGGCTTTCATGTGAAGTTACGTAGGCCCACTTGCCAGGGGCAGCAGGGGTAGAGCTTGCCGGGCGCAGGGCCGGATCGTGGCCAAGTCAGCGGGATGCGCAGCGACCCAGTGCTCTGCCGATTGTTGGACGTCGCCGGCGTCCACCTCGATCCATTCGCTGCCAACCTGTTCCTGGCGTCCTTTCTTCCCTGTGGCCGCGTGTCAAAGGGGCCAGCCACGGCTAATACGGCCCGGCACCAGCGCGGCTTGGCACCTGGAGATCACGACCTCCTCTGCCTCAACCGCCACCGCCCGGTGGGTAACGGTAGCATATGATGTAGCTCGTGTTGCCTGCTTCGCCTCTGATCAACATCCTCACCCCATCACGTGCGTCATCGCTCGCATCCTCTGTCGGTTCTCGCGATAAGCCTACCTACTACCTACGTAGTCACTCCCTATTTCAAGTCCTATTTGTTATAGGCGGTGCATACTTAGTCATCCCTCATTTCCTCAAACGGCGGAGCTAATAAAAGGCTTGGTTTAAAAGTCCTGGCCAGGCTATGTGCTATTGACCGACTGCCCATCAAAGCTTTGCCTTTGTCTTCTTGCCCTTTGAGCTCAGGCTCTCATCAGAGTGCAGCATGGACATATACGCCTCGCTGAGCTTTGTCTTCTCCGAACTTGGCACGGAATCCCACTCCTTCCTCTCCCGCGCCTCTCGTTCATTCCATACACGAATCTCTGCCTCCAGCCACTTCGTCGAATGCTGAGCCGTCTCCTTCGGTGCCTCCATTGGAATCAGGTGGCCGACGCCTTTCACCACCACCTCCTTGACCCGGTCTGCAGGCGCGCCTCCGCTGCCCCCAACACCCACGCCCGTCACGGCCATCTTGTCCGAGCGTAACTCTGGTCTCGAGAGCGTAGATGTCTCGCCAAAGATATACAGTACTGAGGGTAGGAGGTGGGGAAGTCGATTAAACGTAATAATGGGCTCTGCGCGATAGAAAGGCGCATTGGCGAGACCGGAGGTGGGATCGTAGTCCGCGTGGCCGACAGGATCGCGATTGTGGGACGTCGTTACTATGAGCTCTGGCTTGATGTCTGGCTCGACGCCAATTGTTCGAAAGTTTGGCCGGAGGAAGGTGAAGACTTCTTGGTGTTTCGTGGTCTTAAGCGTGACGGGGGTGGACGTGGTCGCCTCCGAGTTAAGTGTGGTCGAGGGGGTCCCGGGGAAGAGCGCCGTTGGTATGTCGCGCAGACCATGCTCCAACCATCGTTCCAAGACACGCAGGTCCCACGATTGGTAAAACTTGCTCTTTTTCGCGGCTTCGGCGGCTTCGCGACGCGAAGGCCAGACCTCTCGACGGCGAGAAGAGAGCATTGCGGGCATATAATTGCCTTGGACGGAAGCAGCCCGCTGGATAACGGGGTCGATGAGGATCAAACTCTCCATGAGCCTAGGGTGCAGCAGGGCAAGGTTGACGAGATTGTTACCGCCCAAAGAGTGGCCGATACCGACTATTGGTCGGATCATCTCATCGCGGAAGACGTTCACCATGTGAAGAAGGTCGAGGGGATGATCGAACCAGCTTGCTGCGCTACGTCAGTATTGATGATTTTGCCTTTTGAACATCCAGACCCACGGTCATTGCCAAGTTTGTCCTCATTCAGTACACCACTTTGCCCTTGATGGGCGACATCTGCGATCCAAATACCACGGATGGCCTTGTTTTTACTTTTCAGGAGTTGATAGATCTCTTCCCAGAGTGGTTCGTAAAGCTCCTTTATGAGTGTCAATAAGCCGCGTTGTACCAAGCATGGGGATTATATCAACCTTGGGAAAGCCATTCGCATGCGCTCCAATGATGGTAATATCTCCAGGGCTCGGGGTAGGATTGTCAAACGGGCGGTACTGCTTGTATACAACCTTGAGGGTGTCGTGCTGGTTTTGTGCCGTTGCCCTTGGATAACGCCGGATATGCTGGCCAGGCAGAATGTGCTCCTTGATCTCGAATGGGTATGCCATTTGGTGATACCAAGCAGATTGAGATAGCTCGAGTATGTTTGGAAATCCAAGATGCGTCGAAGAGAGGTTCTGGCTGGCTACTATGATCAGCGAGCTGAGGGGTCAGTCGCTATAGGTCACAAGGACAGTTATTCAGGCTAACTGATGATAAGTGAAAGTCCTCTATATCCTTTGAAAGCGACTGTACGTGCACTGTTGTCGAGTTTGTAACCGATGATTTCGCAGCTTCAGCTGCGGTTATAATCGGCGGGCCGAGGTTACGGGAAAGCCGTTGATTGGAGCTTCAAGTTACGGTGAATGGTTGCAGCAAGCTAAGCTATCTGGATGCGATAGATTATCTGATATTGCAAGCGCGCTTCCGGACTGATTTAGAGTCTTGTTCTAATTTATCTTCGCTGTAACTGGTCTAGCTGAAAATTTGGACCATTCCGAATTCCTGGATGGTCGACATGTACGGACGATCGATTCAGTTGGGTCCCCACGTGGAATACTTGAAGATTGTTTCACAGGCTCTTGGCAAGTGAAATGGTGGGACTTCAATGTGCCGGAAAGCGGGGGAGGAGATGGAGCCCGTGAAGTGAGGATAGGTATGCTGTTTTAGACGAGTTAGAGCTAGTGTCAGGGCTAAGTCACGTGCAAGAGGCTCTTCGCGTGTTTTGGGCGAGGCGCGTCACGTCACTCGGTGCCAGTCGCGATCTGCCGTTGAATGTCTCGACGAGCTTGACCACCCTCCACAACCACACGTTTACCCTTCCTAACCACGGTGCAAGATGGCCGAAGATGGCAAGGATGGAGCGGCTACCAATCAGCCCGTGTTCTTTGCAGTATCCTTCGCCATTGTAGAAAGTGGCAACCTCGTGGGCGAACGAGCTCAAGCTGTAAGTTCTCACAAAGTTGCGCGCGGCAACAAAGGCTAAACTACCCCACAGCTTATACAAACCTTAGAAGAGAACGGTGCGATGTACACGCCTTTCGGCGCCGACACTCAGCGCGGTGAAGACATCACGGTCTATAGCCATATTATCTCAGAAACGACCGACTTCCCTCAATACCAAAACGCGCTGGACCACTTTGTGCACATCGTGAAGCCATTGTGGGTAGATGCCAGTCTCTCGAAAGCGAAGGCACTCAATCCGCGCTCGTTCAGCCCCGACCCTAGCCTGTTTCTTCAAGATGTCGTCGTCACTTGTACAGCAGACATACCCGAGGGCGACAAAGAGGCGATCATTGGGGGCGTTATAGCCATGGGTGGTCAATACTCTGCTCCTATGACAAAGATGGTTACTCACCTTGTAGCCTTGTCTACGGACGATGTCAAGTACGAGGTTGTCATGAGAAAGAACCTCAAGTGCAAGACAGTTTTACCACACTGGTGCGTACATGCCCCTATGTGGGAGATATTTGGCTAACCAATTAAAGGTTTGACGACTGCCTTAAGTTGGGAAAGAAGATTGCAGAGAAGCCATACATGTTACCAGATCCGGAGATCCTCTCCTCGATTGAGCGAGGACCCTTAGCTCACGTTCCAAACAACGCTATCCAGGGAGCAACTTCTCCAGTTCCCACTGATTTTCCGACTCCCGTCACTACAAACCGCGTGCTGGATGTGTTCCGAGGAAAGAAGATCATGTTGTCCGCCGATCTGAACATTGGCAGTAGAATCATGAGCACTATTGAGAACCTTGTCCACAATGGGGGCGGTGAGCTGGTCACCCAGGTAGAACAAGCGGACATATACGTGTGCTACTACCGTGACGGCGAGGACTACATCAAGGCATCTCAGGCACGCAAGGACGTTGGTAACCTTGCGTGGCTTTACCATCTGATCACTCACAATGCGTGGACGTCACCGATGCGCCGACTACTACACTACCCAGTTCCACGCCATGGTATCCCGGGGTTTTCAGACTACCATATCAGTCTGTCCAACTATGTTGGAGATTCACGAATCTATCTGGAAAACTTAGTCAAAGCATGCGGTGCAGAGTTTACTAAGACCATGCGCCAGGAGAACACCCATTTGATCACCGCTCACACACAAAGCGAAAAATGCGAGGCTGCGAGAGAGTGGAACATCCACATAGTCAACCATATATGGTTGGAGGAGAGTTATGCTCAGTGCAAACAGCAATCACTCACAAAGCCTCGATATACCCATTTTCCGTCTCGCACGAACTTGGGAGAGGTCGTTGGGCAGACGCAGATTGATCCTGATGCTGTAGAAGCCCGATTCTTCCCCAAAGGAGCAGAAGAAAGGCGCAGAAAAGGACCCCAAACAAATGGCGTGGCTGTGCCTTCTCGACCAAAGCAGGAGGAAGTTCCCTCGATGAACACCCTCACAGTTGCTGATACAACACAGACGACTGCGGCACAGGAGGGTGCAGATGACGCGGTTTCTGAACGGGCTACGCCATTGATTAAGAAGGACGACCGTGCACAAACAACTGCGCCGCAGGAGGGGGCAGATGAAGTGGGCTCTGAAAGGGCTACGCCACTAATCAAAAAGAGTAGTCGTGTGCGAAACGATGCAATTGATGCACAGACACCCATGGCGGCGAGAGTTGCCGAAGGCAAAGAAAATGAGACGCCGTCCACAGCAGGAAGTCGGGGCGCTAAAAGCCGAGCACTCACGAAGCTCCACGATCTTGCTCCGGATATTGCACTCTACGAAAGGGAAAAGAAGAGAGCCGGTGGCGTTCTCCGTGGAGGCAGACGTTTGAGCGAACCTGAAAGCGCCGAGAAACCTCAGACCAAATCAAAAGAGGCACGAGGCACCAAGAGGTCCTTGGAACCAGAAGGTGAAGTAGAGGGCGAAGCCTCTGCGGAAACTGTTAAAGAGACAGGGCGGAAGACGAAGAAGTCCAAATCCAGTCTCACACCAATCGTTCACAAGTTGATGATGTCTGGCGATGACAGGTGGGTGGGCAAGGGCAAAACGAAGAAGGAGCATGAGGATAAGGTAAGCATGATGTTTATGAAGAGAAGCGGGAGCGATGCTGACTGAAAATAGAGCAAACTTCGGGACATGGGCATAAATGTTGTGACAAAGCCAGACGAAACAACGTTGCTCTGCGCTCCAAAGATTGTCCGGACACGGAAATTTGTTGCTGCTCTCGCCGCTGCGCCCCATGTTGTCTCTACTTCATTCTTGGACGACTGTCTGCGTTCTAATCGGATGCCTGACCCTTTGTCACATCCCCTGATTGACCGCGAGGGGGAGAAGCGGTGGGGCATCAAGCTCTCCGATACGATTTTCAGAGCACAGCAGAACCGCGGGCAGCTCCTCAAAGGCTGGGATATCTTCGTCACAGAAAACGTCACCGGCGGCTGGGAGACGTACAAAGACATTATCAAAGCCAATGGCGGCAATTGCCTCCTCTGGAAAGGCCGCGCAACCAAAGTGTCGAAGCGTGAGGTTAAGAAGTCACGGGATACCGACGGAGACGCCAACATGGATGCAGACCTTGATACCGAGGCGCAGCTTGAAGCCAACCGCAGCAATGACGGCGGCAAGAGCCTCTACTTGGTCTCTGGCACCGACCAGGCTGAAGTCAAGCTCTGGCCCAAGTTCAAAGACGTGGCCAAGAAGGCAGACATGACGCCGTACATCGTGACGCCGGACTGGATACTCTTTGTCACTATGGCGCAGTACATCCACCACGAAGAGCGATGGGAGATCCGCCCGGATGAGGTGCCCGGTCTTGCAGGAAAGAAGTGAACACAGCGTATGCAGGCCAGGAATTTCTTGTGTTTTTCTTCATGGGCGGTTGATCAGGAGTACATGGATGTATGTATTTGGCGTTGTGAGGCAGACCGAGACGGCACGACTCGGTAGATTAAGGCATCGCTGGGGCGAGCTATTCATTGCTATTTCCTCTGGTGGCATATCAACAGCGGCTGTTTCATAATACTAGCTGTTGGCCATCCTTGCCAACCTACTTAAATAGGTGATAAAAGCAATTTCTGCTACCTCTTGTACATGAGGTGTGCCAAGCTAGGGTGATTGTGTACCGTTTTCTGAGCCGACTATCAGGTATAGCCACGAACGAATCCAACAGACAATAGAACGGATAGGTATGTGGGTATTCATCCCCCTCTCATAATTTCCTTCATGTTTCCACAACTCATCCAGCCCCTCGCCAAACACCCAATCCATCCCTCATTACCTTCCTACACCTGATCAGCCCCTCTCCTCACACTCTCCTCCTCCCTCTTCTCCACAACATCCTCAGCCTGAAGGCGCGCACTTTCCCTCACCGCAGCACGAGCTACCGCGGCCAGAAAGCCGAGAATGGCGACACCGACGAGGCAGAGCCCGGGGCCGGAGGGCGCGGCGTCGAGGAGGGAGCGGTAGGGTGGTGGGTACGACGTGGTGGTGGTGGTAGCTGCTTGCATTGTTTTTGAGACTTATGGTTGTGGTGGTGGAGATGGTGGTGGTTTGGGGTTGGAGAAATGAATTGATGGGTTTGATGGCGGGTGAAAGATGGAAGATGTGATAGGTATTGAAAGGGTTGTATAATGTGCCATGGTGGGGGCATGTGAGTAGCTGCCAACTTGTGGGATGGCTGGAATGGGTACCACGTGGTGTCCCTGGTGTGTGACATTGCAGCATTTTTGTTTATGCGATTCATCACTAGGTAAAGAAGAACTTCAGTAGGAGAGGCCCAGTTTATTAGAGGAATATCCGAGCGCGAGCACGCTTGAGCATTGCTGTTTTACATCCCGGATGTAAACAGTGTATTTCTTGCGGGGGTTGAGTGAGGGCATTCGCTGAGACCATCACATTCAGAAACTCCAGTGATTCCATTACCTCTTGATCCTGACGCCAGTTTCTGACCAGTTTTTCGATGATCAGCACGCCCATCCTCCATCGATGGAGTATGTAGCTCCAGTAACAAAGGTGACTTCGTCGCTCAGCAGGAAAACAATCAAGCGAGCACACTCTTCTGGTTTGCCCAGACGCTTGATCGGGGTTGTGATGTTCTTCCGATCTTCTTCTGCGACCATTTGCGTGTCGATCGCGCCACTGCAGGAAGTCAGTTCAAGAGGGAGGGTATATAAATTCAAAACACTTACGGCGCGATGGCGTTGACTCTGATATTTCTTTCACCCACTTCCTTTGCGGCGCTTCTCACCAAGCCGACAATGCCGTGCTTGGTCGTTGAGTAGGCTGCCGTCATTGGGAAGCCGAGGAGCCCCTGTACACTAGTGGTACAGACGATACTGCCGCCGTCGTTCATGTTTTTCAGTTGTGCGCGCAGGCAGTAGAACATGCCCTGATATTCACATGAGCAATTTCCTGATATAAAAAGAGAGCGAAAATAGAAAAGAACTGAGCCAAAGCCCGACATACGGAAAGGTTAACTTGCACGACCGAATGCCAGTGCTCGTCCCTGGTATCGGCAATAGTGTTCTCTCCAGAATCAGGACCATTAATGCCAGCGATATTGGCAGCACCGTCGAGCTTGCCAGCCCAGTGCACGGTATTTTTTATCCAGGCGTCCACGTCCGAGCGATCGCCGACATTGAGCTCCTGAACGCGAATCTGCTCTTCCTGGCCATTGGAGTTGAAGTATTTTTCCGCTTCTTTCAGGGCCTCGGCATCGAGATCTCCTATCGACACCCTGGCTCCGCGGGAGACGAGCAGTTTGACGGTCTCGAAGCCGATGCCCTGGGCGCCGCCCGTGACCGCGATGACCTTGCCGTCGAACTGGCCGGGCATTTTTCTGGAGGACTGGGAGAGGCGACGGTGGCAAATTAGAGGTGGAGAGGTTGATAGGGGGCGGCAGTGAGAGAAGAAAAGCCCATTCGCAGCTTTGACAGAAGGCGAGGGAATTAGTCTGCAAAAAGACGTCACCGCGGGGAAAGCAGCGAACGTGTGTGTAATGATGGATTTTGACATTTGCTTCTTGAGGCTATTCACATAGGTTGTAGAGGTTCCTAGAGGAGGGCGAGCTTGATAAGAGCGTATCGGTCGATTCGCCCACCCCGCTTTCATCCAAAATATCTGCAGCAGACTATATCGAGCAACGAGATGGTGACTTCTCAATACAACGTGTACATGACGTCACGGGGTCCTTCAGGAGTGGATTATTGCTTTTGCGAGCGGGTCCTGGGAAACCTGGCAACCCACACCCTGCCACGACACCATAAATTGGTCTATACTTGTTCGCATCAAAGGAGTCAAGGGAAATCCTAGGCCACTGTGGCATTGCTGTTGTCCGGACATGTCATCCTATACGGTACACTTCACCATCGAGACCCATCATCTACTCTAGGCTACAGCTACGACCAGACGGCCTCAACTCTCAGTCCTCAACCCCAGTCACTCTCAGCGGCTTGTGCTTATACTCCTCTTCCAATGCTTCCATCCCTTCCTCCGTCAGCTCAGCCGCCAGCCCTTCAGGATGGCTATCAAGTTGCGACTCCTTGGACACGCCCACGATCGGACAACACCCCTTTTCAAAGACCCAAGCGATTGCCACGGTCGTCATACAATGTTAACGTTCTTTCTCTTCGCTATCTCTTCAACCCGGTAGATGATCACTGGGTTTGCCTCGGTAAACAACTACTTTGTTCTCGTATCTGCAGTGGAGCGTGTCGTGGACTCACTAACTGGACGTGCGAGAAGGCCACGGGCAAGCGGAGACCACGGTATCAGGCCCACGCCGGTGGCTTTGCAAAAGGGGTTCACCTCGAGCTCTTCACGGTGTAGGGGGTTGTAGATGCCTTTGTGCCATGAACGACCCGTTGCGTAATGAGACAGCGGCTCTGGGGAGAAGGATGCATACCTTGCATTGATATGAAGGGCGTCTAGCCGTTGAGGATGTCTACATGGTGCCCGCGCCAAGTACTTTCCCCGACTTGACCATACTCACCAATATAGTCCGCGTCCAATTTCTTCAAGCATGTGTCAACGGCATCGAAAATATGCTTCCACGACAACCCGACTTAGTTGACATGCGCCCCATCATTGGCGCCCTGCTGCTTCG